AATAGGGTAATATATTTATACAATACCAATCCATTTGTTAAGGCAAGTACTTTTTAACTGCTTAATAGATACTTACTAATTGTCTATAGGAATACATTCAAGAGAAACACTATAGTCCTGATAGAACCATGATTCTATGTAGTTTTAAGGAACAGATCAAGCTTCTCAATACATTGATATCTTTTGAGGTTAATATATCCTATAAACGCATTTAACAAAAAGAAATAAATAAAATTGTATTTGCAACTTACCTACCAACGTATGGCAAGAGTAAGTACTCATTAAGCAGTTACTAAATATTTACTAACTATTAAAAGTTATTACATTTCTACGGGTCTTTACCGATTGGAAAACTACAGAAAGCTATTACCTTTTATTTAAAAAAGTTTTTACTCTTATTCAAAAAGTTACCGGCCAAGCTGTTAAGTTTAATTCTATCCATTCTAACGGCATCTACGGGATCGTAATAGATATAGATACAAAGTAATATACTGATATCTAACCACTTACTAAGTACTTAGGAACTACTTACTAACTATTTAGGACTTAGTCAATACTTTCATGAAATCGACCTTCTGCATCGACCAGTACTGTAGCAGTTACAGAAAATTATTATCTTCTGTTGAGTTCATTTCTTTCGTACAATTACAGAAGCAGTTGGGAGTGCAAATAAAGGTTCCAGTATATAGAGTCAGATAATCGGTTTAATTGATTGCAAATCAAAAGATAACTATAACTAGCTCTGTAATTTATTGATTGGTAAGTACTTATCAAGTACTTATCAAGTACTTAATAGATAGTTGTTAACTGATTAACAGCTGCTTAGAGCATGAGAATAAAAAGGTTCAAACATAGGTGACCCATAAGAAGTCTTCAGTTATTAAAGCTAGGTTTAATAAAAATTGCTCAAATATTCCTGTCTATGTCTATAATTCTATTCGGAATTATACTAATGCAGCTGAACAGTCTTATCATAAAGCTAATGCAGCGGGAAAACGGCTGACCTTAACAGTAGCAATTGAAAAGTAAGTATTTAGTAACTAATTATCAATTAATTACTTAGTATTTATTAAAGGTTTACTTTTAGCTCTGCAAAGCTGGACAAACAAGATATTCTTCAGTATATAAATCGTACTAACTTTAATATTCATTATTTATATCGAACGGCAAATATGAAGACTAATTATTTGAGGCATATAGCTCAGAAGGGTAAATATATATATATAATTTATAATTACTTATTAATTACTATTCAATTTTTAAGTATTACAGAAACGCCGCCGTTCACTATTATCATTTTCTTCTAATTTTCAGTCTAAATTTATTCTAAGATCTCAGTCACAACCTCGTGGTCAAGGTAGTAACCGGTAATCCTATCTTTAATTACTTAATGATCAGCTACTAACTACTTAGTAAATAGTTCAGCATCCTCTACTCGAAGCCTTCGACGAGTTTTTTCGCAGAATCTTTTAGACATTGAGTAACAGCGTCAAACATTAAAGCTCCAGGAACGTCAGTTCTAACTAAAGGAGAGAGAAGAGAATTTACGAGCAAAATAGTTTTAAAATGAGGAAAAAGAACTAGAACTTATGGAAAGACGGGTAAGGTTACAGAATCTACTTATTGAGTAATAAGAAAACAGTTATTAACCGGTTGTTAAATACTTTAAGAGGTATTAAGATTGTTCTGTATTGAAAAACCCAGATGCCGTGTAATTAAAAATATATACGGTAAGGGGTACATGCCGCCAAATAGACATCACATGACCAGCTTGGCGGCACCCGACCTTTTCCAAGGGGCGGCTGACCTGTAACCTGTATTATGTTCAGACTTGTGATTGTGTCCAGTATTGGGAATTTTCCATGAAATTAATCGACCACTGTAAAATGAACTGTTTAATTGCAGCTTGAGCCATGACAAACCGTGCCATATCCAACAACCGAAGGTAAAGAGGGTTATGGGCAGTCTATCTGACTTCCATTATGAATGAGCTTGAAAGTGAGAGCAATCTCTCTTCCACATGGCGAAATCCGCATCCTAGGTTGACCCGAGCACTAAGCGCCTTCCCAAACGACCGGCTTGTTTTCCTTCGTCCAAACCTTCTCCGCATCACTTCCAAACGGAGGAGGAACTATTCCATTGACGCGCCATAGTCTCCTTTCGGTCTCATCCACATGACATTCCCAGTCATAACCTCTATCGGCAATATGAGGCTTCAAGGCTTTTTCAATCGCGTCACATGTAGAGTTGTAAACGTGGTCCTCATTGTCGAGCCGAACAGCAATGTGTTCGGCAATAATTCGAATAAACGGGTTCTTCGTTCTGTTTTCAGCACCGACCCAGGTATCTCCGGGTGAAAGCTTAATAAAGTTGATGACCACATTGAACGCAGGAAGGCCGATTCCAGTGTATAATTTCGTGATATCTTCGGTCAAAGCTTTCTCGGCTTTCATAATAACTAAAAATCCCGGTTATGTTAGTCACCGAGTTTCCGGTTACCGATACGGCCTCGGTAAGAGCCTAGAGAAATTTATAGATGCTTGGGAGGCGGATGGAACAGTAACTAATCGGATTGTCGTCCCGGTTAGATAGATAGACACCCGAGGCGGAGAGATCTTCGCCGGGATAGAGTGGAGGTCACGTTCTCACTGTTGGCGCGGTTGATCGTCGAGTTAAAGCTGTTATTAGTCAGGTGTAAGTCTTTTTTTATTCTTATATCTATTGACTTGGTATGATCTGGTTCTGTCTAACTTTCGCTTATACGAGTAAACCCTTGACCAGTGGATGGAACATGTTCCATCGTATATACAGAGCTGACTTGATTCGAACTGTCGAAGTCGTCGTGATTTGTAGTATTTGCCACGAGCGTGACAATTCTCTGTTCGGGATTAGTGTTTGGATAGCATGGCTCCGGGACCCTGCCAGCCCTCCGTTTTCTCGTCCGCTGACTCGCCGCTTTTTGGTGTTCGCGCATGCTCCCGTCCCCGCCAGTGCGTGTCCCAAGAGCCAAGAGATTGAGAGACGGATCTTTCCTATCTAAGGGTGCCCCACACAAACAAGAAGGAATAGCTAAAGGACAGGAGGTCGGGCGGAGAATAGGCGGTATACCTACCGCGGCAGACTAGATGGATAGCCTCCACTGATGCTAGGAGGTAAACCGGAGATCATAGGGGATACGAGTGAACCGAACGGAAGAGCATGGAAACCGTTAGGGTTAGTCAACCGAATATGATTGGAAAAACATAGACCGATCAAAATGAAAAAGGCAAACGCGATGGCCGCTTCAGCAAAACAAAAAGCTTGGTTTGGGTCTCGACTGATAATATGATCAACCTCGGTCGGCTAAAGTAACGTAATCAAAAGCTCAAGAAGGTTTGACGATTTTGGATTACATATCTAGTATAAAACCGAGGCTTGCACAAGAACAGGAAGACAATATTGAAGTAACGCCTCTGTGGATCTATTCATCGTTCTCAAACAGCCAACTCGATAATCTTCCATCCTGACTTACACCTGGAACAATCAATATCTCTGCAATAATGGTCCCCGCTCGTGAAACCGTTGCGTTCAGAGCTTGTGATGGCACTACACTCCGAGGATGGTTCTATCCCCAAGTTGAGAAATCGCCATGTGTGATCATGACCCACGGGGTGAGTACTACCTGAGATATTGAGATATTAGATACTGCTATGAAATTGGCTAATTCTCATCCCTTTGCCACAAATAGCTGGGTGGTGTCCGCCACTATTGGCTCCCGGATTTCGCGGATCGATTCCAGCAAGCCGGGTACAATGTACTACTCTATGATAACCGGAACTGGGGTGACAGTGATGGACTACCCCGGCAAGAGTCAAACCCGACCCTTCAACAAACCGACTACTATGATGCGTTCAATTTCGCAACATCATTCCATAGTGTGGATGATGCGCGCATAGTGTATTGGGGCACGAGTTTCTCCGGAGGAAATGTTCTGTACGCAGCCGCTGTGGACAAACGAATCAAAGCTGCTATCGTACAGTGCCCTGCAGTCTCTGCAGAGACGCGGTCCTTGGCCTTCAACGACAGCATCCCGGGCATTCTGAACGAGCGTGCTCGTATCACTGCAGGATCAGAACCAGAAAGGGTTCCACTTATTGCGGAAACTTTGGAAGCAGCGCGGTCAGGGAACAATACTGCCTTGTTTCCTGGTGTTCACGCTTACGAGCACGTGCGCGGTTTGTACGATTGTGGTGGTCGTTGGGAGAATTATGTTACGGTACAGACACAGCTCAATATGCTTGCGTTTGAAGGACCGGGTCTGGCGCATCGTATCTCGCCGACTCCGCTCCTGATGGTTGTTCCGGGCAATGATATCCTTGTCACCACGGCATCTCAGATGGCTGCCTACGAAAAGGCCAGAGAGCCAAAGCAGCTATTGTATATGGATGGCGCGGGACATTTTGATATATATACTGGCAATTGGTTTGAAGAGAACATTAAAGTACAAATTGAGTTCTTGGGGAAATGGCTTGGCTCTCAAGGCACGACAGGCGCAGCAAATTCGGATTAAGTTCTCAAAAGTCCTCTACGTAGAAGACAATGTGATTCAACTTTGACATTCTTCTGGTTGCATATAGTACTTTCTCGCTCCAAAACACATCTAGAGAGCCGACATCATCAAAAACGGAGTACCATCCTCTTTGACTTATCGTATTGCATTTAAAAAATGCGACGTATTTGACAAGATACCAGCCCCAACACAACTATTGATGAGTTGCCGCATGGGATTACTTTGAGAGCTTGAGTTGTACAATTTTCAAGTCTAGATCATACCAAAAAGGCTGCGAAGATCGGTCTCTGCTACTCAGCACACATACGTACATACTTGTTGGTAATATCAAAGTGCATTATTCGTACAAATTCTCTAACAATTATGCTCGGGGTTATCCTAAGCTCATAACATCATGGTGCACTATACCAGGCCCCTGGCTACTCAGTCAACATTGAGAGCACACATAAAATTATTTCTTCACGAGCGTTGCACCTCCCCATAGCGAGCCAATATTCAATCTAGTAGGATGCAATTCCATCATTTGGGAATATAATTCCTCGGGTGTAGATGTTTGTCCATCCAGTCGCGCAAAGTCATTCAAATAATCCTTGGTCGCTTGGACGGCATCAGGGGAGAATCCTTTAGATGGATCACTATGACCGCCAACGACAATTCTTGGTTTAAGTGCCGCAATCTTATTGAGTGCTGCCACCCATCGCGATCTGGCCTCTTGGGACTTCGATTCCCCAAGGTATGGGTGGGTGTTGTTGTAGACTGCATCGCCTGCAACAACCAAGCCAATTACAGGCACCCAGAGGGCTGTTGTATCATCTGTGTCTGTATGACCCAGTCTAACCACTTCCAATCGCTCATTTTCCAGCATCCAGTGATCTTGCTCAAGGGGAGTGGCTATTACGAGCTTTTCTGGGATCTGTCCAGGGAAGAGATTTCTCCAAAATGCGTCCATGCCTTCAGGAGATATAGCTTTAGCCATCCCAGAGACAGTCTCTGGCGTAGCCACGACCTTTGCCTCCGGGAATTTCTCGAGGAGGGCACCAGTACCATAGAAATGATCGCCGTGGGCATGGGAGACATAAATTGTCGTGAGGTTTTTCCCAGTGGCTACTACCCAGTCTACCAAGTCTTTCGCAGCAGCCATGGTTAACTGGGTATCAACTAGCACCGCATCTCTTTGGCCAAATATCAAGGTTGAAGTGGATGGCACCCACTTAAGGTGATCATGACCAGCTGGTATGGACCGATTCACGCCGGAACGTCTGCTGGTGAAGACTTTGTAGTCGAGACCCATAATGTAGAGAATTGGAGTTAAATCAAGTCTGATAGATGAAGAGATATTTAGCACAGATACTTCAAAGAATTGTTCTTAGGACTTTATATCAAAGCTGAGTATAATGTAACAGAACTGCGACCCAAATATCGGTGAAGAACTGACGTGGTGAGGTATTAGTATTACTGATCATTGACCTCGGCAACCCAAGAGTCTGTGCCTTGACCCACAGTAGTCTATAGTTTGTGTTGCCATCGGAAATCGAAAGCTTGGCTTTGCAGTATTTCCGATGACGAAGATGCGAGAAGCCCTGCGCCTCGGCAATATGACAATTATTATAATCACGAAATCGCAGCACAATCCTTTCGGCTCCCGGTAGTGACGTCCATCTAACCAAATATAAGATGCTTGCGAATATCAAGAAATCAGTCCAGATTAAATAAGGGAGCTCTCGTTCTATTCTGTGTTTCTTTCGTTTGCTTTTATTCTTCAATCATGCCTGGATCGGTAAGCTGTGTTTCCGCTCCTACCTGGCATACATCCGGACCAGAGACCCCAGCTCAACAATTTTTTAAAAATTATGTTGATAGAGTTGACTCCTATAGCTTCAAGCATGGCTCTGGCTTACAATTCTATTCCAAAGACGTCGTTTTCCACAACCAGAACAACGCCCAGTACAATGGTGGAGATGAGATGTGGGCGTGGATGAAACGTCTATTCAGACAATTTAGAAGTCTGCAACACGACTTTCACCGGCTCTGGGAAGTCAAGAATGGTGATGGTACAGCCACCATCATGTCCCAGTGGACCCGCAACATCTGGCTGCCTGGAAACAATACCGAAGAGCCCACTGTTAGCATTCCGCTCAGTTGGATCTCTATTATCGGCTCTGCTGACTTCGCCGATGCTTTGGATGGATTGAATTTCAGGGAGGTCTGGCTTTACTTGGATGCAACTTTGCTCGCGAAATATCTCCCCAGGAGGCTGTTGTTTTCGAAACGCAGAACATATTACGTAAGGCATAAACAACGGCTAGTGGGTATATGCGGTGATAGAGCATCACCACCGGTCGGCTGACGCATTTCGAAGACACAAAGTATCTTTTCTCAAACTGCAAGGCTCAGATTATGGGAGCATAAGCCTATTTGGCAGGATGAAAGAAGCGGGTTCTTGTCAAGGACATGTGAGGGGGTAGAGTAATAGGTCAGCTCAGCATCTATGTATGCAGCAGTATCTGTCAAGTGTTTTCTTAGGCTTTGAATTAATAGGAAACGCCTGTCCTGGGTTCCCACAAGTGTTGCCATGCGGCAACATTAACACGTACACATTTCTCAGCAATCTTTGCTTTGCCACTTATAAGCATCAAAAAACAAACTCCAGAACCTGGAAGTCGCCCATATACTGCCTCATTGCCTCACTAAGGTTTCTGCGGGGATAATGATATGGTATGAACAAACTTCCGATGTTTGTACAGTTGGACAAGCAGCATTCAGCCCGAGTCGGGAAAAAACATAACCTACTCCGGATTCTAGTTATGTTAGACTCTGGCATTACCCATTTAACTAACGGGCCGAATATCGACAGCACATTGAATGCTCTCACACTAACATTGGAGAACCATCGACTATTTGGTGAATTCCAGGTATATTTCAAACCTCCCGGCAGGCCCCATGAATATAATATTCATTCTGTCGAGAGCGGGTTTTTGAGTGACCTTTACTTCCCCGTCACTTGTATCCTAACACGGAGTCCTATTGATACAATTAAAATGCCGTCTCCTCGGCTGCTGGCTATTCATGATTGTCATACAGTATCTTCGTATGGGGTCCTGGGAGAGCAGAATCCAGCTAGCGTGTAACTGGCCAGTGGCCGAACGCTGGAAGTTATCCCTCCGGTAATGTTTAGCATTCGCCCGAGCCCATCGTAACGCTGATGCCCGAAGCTGGACTTGCGCCCAGGGCGGGGGTTCACTTCATTGTGTGCCTCTGTTGCCGCGCGTGCGAGGGTATGGGCTCGTGTAGTGCTCTCATGATCTTCAGCAATTGGAGGCTTCAGGCTAACCCTAACCCCTGTCTCTAGCAGCTGGCTAATTGCTTCCGTAATCCTAGTGACGAGGGCTTGTCCGCCTTGAAGATGCGGCTGTGCAAGTGAAAGCAGAACAGCAGGGTTATTAACCACGATTTTAACATGTATTTTCCATGGTGACATCCGGATACGAGGGAGCATCGTCGCTACAAACGATATAGCCTCTAATATCACCCCCAGTTGTGTAAAGTGAGCATTAAGCGCGTCGTTGCCAACCGTCCTGTTTGACGAGACGATGTCAGCTTGGTTAACGCGAGCCACCAGCCCTGTTCCAACCAGACTGTTACGGACGCTGACACTGGTGAACAACTAGAGACGAGCATGGCCGGTCTCCTGCAGCTCGTGCATATCGGATCCGACAGTGGCAATCAACTGCCCGAGGGACTCTTGCCACGGATCTAGAGGGAAGGGTCGAATGACCTCCATGTCTGATAAGCAATGTAGTCCAAACTTCGCTAGTATCTTGAACGGTGACGGGTAACTGCCCTCCTGCATTGCGGCTGCCACTCAGCAGGACCAGAAGGGGTGATCCCTTGGTAAGGTGTGACAAATAATCCAATGCTTTAAGATACGTGCTCGAAGGCATTTGATAGTCGGTTCAATCCCTACCTCTGCCTCGGCGATAACGATAGCTGCGTTTCGAAACACGCCTACGATCGCCTGAGATGCAACACGCTGGATGGCTTCGAACGGCCGTCCAATTCCCGCCGCCATAATGGAGTTCGGTCGTATAGGGCACCACACAGATGCTGCATAACCAATCTTCGATGCAACGGTGGGGATGAAGAGCTGGCGAGCTACCGAAGGAGGTAACCCATACAGCCGTCTTAGCGCAAGTACAGCTGTCATTCCTTTATTTACAGCCTTTCCGATGTGTGATTTGAACCGTAAATCCTGGTCGAGTATCACGCCGAGGAATCTTAACCTCAGACGCTGGGGTAACAGTCGCTCCATTCACATGTAACGGGACCGCAGGGAGTTGGCGGTACCGCTGATTCCTGGTAAGATAGATGAATGATATCTTCTCTGCCTCGAAGGCTGCGCCAGACTGCGCCGCCCATTCTAATGCTCGTGGGATGACCTTCTCCTGGAATATAGTAGTATTTGCCTCAGCGGATAAGCCTACTGTCCATCGTGTATAATCATCGACGAAAACGATTGCTCCCTTTCTTCTAGTGATGAAGACATCCACTAGATTTGCGTTCAGAAACAGGAAGAGAATAGGAGAGAGTGGTGAGCCTTGCGGTAGGCCTGCGTGCTCAATAGCCAATTCCTCGGATTGGTACATATTTACAGTGATTGATGCCGGAGCAGAAGCTATTAACCCATCGGGTTAGGACCTCTGGGATTCGTCGTTCTCGCAGTCTCCGCAATAGGACACCCCTATCCACACCATTATAGGCTCCCTTAACATCAAAGCTCACCAGGCTGAGGATTTTGCCCTCACGCCACGCATCATGTATCTTTTCTATGAGGATGTTAAGCACTTGTTCGCATGATCGCCTCCAACGTGCCCCAAAGTAGTTTAGGGGAAGTAGTTAGTGTTTTTCGACTAGGGCGGAGATTCTGGTTGCGACGACTGCTTCTAGGACCTTTCCAAGCGTCGCCAACAGCGAGATAGGGCGGTATGATTTCGGCAATGATGTGTCACGTCTACCCTTAGGTATCACTACAATCTTAGCTACCTTCCAAGCGCTGGGAAAGTAGCTGAACCGGAGTGACGCTTGAAAAACGTCAACGACCCATTGTTTCACAGTAGGCCATACTTGTTGCCACATTACCACCGGTAGCGCATCTGGTCCGGAGGCTGTCCACGACGCCATCCTCATTGGAGCCACCTTAATCTCCTGTTCGGTAATCATGTCCATTGGAAGGGCGTCTAGTGGTGACGTGTCTGCCGGTGGCTCGTCCTGTATACTAGGACTTAAGGAGTGTATGGGCCTTTCACTGGTCGTGATCGATCTTGTCTCTGAACACTATGGCAGTTTCTAGCTTTACTCTTGAATAGTTGAACAGACACAGCATATATCGATAACAAGATATAATCACAAGCTATATAAAATGTTCCAAGTACGATAATGCAAGAGCTGTGTATTATCTAGCATCCGTTTGCTCCTTCGATATTTCCCTCCTTAATTGGTTTAGCTGTTTACCATTTATCTGACGTGCCTAACTTATTGTCTCCGCTAAATTAGAGATCAAGCATCTGTAAAACAGGCCGCAAAGAAGGTTCGATAGGTATCAATGCATTCGTTCACACATCTGACAAGTCAAACCACTCTAGAATACGACAATACATGAAAGTGGCGGCATCTTGACTCAGCGTGAAGATAACATATATTCAGCAAAACAGTCAGAAGCTAGTTTGTAAGGTAAGGCCCCCAAGGGGACGGCTTGTTGTCGCGGAACCACCTCTGCTCTTCCTCCGAGCCTGTAGGAGGAATCCTGAGACCATTGATATGCACAAATTCGCGCTCAAGCTCCTCGCCGTTGAACTCCCAGTCATACCCTTTGTCTGCAAGATACGGCTTCACGGTTTCATGGACCATATTCATGAAATTAGTCCTCATAGGGCTCTCACCAGGAGGAAAGTGCCTAGCGATGTGGCTGAATGTAAGCCGGACAAAAGGCTTCACCCCTTTCGTGTGCTGCCCAATCATATGTGATCAGCAAATTGACTATTACTCAGATCATCCTGAACTTACGCATGATACTCCAGCTCGGTACAAGGTGCCGGGAGGCATCTCAATGAATATGACGACAACATAGAATGCTGGTAGGCCAGATCGGGTATACATCGACGTAATGGCCTCTGCAAGCTTCTCTTTGTGCTCAGGATCCGTGAAGGTCCCGGTAGGATGATAAATTCTCCAGTCAGGCATATTGTGAAAAAAAATTTAGGTGAATTTAGGTGAATAAACCAGGGAGCGATGTCCAGGAAGTACTGGAGCAATTTCAGATAGGTAGGTGTTTTGACCGTATTTAAAGAGTGATTCCCTTGCAATATGAGTTTCTTCATGAGAAAGGAGAGGAAGCAAACATTCGTTTCCGGTAACCGATGATTAATAATCCTTTCCGACTTATAACTAACTACTCCAGTCTTCCCACCATAACAAACAGAAATGTGGGGTAACATCAAATTATCCCGATGCCCTGCAGATCCAGATGCTGGGTTCAGGTCCTAAAAATACGTCATAAAAGCCTCTCTCCGAATACCAAAATTATTGATAAGTGATCAGGTCCGAGGCCGAGGTTGAACTAAGGCCTCCGATAAGTGTTTACTCAACATACACCAGCAACACCGTTAACCCCGCTTCGGAAGTGGACGATCGGCAATGACTCCCTTAAAACCATCCGATCAATGTTGGTGGACTAAAGAATAGGTTGAGACATGTCTTCTGCTAGCAGCTGGCTCCTACTCCAAAAGGTTGTCTTGCAGGAACTTGGCCTGAACTGGGGCGTTTATTGTGAAGGATGCCCCGTCGTATGATTCAAAATGTCCTCTTGGTAAAATGTGCAATTGCTTCGGTTCCCCGGCTCTATCTAGCGAAGGCGTCTAGTGCAATTTAAGTAGGTGTGACAACATCATTTTTCATGACCATCAATAATGAGGTAGGAGAGATGCACTGGATAAAGGCTCTAGGTTTATATGCTCGAAATTAATGAGCACGTAGGACAACTAGAGAGTGGCTATAATTCGTGAATAGAATCAATGATTCGTTACGGGCCACAGTACTTTAAGGCACTGAAGTAAAGAGCTGTACCTGTTCGTCGAGGACCGGGTTGGGCGACAGTAAGTATCCATGCTTGGTATTAGGAAGTCGCGCCATAACTAATATGACCTGAATACTTCCTGGTGCTACCTATAAATCCTACGAGCCGGCAAAGTAGACTGATACCCGCTTTTTTTCCTTATGGGGCTTGCAGGAGACGCAAATGTTTAGCCCATATTTACTGAAATGTAGCAAGTTGCACCCAAAATCAATAAGTACCTGGTATGGATTAAGCATATTTGTCCCTAATAGACCAGTCCAAAGGCCCAAGGAACCCAGTATTGTTGCTACTCTCCACCGGAACCAAGAGCGTATGTGGACTGATGGTATTATACATAGCCTTCCTCACATCAATATACACCCATGACGTGAAACTGAGTATGTCCATAAAGGATCGAAACTGATTTAACTGGAGGGGCAGTTCTGGTGTTAGCTATGGTTGTTATCAACATCAATCGGTATTTCTCGTACACCACGGTAGGGGTCATTAAACGAATGAATGAGGGTCTGAATTCTCGAACTATCTGCAATCTTTTTATGTTAAATCCTTCCATCTGAGTCTTCTAAACACACAATTCTCCTAATGAGTTAGTTATCTTGTGTCAACCAGAATGACTGATTACCGGAAAAGGAAAGATCCATTTTATTCAGCCATCGCTCCTGACGATAATTAACCAAATCAGTCTTTCTTAACTTTGATCTTGATTTCTTACACATAAGTCGTAATAAATAAAATTATAATAGCCACAATGGATGTTATATAAGGTGCTTAAGACTGTGAAACTAGCTTGTATAAGGCCGTCTGTAGGCTCGCTTCAATATTTCAAATCCTTAAATTTACGAGAAATGCCTTTATCTGGTGCATGATATCTTACGTTACCTCACGTAGAAACAGGAACTGTATTTCAATTTGATATATAGCGCTGCCTATGCTCTATTTCGCTATGGGTCAATAAGGACATGCGTATGGTCGTATCCACACCATGTTATAAGCTTACAGTTGAGGACAGTATGAATACGATATTTAAGGATTTTGGAAGAGACTTGAGGATGGATGGAGCGATACTAGCATCGATTACACGAGAGATGGAGAAAATCGTCCACATCTTAAGTGTTAGAAATGAGACCTAGCCTATGGAGCATTAATATTAAGGGTTCAGTGATAGACGCGAATTGCTAGCCGAAGTGGTCATTAGTTGGTATAAGGAAGGTCGAGTGGGTTCGAGAATCATGGATCAAGAGCCAGCCTGGCCGTAATACTATCTGCTTCTGACCTCCCATTGTGATCGCCAGGTAGACGTTACACCCCTCTATTCAGCCTTTGGGCCATCAACATTGGGTCCCTTGGACCAGAGGCCCTTTAGACCGTCGATCCAGAAATTGAAACTTCTCTTGGCCCCAAAGCTCGTCGTAAGAATACAGGCTACCGAAGACAAGTACGGGTGCCAGTTACCGGTCTTTCGCCCGTGCTGGTCGTACGATCACGAACTACCGACTCAGCTGGGCAGAAGTACATGGTACGTATGACTACATGGGTAGTATGAACATCTATATCCCAAAACATAGAAGCTGCACACCAGTCGGCAGGGCATCTGAGAACAGATATCGGCGGGTCGCGAATATTTGGCGGCATACAGCGACGAAAGGTTGAAGAATGTTCCACCTCTGTCGTCTATCGTCTTCATCGGCAGTCTTTGCTATCATCGATACCTCGCATACATCAGCCTAAGCGTAAAATCGGTTACGTTATCCATAGAATAATAACGATGAACCCAATGACTCCGAAGGGCAACTTTCGGTCGACAGTATGGTGCCCTATTTTTGGAAATCATTTGCCTCGCCAACCATCCAAGGCATCGATAAGCAAGTACGGGGAGCAAGACCTTCTTGGAGGAGTTCAGGGGAGTAGCAAAGTGCTTGCGGAGATTGTTAGTTGCTGAAAGCTTCATTTGAGTTCGGCAGCAGGGCTTCTAACGTATTCAACCCTCATCGTAGACCTGGAGCGCGACGACATACTGGCCCTCTTGGCGCGTGAGATGGGTGGCACTCACCAGGCTGAAGTTAATATCCACCTTATATATTTTAACCACAGACAGAGGCTTGAATCATTCTGGTCCTTGAGCACATTACACAGTATCCATTATATGAGAGAGTGTATTTCCATCCAATCATGTCTTGATCTCGGTGCCAAAAACCCAAACTAATTTCTTCGCAGTTTATCTACGCCGCAACTCGTATATCGACGTTCGCTGCCATGCCGATATTTGTACGCCCCATGAACCCTGCGCTTGTATCCCACCCCCAAACCTTGTCCCTCCCCTCGGCACATCGTATCAATGCTGTCCTATCCCTCCAAGACAATCACCCCCCAGTCGGACCAGAATTAATGATGGACTTTTTCAACGATTCGAACAGCCGGGTCCCCCGGCAGTGACCTAATCATACAGCAATTGCCGAAGAAATGGACTGCGAGCTAACATCTGATGAAGTTAAAGTGATGAAAGCGTGGGGAATATTCTATCATGAGAGTTTGGATTGGAGGCGTATATGGGGGGCCCTTGGGTTGGCGTTTTTCCTACCGAGTTTTTTATACGAGATTCTGTGGGAAATTCTGAGGAAGGATATACAGGGGGCCTTGCAGGCTGGTGGATGACGGAAGCGACAATCGTGGTAGGAATGATGGGAACTCTTCTATAGAAAGACGGTGGAAGGGTATTTGAGGGTCTCGAGGGTATAAATGGTAGACAGAGATTAGCCTCCATGACAGCAGTGTTTTGTTATAAGAGACAAAACGCTGATTGCGAGCATAGAAGGGCTTTGGAGGTTTCCATGGGTATAACATAGTATGCGCCTAGGTATCTCTTTTCATATTCCCGAGAAAATCAACATCTGTTAAATCTATGCCCCTTACACATTATGGAACATTTTGAGCTCCGAAGAGACACTCATGACCAGTGCCCCAGCGCCCCACCGCCCCGAGGGTCATGGATGAAGCACGGGCTTTTCTAGATAGAATTGACCGAGTCGGAAATTTCACCCTGTACATCGCTATCTGGCTTTATGCAAGGCCTCTTCTGGCAAGTATCCTCTGTGGATACTGCACTAAAGGGTTCTTCTTCAAACGGCTACCGCCGCTTTCATTTTACGCAGTTGGAGCGAGGCTCCGTGATAGAATGGAGTCAAAAAATGCCGTTGAAGACCGACCACACCCTTGTATTGCTTCGACCGACACAGTGGGCGAGGGCATTGCAAGACTTCTTTTGACTGTTGTAATTTCAAGTGGCTGTCAATGTAGTTTAAGAGAGTGGCTTTGGTAATTCACTGTTTGAAATGCTCTGCAGGGCTTTTCTCATCTCCAAGGCAGAACGGACAAAGACCAGCAGCTACAGTGGTTTACCGAAAGGTCAGAATCCTACAGCGAGTTGAAGGTTGTCTAAATGATGTTGACAGTGCTCATTCCAGTGCTCCTCGTCATAGATTAATTCCGCGCAGAGATAGCAGAACTGCACAAATGCCATGTAAACTTGATTTCACGGAAATAGAGAGAGTGTGAAAGCGAGGCAAAAAGTGGGCACACAATATCTAGGCTGGGACACAAGCTTGAAGAGAGGGGATTCAAAATCCAGAAAATAACAGACCCATTTCTGGTTCTATATGATATCAAAACAGACGAGCCATAATTGCCTGGGAGTAGCATCTAGCGTGTTTCAAGGATAACTTCGGCCCCATTGAGACCCTCGCTCTCAGCCTTGACCGTGATTCTTCCCGACGCACCCACCTTAGCCCGAACAATGCAAAGAGCAAGACCATTAAAAACCTTCCGATCATGGGACGGGAACGGGGTGAAATCAGATTGAAACCCATTATCGGTTGCCACGATCTCCCCTGGTCCGGACACCGAGAAACGGACGAGGCTGTCTGCTTCTGGAACCGTGCGTCCCTTAGCATCGATGACTTCCACAGACACAAAGGAGAGGTCCTCGCCATCCGACTCGATCTTATTCCTATCCGCTGTACCGCGAAGACCTGTCGCTTTGCCCACTGTACGAACGGTGTCTGTCGCCCATTTTCGGCCATCTTTGTAGGTGACGACGTGTAATTCGCCGGGTTTGTAGATGACATGGTCCCATTTGAGACGGTAGGTCAATGGCTGCTTCTTGATCCTTCCTTGAGAAACACCGTTAAGGAAGAGCTCGGCCTCATCGCCAGAGGTAAACACATGGACCGGCGTTACCTTCCCAACCCGACAAGGCCACGTCCAGTGTGGCAAGATATGGGCCATTGGGAAATCCGGCCGCCAACGCGACTGGTAGAGAAAGAACCTCTCCTTCTTGAACCCAGCAAGATCAATGATACCGGAGTACGCACTTCGAGCTTCACCGTACGGATACGGCTCACCCAGGTAATCCCAACCCGCCCAGACAAATCCCCCGGCCACAAAAGGGTGTTCATCCTGCGTTGAGAAGACTCTGTCTGGGGACGAGCCAGCGTCGGCAGAGTATAGCTCATAGGCAGAGATCTCCAGGGACGTTGAGTTCCCACCGGATGTGTCGTTGACCGGTGCGCTCGTATAGTTCGTGACAGGGAATAAGAAAGAGCCACGGCTACTGAGCGACCATGCCACTTCGCTACCAATGATGACTTTATCGGGATGTGCCTCGTGGAACCCTGAATATTGTGGTGGCTTGCGGTTTCCGTCCAGATGTGCGTATGCTGGTCCATAGCGCGTGCCTTCGCCTTGGTAATTGAGGCATATAATGCCTACTACATCCGTGTACAGGCTAGTCGGAGTCGAGCGATGCATCGAGCCTGTGGATGGACGGGTCATGTCTTCCTGGACGAGGATCTCTCGAAGGTAAGTAGCAATCTCGGCTGTCCAGGCATCGTAGCTCTCCTGCTCTGCATTCTCATTCCCATAGCTCCAGACGATAACCGAGGGGTGATTCCGATCACGTCGCATAAAGGATCGGAGATCCGGCTCGCGCCAGTCTGGGAATATCAGATGAAAGTCGGATTCTGTCTTTGGCATTACCCATGAGTCGAATATCTCGTCGACGACTAAGAATCCCATTTGATCGGTCATCTCGAGGAGCTCGGGTGCGGGTGGGTTATGCGCCATTCTGATCGCGTTGACGCCGAGGTCCCGGAGCGTGTCTAATTGTCGCTGGGCTGCTCGTTTATTGAACGCAGCACCAAGTGCACCAAGATCATGATGCTGGTTGACGCCTTGGATCCGTAGGGGAATGCCATTGACTGACAATCCGGTGTCAGGGTCGAAATCTAGGGAACGGATTCCAAATTTGGTCTCGTAGGTATCAAGCAGGCGCCTTCCAGAATATAGTTGCGTGAGTATAACATACAATTCTGGGGATTGGCTCGGTGGTGGACCCCATAACTTTGGATTTCTGACAGTTGTTGAAACAGATACAGGCGCTTTGCTGTCCGCGCCTACTCGAATACTGTGTCGAGGGAACTGTTGGATTTTGCGACCGCGACGACCATTCTTGCCAATCTCAAAGATAACCGAAACGACTTCAACTCTCTCACTTCTCGTTAGGCTGTTCGCGACCTGAACTTGAAAATCAACAGTAGCTTTTTTCGGCGAGATATCCCTCGTTGTCACTTTTGTACCCGAGTGTGCCACATGAGTAGGATTGACTGTCGTCAGCCACACATTGCGATAAATCCCAGCGCCAGGATACCACCGCGAGGAAGCACCTGAAGGATTCTCAACGCGGATAGCAAGCTGATTCTCTCCCTTTTCCAGATATCGCGTAAGATCCAGCTGAAACGAGTTATATCCATAAGGCCAGCCACCGACCAAGTGGCCATTGAGCCAGACCATCGGATATGCCATGGCACCATCAATCTCAAGAAAGACCGTTTTCTCTAGATCGGATGAGGATATTCTTAGCTTTCGACGATACCATCCCACACCCTGCACAGGCAAGCGTCCCATACTGCCCGATATCTCAGGGTTCTCTCCGGTATAAAACGGTCCTTTGATCGCCCAATCATGTGGCAGGCGGACTGGCTCCCAGTCGCTGTCGTCAAACTCGGCATCCACAAAGGGGATGTCGATAGCTGGCTCATGAGAAGGGCGCTTGTGCTTATCTTCTGGATTTTTGATATAGTCATTGCCTGATGGGAGGATCCAGGGCTTAAGAACTACCAGACTTGTATCGTTTGCGCCAGGACGAAGGTCATAGACAATGTTATCCGGGATTGTCTTTGAATGCGAGAATCGCCAATCTGCATTTAGACTCTCTCGGACGCGGGGGTTTTGCGAATGAGAGTCGGCTTCGCGCGAGACTGCAAATGCCTCGGTAACCTGCGCTCCTAAGAGTGACAATGTCAGGAGGGCAAGACTGCCGCGGTACAAGCAGGGCTGGAGTCGCATACTGATCGAGACTAATTCAGACGGAGTCTTTCATGAACGCAATTCGACGGACGATGGGACAGCCATATACCCTTCGCCAGGCAATGAATATTTAACCGGATTGCAAACATCTGCATTAACGACGCAAAGCCAGCACTATGTTATAATATGAAAAGAACAAATAGCCGATCCTGGTAGTATCAGGCGGTTTTCCCACCAATCGCACTCATCTCATGGCATGATTGCGCCAGGGAAGCTGTGTTGGGCTTCAGAAGAGTAGCCTGCCAAGCTGCAGATCTGCATCGTCTTTAACCCCGCCCCCTCCATTTTAGCCATACTCCGAAAATGCCCTAAAACGTGGGGTATTGGAAACCGGAGAATCTGGGGAGAAAAGCGGGCAGGAGCGGGTTGATTTGCGACCTTGTTTTCTGCTTGGCCTTGGGGTCCGGGACGATATTAGACCGATTGATGCTAACAAACGACATACATATTAGAGTGGTCCTAATTCGCTGGATCGATATGTCATTTGAAGTAGTTAGTTAGTTACAGCTAGCAGATTAGTTAATCTTGTTTAGTAGATCACTTTTCTACTCTCGTCCCGTTTCTCGCCAAGATGGCAGGAAAGAGAGCTTGTTGGGGGATCTTTCCTTGCAGAATTGTCAAACTGAACACTTGAAGATAAATAACCAGCAATCATGTCACCCCCCTTGAGGCGTAAAGAGAGAATTGTCGGGCCTTCGATTGTCCAAACTAGCCGGAGAAGTGCGTGCCCTTACTTGGAGTATAATATTTCGGCCTAACTATAGAATATAGCATGAAGATCAGGCTGAATCTCAGCCACAATTGCACTAACACCACTCAGAACAACACAACAAACACCAACAAGCCATGTACGGTCGTGCCACGACGCTCTACCCCCATACTCTCGAAATGCTCGACCAGCTTGACCTCTTGGAAGAACTGAACCAGATCGGTTATATCGGGCGAACCAGCGTTACTTACAAGGATGGTAAACGGGTCACGTCGCGAGGATGGCACGTCATGTTTGAGCGAATGAACGGGACGTTTCTTGACTATTGTTTGAATATTCAGCAGAAGTACTCAGAGGAGGTCATTCAGGGGGCGTATAAGCAGTTGGGTGGCGTGCCGTATGTGGAGTGGAAGTTGGAGGAGTATGCAGTTGATCAGGACAGTGCGAGTGGGTATAAGGTTAAGGCGAGGATTAGGGAGGGAAACACTGGTAAGATTGTCACGGTAAAGATGGACGGTTCTGACTTCATTTTGGGTATTCGACATGGCTAATGTTGGAAAGCATCATCAACAAAGCACCCTCTTCCGGAATGATCTCGGCCGGGTGGAGGGGCCCGGATGCTTTGGTTTACGCGCCTGGTTCTCGTCTACCGACTCGTCTTTTCCATAGGACAAAGAACTGCGGCCAATGGTCAATCATCGTCTTTGCGGGACAGCCTATAGTGACGCACAACGTACTCGCGCCTGCAGTGGAGCGGCTGCAGGAAATCGCGAAGACCCTCCCCGCCAACATGAACCGGTTCCTGACCTTGGTGGCTCAGAGCGCAGCAGAGGGTGACCTGATGTTCAAGCTTCCCAAGATAGGGAATGTCTACTATGACCAGGATCGTGCCGCTCACTCGGCGTATAGTAGTATCTCAACTATGAATGGAGCGGTCGTGGTTCTTAGACCAGACGGTATCTTGGGGCATGCGGCACCGTTGAGTGATCTGGATGGTGTCGCATCTTTCCCGAAAGGATTCACACAGATTGATGCATAGACAATAGAGAATAGATACTTAGATAGATAGAATCAAATAGATTGCATTGATTTCTGATAAGGCAAACAGTTCATCAGGCTAGGCTCCAATATCCATGTTGAACCAGAAAGGATCAAATATCGTTTGACCGTCAAACTCCAGATCTCGGAATAGATTTTCTGAAAAAGGCATTTGATCGAAATTGTCGGACGAAAGCCCGAGATGCTCTCCGGTATTCTCTGTGGAGTTGCCGTCTTTGCCGGTTGAGTCTATCAAAATTAGTTTACCAGACTCTCTGAATAAACCAGGGGAATTACTTGCCAGAGGCAGCCAAAGAGCATTTAGCTCGAATAGTACGCAGACTATCGGCACAACGTTCTGCTAACGAGCTATATGATTTCAAGTAGTCAAGAGACGCTAAGCATTTGTCCCATGAGACTGACAACGCCTCATGAGTGACAATAGTCACAATTTGGGGGTGTAGTTCCGCGAGAAGAGTGATTTATGCAGCGGTGAAAACGTCTAAAGTCTCGTGAGTCTAATAAGCGGACGGCTGAGGGCACAGAGGTACTCACAAAAGACGTTATAAAACCAGACACTGGCTAGGTCGGTACTGCAGGTTTCGTGCACCAAGGATATCAAATCAATTGCAGCCTCGCGAAACACCGAGCAGCCCTTGATCAAATTCGCAAATATGCCGGGCCCGGGAAGTCCGGATCGAAGGGATTCATTCTCTACGGACAGGTATGTCTCACGCAGTGACTGAGAAAGGACCGGTCGGCAGATAAGAATCTTCAAAGACAAGAATCTATAGACGATTAGAAACCTGGAGACGCGACTCGCGGAACACATACCTGGCCTTAAGCAGGTATTTCTCTCGTAGAAAGGGGTCCTCAGAAACGTCCGCCCCGGTCTCATCCCAATGGAGCTGCATCGGGATCCTATGGCAAAAGTCCTCCAACTCTACGTCGAGCTACGTAACACTTTGAATCTGGAACACGGTCTCGGCTCGACGTCTCTCAAGAGGTTCTTTAATAAATCGACCCCCATAATTATCATATAGATAATTCAAAGCTTTTCGCAGAATATCGTATAGGTTGAGCGTAGCAATGAACCACTGTAAACGAGAGAAAGTCCCAGGAGACTGTTCGCAGATCGCAGAATCCACAAGCAAATAACGATCATCAATAGGGTCCGGTAACGGTGTAGACGGCGCCTGGGATATCATGACCGGTTGCCCAAGTATAATACTGATCGCCCTGGGGACTGTCAGTTAAGAACACAACGAGGTAGAACACACATACAGATCCAACATCACACAAGCATGCCACACTCTCCTTCGTATCTGAATCTCAGGAAACGAGCGAGTCTCGTTTCCCGCGTCCGAGTGCAGCCCAATCCCTTGGGCCAGTCTGCACGCCGTGCCGATCGCATGCCAGGAGCGGTTCGGCGTCTGTGAGCTTTGAACGTAGTGCGTCATGAGTAAAAGACTCTGCGTCAATGCCAGGTCGCAGGTCTCGAGATAGTCCACGTCCAGGGTGGGCTTGCATGGTTGAAAAAAGGCCTCGGAGGTGGTTTGTCGCTCGCGCTGCACGATATTCGAGAGTTGGCAACCCGTAGCAAAGATCGCGTTCAGTCCGTAATAGAACGTGGTGCGCGATACATTTTCGTCGCCAAGGCCGAGACCACGAGTGGACCGAGTGCTCGAGGGAGATTTGTCCGGCTCCCAAAGCTAATGGTAGATAGCGAAAAAGGCCTCTTTGTGCACGAATGGATACAATACATGGATCTTGGAAAAATAGCAGTCAACCAGATGGTCTGCCAAGGGCCGCGTTGGGAGTAACTGAGCATAACTCAATTGAGGAGTACCCTCGGGATTAGGGCGAAGGCTTTCAAGATCCCTAGATAGGCGCGACTGACACGGGAAATCCCGCAGCGGACCGGACGTTTTCGACCGGAACGTGTCTTGTAACTGCTTGAGAAAGGCGATGGTGGACGAGTCTCCGAAGAAGCCCCTCGTGGGCTCGTCGTTGTTCAGCGGTCGCGAGACAAGTCCTATCCCCGTCACGTCCGACCACCGCGGTACTGGGGATCGGCGGCAGACCAGGGAGAACGTGGTTCACAGACACGCTTGCGCCAGGATTATTCACGCTGGCAGCTCTTCATCAGATCAGACGGTGACTACGCGGTTCGCAAGTCGGTGGTACTATTCCTACCTCGAATCGCGCTGATCGCTATCCTCATACGCACAGCCCTCTCTGCGACGAAGACACGTTCCACACTGCGGTCGCACACCGTCGCAGCGTATCTTATGCGCGCGACACGTCGCACATGCAACGCCGACTCGTTTCCTCTTGACCGACCGGCAGGAAGCTCCTAAAAGGCCTCACCGTCGACAAGTCCGCGGCGCATCGCCTATCCCACGGACAACCGTAGCACTTGCCAGCAGCAGAATGAACCCGATTCCAGTAACGGCCACGTGGGAGAGAGGCAAGAATGAAAGGGATGGCGGTTGGAGATGCCAGGGAAGGAAGGGCTTGGCTGGTCATGGGACCGAGTGATGACGAGAGGGCGGTGAGGAAGCGACGAAGTGGCTGTCTCTACAAGGGGGCACAACCGGGATATGATGAATCCCCAGCTATGAGTCCCGACGAGAAGAGACAGTTCGGTCATTTTGGGCAAGTGCACGTTTCCCTCGGAGTCAGGATGACGGGGGTGATGGCATCGCACAAGCCGGGAAGAGTGAGAATAGCATCACGGACCGTGGCAGCCACCATCGACGACTAGTAGGAGATCGTCACTGCATGGGTGCAGGAAAGCAGAATCGATTAATCAGAACCTTCCTTAATAGGCTCTACTCCATTGTCGCGATGACAGCTGTCAAAGAGCTAAATTTGGGCGACAGCAAGACCGGTATGAATTTGGCAGCACCCACTTGAAAGTTTGTTCCCGGATCAGAACATATTTCCTGGTAGCGTGATTGGCAGAGGGGCGTCCCCATGGTTCCGTTGCTTCTTTGAGTATAAGCTTTTGCGAGTCTATTTCGCTGAAGATGTGAAGGCTCGCGTCGATCTTCGAATTGCAGCTCAGCTCTGGTCCCTTGTGACATCACGCCCGAACGTCTCCCAGATCGCCGGGACAGCTACGATCGAACCAGCTCCGGTTATAAAATTAACCTGGAATCGCTTCAAAGAGGTACACCATGAAGAAGGCCTTAACCCTTTTTCCCATACAATCTGAAGACCCTCCATCATGAAGTGCAACCAGATCATCTCGAGTTACCTCCACTCCACAATGCCCTCCCCCCTCCCGGTCGGGACATCCTCCAAGATGCAGATGACCGTCAACTCGCTGCTCTGGAAACAAACACAGGCTATCCAAGCCCGTCCCAGCACTCCGATCGATCCACAAAAGCCAAGTCCGTGCATTATGGACCTGGTCAAGTGTCCCGAAGACTTCCTCAAGCACAACTCCATCGAGTCCGGCATGATCTTTGCCGGCACCAAAACAAAGGGCCCTCAGCCTCGATTCGCCAAGTTGATCGACATCTCGACTGATCATGACGATGGGAAACATTACAACGTCATGTTTCACGAGAAGTCGAGCCGATACGCCATTCCCGCCGCCTTTCTCTGCGCGAACGCGGATGGCCAAAACTCTCGTACGCCCGCATACATCGACATCCCCATCTCGGACCCGACCGAGAAATTCCTCTTCACGCCAGAGCTGAACGGTGCGTCGATCATCGTCACTAAGAAAGATGACCTGACGTATCGTGTGTTTCACGATAGCCGGATCTGCAGCTCGGTGCTGTACGACAACGTCGTGCTGGCGATCGACTACTGCGAATACGGCGACGAGTATGACAAGGACGCTCTACGCCGGAAGGACCTAGCTACGGCGTGTTTGCACTATGAGAGCCCAATTACCGACAGTGAGCACGGCCAGTGGGCCGTTTACTGCCAGTACCTGCAAGAGACAGGCAGCAGCCAGCGCTCGCTGAGGTTCAACGGCTGCGAATCGCCCGTGCAGAAGATGAAGTCTTACCAGGCGCCGCATGTCGCGCGGATCCGGGACGAATTCAACCGCTTCGTTAGAGCCGAAGGGGAGGCTGCCCTGAATCAATCGCTCCCCTTTATCCAGGACGGAACGTTCGAGGTCATCACGGACACGGATGCCATGTTGACCAACCCGGCCGTGGCTTCGACGGAACGATTACGCCTGTATCTGAAGCCGTACGGGGACATGCTCAAGAGCTCCATCAAGGACGCCAAGGCTAACAAAAGCCTCGCCGGTAACATCGATGTCAAGATTTGTATGTTACATCCCTTGCAAACGAACCATTAATCAACGTCACTAACCTATTATCTCTAGTACTCGAAGACAAAGTCCAACGACTTGAAAAAGACCTACGTCATTACGAATACCTCATCCGCACTAGTGAAAGACTTGATTACACCTATCTATGGTTAAGACAGAAACAAGTCGCCAATCCCCTCGAAGCGCCACGCGTCTCTCTTCCCATGTTAACAATTTGAGCGTCACGATACCATACCCTTCATCCCTTTACGAATATTTGCTTGTGCCTGTTAGCGATTATTAGGAGGCTACCCTTTTTTTTGTTTTTCTTGATGGCGCCTCATCTTCACATGTATATAATTATAGCTCCAGACGACATTCCAATCGTCGCAGCCAAACCCAAATGTCTAATACTACCAATTCTGAAGGAAGTGCTTCGTAATCACATAGTATGTGACAGGCTGGCCGTGATGTCATATTAGCTGAAACAGAAGCAGAGTATGGCGCAGTCGATCATGTGAGTTGACGCTTGGTGGTACAGAAACGCCTCGCTTTCCATGGATGGGAATACTTCAAGTCTGGATGGTGGCTGGCGGTGATACTCGGATTTGACGCAGTCCGCGGAGAAGATGAGTGGGGTCCGCGGACACCGGAATGCCGAGAGGTACCAATGTATACTATTTTGGAATTGGAAACATCAACTAGGGATCGGAATAGCAGTGTAAGTGGCAATTAACATACTTGCTGGAAAAGAACAAAAAATAGCACGGGGTCTCTGTGAGCTACATATTTCAAGAACTTGAAAAATACCGTACGATTGGCCGGGTTGAGTTTACCGGTGGCCTTGCGAGCCATAAAGAATAAGGTACATACATATACCTTATATAGAAAGCTCACGGAGCTTCCCTACAGCATCGCTACCGCTTTCCATCTAGGAGATTCCGTCGCATACGGATAACTCTTCGCAACCTCGCCAAGCCAATCTTGCTCTGAGCGATACGATTGCTCTTGGGAACAGCGCACAAGATCCTTCGCTACACCAATCGCCTCCTCTAACGGCAATATATAGATCTTCCACAGCGCATACAAGACGCCGTATGGTTTCAACCACCCGCCCCTCCGCTCGCCGACCACCGCTTCCATTGAGACAACGGTACGTTCCCTAAGAAATCCATGCAGAAGCGAGTCCATTTCCGCGTTCGTCCTCGGCCTTATGGTGACGGGCTGCGTCTCGATCAGCTCGATGAATTCGGACAAGGCGGTCCGAATGAGTGACGTAGTTTTTGCTACCGTGCGAGGTAGCAAATAGCGACTGACTGACTTGGGGTAGAGTGGATCATGGGCTAGATCGTCGCGATGAAGAGCAGCTAAGATTGGGTCTCGACGATGGAACCAGGCTTCGAACTCAACGGCGCAGTCGGTACTACATCGGATTCCTTCTGCGTGTTGGCGCATGAAACAGCAGTAGCGCTCCCATGTTGCGGTGGCCACGTCGGAGAGCAAATGGGTGTGGAATTGGGCGATCTGATAGACTTGCTCTGGGCTGATTCCTGCGTTGTTACAGATCGGGATGATATTTTTGTGCCATTGGCCCTGGGGGTCTTGGTATTGACTGGCATCTTTGCCGAGAAGAAAGGATAGGGCGCTGGAGGCGGGGTGTTGCATTGATTCTGCGGACGCTTCGGAGCGTATAAAGTTGAGGTATCGTTCCTGGATAGATCGATGGAGCCAGTAAGGGGATGCCCGTGGACCGTGGTGGGAATCGGAGTTGTCTGGGTAGCATTGGTCCATGAACTGGTAGACGTTTCCCAGCCGACGCGTCCACTCGGTTTGGCTGGGGCTGATTTGCAGGACTCGCTGGTGCTGTGTGCATGCGACGAATGCTGCCGGAAGCTCTGCGCGGTCGGCTTCTGGGACGGAGTGAAGGACAGCGCGGAGCGATCGAACGATGTAAAAAAGTCGAGGAGTTAGGCTCGCTGCATGTGGAAGATGGTCGGGATTCATCCCCTGGGACTTTGCGAAAGCCAGAAACCGGTCTGCCCATAGGGGGGTCTCTGGAACGCTCTTCTCCATCATGTACGTGAGAGTGGACGAGTGGTTTAAGAATGCCTTTAACTGTTGGGCAACCTTTCCTGGGAAAGCGGCCACGGTTAAAGGATCCTCTAGGAGGCTTTCCTGCTTAGCCTTGTAGGACTGAGCGACAAGATCATATCGTCCTTGATGTGAACTCTGCGTGATCTGAGAAGCCAACTGTTGGATGCCAGCTACTGGACCGCGCGCATGCACGGCGCGAAGAAGCTCGAGTCGCTGTGAAATCGAAGGGATCAACGGCTTCTGCTTGCGTAGCAACGGGTCGATGATGGCCAGAGGACCAACATCATCAAACACCTCTTCGGGAGGAAACAGCAGGACACAATCATGACTGCCGTCAAAATGGGTGACACGACTCCGTGGGCAATTGAAATGTTCCAATCCAGCACCGATCTCGAATTCATCGGATGGGTCCGACCTTACGACCTGCCAGGTGAGTCCCCCGTCAACAGCGGACTGCAAAGTAATCCATCCGACCTGATAATGGACGCTGACCCTGGTTCGTCCGCCGACGGCGTTGGGGATGGCGGCCCGTCCGAAGTACTCGGGGGTCTCGACGTGCAAGCGGATCGCACCGGCAGGCACACGAGCAGCTCGGGCGAGGGCCACGGCCAGATTGGCACTGCTGGAGCAGGAACCCTGTCGAGCGCGTAAAACCTCGACTGCGGTCTGCTGCCAACCGCCGAAGAGGTAATGAATAGAGTCACGCACTGCGTGGTGGATGACTACGCTAACAATTCGTTGTGCCATGGCGAGCCGTTGAAGATCGACAGTGGAGAAGCTCACAAGGGGCTGGGATTGATGGGCCTGGTCTAACAGGCGATCCATCTCAGGACTGTGAAGCGTGTTCCACAGCTCGTCCCGTTCCATCAAGAGGCAGTATGTAGGATGAAAGGCAAGTTCGTTAAAGGTGTAGAACGAGCCATCGGGTCCATGAACGAGGGCATGATCTCCGGAGGTACCGTCAGGAAATCGCTGCTGTAGAATATTGGCCAGTCGGGGCATGGTCAAGAGGTGGCGGGCTGTTTGGACGATTTGAGGATCTTCACTATCAGTATATTCAGAGCATGCTAGCATCGGGCTCAGGGGTAGGCCTCTCCTCCAGGTATTCGTCTGCTGCTCCCACGCTGTATCGGCACGGTGAACCTCATCCAGTCCAATGAGACTTGGATGATTAAACATTCCCTCGTCCCGTGCGGTCTCCGAGTGAAAGTCCTCGATTGGCAGTGGACCGGCAATGGCCCTTTTCACATCTGCCAGAAGATGCTCCCGAATTTCGGTTGAGCCCTGGGCAAGGAGATCCCCTACTTTGGTGTCGGGAGATAAAGCCCGCATGAATGTTTCGTGGTCATCTTGCTCGCGACGAATCTCCAACTCCAACACGCTCCATACAACTGGAGGAATTCCCTGACCGGCGCTGCTTGCCAGCAATGCCGCACCAGTAGCCCGCCGAGCTACAGGCGTGGAGGGGCGCGAGAGAGGCGGCCGATTCTTGTTATGATGTCCCAGTACGTGAGAAGGGGGGATTGGTGTCTTTGCTTCATGAAGTGCTGTTTCTAGGGCATTGGTGTGTGTCTGCAGCTCATTCCAAACGGGCCCCGATTGAGTTCCTTTATCTTCTCGAAATTGTGACTGCTTGGACATAGTTTCAGAGTACAGAGCTTTTAGACAGCAGGTGCCGGCTTGACCCAAGGCACCTGCTTGGGCCTGTGCAGCAGGCGACCCCAGGAAGGGGAAACGCGTTGCATTCTCCTGGTTGATATGAAGTGGCTCTTCCGCCATGTTTGTGCCGACAGATTATCAAAATGTCTAAGTGATGAGAGGCGGTATATGTCTGTTAATCAAATGATAGAGGAATGACGGGGCGAAGAGGAGGGGTGCATGCAGTATAGATACTCAACCGAGAAAATGCTAAATCTGCGTAGAACCGGTCTAGGACCTATCGATATTCTGTAGTTATCGTATGATTCTGCAGTGAACCTACACAGTATCTGATATCTCCCGGAAACAAGATACAGTGCACCAAAAACTTGCTGGACCTGGTCATACGATAGACCGAGAACTTCAGCTCCAAGTCTCGAAGTTTGAACGGCGACAAGTCGATATTCGACCTGTTCTAGGATCCTATCTTGAGGATGTAAATCATTGCTTATAAAGTCAATGGAATGCTGTACAGGCCGTGATAACCTCCCTCTATACCCTAGTATATGCCATGATATTCCTAGCTAACCTTCTGATTGAAGAAACCAGAAGACTATACATATGAAGGAACTTCGGTAAAGTATAGCTCATCATCACAGATAAGCTATAATTCCTATCAGTACCTGTCACATAGGCACTGAAAAGGCTACTTCGAACTCTCCACAGGCTATATTGGAATCGACCATCAAATAAAATACGAGTATGGACCGTTTTCCCGAATAGGAAATAGCCGTCAACCTTATACCTCTAATCCCGGTTTGCAGTGGAATAGATTTCCAACCCACGGCTAACACTGGACCATCTCATTGGTTCACTTACAAAGGTATTACACCCCTGAAAACGGAGCAAGAGATGTAAACGGCCATACTGCCGCCATCATGAAGCAGGAAATGCCAACAGAGGCGGACTGCAGAACCTCACCTGGGATGGATTCCGGCCGTAGACGACGTAACAGGTCAAGAGATGCTGATTTGATCCAATATGAACTCTCAAGGCCGAAACATATTCTTAACACTGAAATCATGAAGTCTTTAACCCATTCGAGATGCCCCATGCGATGGTTGACATCCATCATCCCTCGCAAATTGGAAGCGCATGTCCCACGAATATCTTCAAACAATTAGTATCCCAGAGAACCATTTTCTATTATGTAAAAAAGAAGGAAAATTCCAACAAAGAAAGCGATAACAGTAGTGCTGCTCCGGTCGAGATTTTCAACCCTGAAGATTGAACACAATAGTTCACCTCGTGGGCGAAGTCATTGGGGCCGACAAGTAGGGACCAATGAGGCAGATTTGCTTACGAAGCTTTTTAGTTTTTACAGCCTTGTAGACCCTAACCCGATTATTCGATACTACTACTAGTATATGGCATATTATTAACTTTGAAGGTAGCCATGTTCTACTCCGTATTAGCCCCTGTGCGGATCTTCTGTTTTGCCTTTACGGAGTACTAAGTAGGAGCTAAAAAGGGTGTAAAAATAGACCCTAGAAATATTCTCTAGTCAGGTGCTACAGTCTCATCACAATCGAGACCCTTCTGGCGTTGTTAACTAATGTTGGGCCTCGCTCACGGTGCAACAGGCACTGCCTAAACCCGCCTCCCCGAGGGCCCCGACGAAAAAAAAAAAAAAAAAAGAGAAAAAAAAGGAGAAAAAAAAGAGGAAAAAAAGAGGAAAAAAAAAACCAACAAACAAAATCCGTTCCGAGGCAGTGCTGATCCAGGCTCCTCGACCGATCCCGGGATGAGCGTGAGTGGAGGAATCGCAGGTGCTAATTTCTTAGCTCTCTGCTAGTTTGGCCACTCATCGGGACGCATTTTGCGGTGTGCTGGAGACGGTCGGAGCTTGGTTGCAATCGTTGGGCCACTCCCCGCAACGGTCGGCCAGAATTCTTGCGATTTGCTGATTACTCTCGTCGAGTGTCCCGCGTGGGAAGTAACTGGTGGTGTTTTACTGGGAGTTGAGGCCTTCAGGGTCTGGATGGTTGTTTGTATCACGTTGGCTCACGGTTATACTTCACAGCTATATTACGGAGTATCGCTGAGGGACGGAGGCAGCGGTGAGTGCAGTACTTTAGGTACACTTTCGGGGCCTGGATTTTAGTCACCCGATTGATCGCGAAGGAATTGAGTTTCCTCGATGCAGGCGGAAAGGATTTAATTTCTGCGCAGGGGAGCGATTGGAGATGTTCGACCGAGAGCGGTACTCCGATCCCCAGGAGGAGGTCCGAAGAGTAAGAAGTGAAACATGAAGGCAGACATTTTCTCTTCCCGCCGACGCTAAAGACGCATCTCGCTGACTGACAGTTTACCCACCAGGACTCCAGGAGAGAGTTGCCACGCTGCCAACGCTAAGCTCTCACTATCCGTTCGATCCAGAAGGGCCCAGCCGACAATGATTCCTTCCATCCTGCATGGGATGAACACGCTATGTGGTCATTCTCGCTGCTTATCACGTCCAAGGCAAGCCTCAATATGATATCATTCGCCCTACTCCACCTCCCAATGCCCGAACAAGAAATTAACGTCGCGCAAGCCGCCCAATGGAACCGCCATCGCGGTGGAGACCACGCTATTTCCAGGCACCGAGTTTCCTGTTGTGGTGGAGTTTTGCTCTTTTTTTCTCTGTCGATTCCGTGCTTTTAGTACACCAACTAGTGATGGAGCCATGATAAGTCCACGATCCCTTGCCTCCGCGGCCGACGCCTCCAGAAAATAAATAATGCCACCAGGGACGCCGCTCGCGGTATTCCGGGAAACCACTCCATTGAGATTTGACAGTTGCTCGTTTCTAACGCCTTCGGATTTGCGAAATGAGGCGCTCCAGTGCCGCTCAGGGCTGGCTTTTAAGGCTGACGTTGTTGACCTTCATCACGCTGTGCACGTGTGCGCCGTCCAACATCACCACTGACGTCAATGCCCATAATGAGGTGCAGACTCGCGAGGTGAAACCCTTTCTCCTCCGGATTATGCCCCTAGGGGCTTCGATCACGGTGGGATACAGATCCAGCGACAGCAATGGGTATCGGAAATGGCTGCGCCAGCAACTGCGCTATTCTGGCTGGCAGGTCGATATGGTCGGCAGCTTGGCAAATGGGTCGATGCACGACAATGTGGGTCATTTTCTTTAATTCGAAGAGAATTCCATGAAGCTAATCAAGTCATCCAGAACAACGAAGGCCACTATGGCTACCGAATCAACCACGTCGCCCAAGAAGCCGAGAAGACAATCCCGCAACAACCCAACCTCATTCTTATCAAGTATGCTCTCCCCCCAGCTTCCTCTTCATCCATCACTAATCGACACCACCAGCGCCGGAACTAACGACGGCATCTTAAACTACGAAGTCAGCACCGCTGGGAAGCGAATGGACAAGCTCATAACCCGCCTGTTCGACGCCATCCCCGACACAACCATCATCCTCTCGACGCTCCTCCCGAACGCCAAACAGCCTAAACGTATCGAGCAGATCAACACGCAGTATCGCAAGATCGTGGCTCAGCGTCGCGGAAACGATGAGCGCATCGTGCTGGCTGAAATGAGCGAGTTCATTAAAAAGGATGAACTGGTCGACGGGACGCACCCGAGCGACTACGGGTACAAGAAGATGGCGTCCGTCTGGTGGGCGGCGATCGAGGAGGCCTATTCGGAGGCCCTGTTGCAGCGGCCGACGACTACGCTCAGGAGCCATAATAAGGCCCTGGAGAAGGAGGTGGATGACGGGGGCGGCGATCCCCATCTGCCGGAGTATGATGCCCCTGATCAGCCTGACTCGAGTGCGACCGTGACGCGGCCGGCTTTGGGTCAACTGGGCGTGCAGGTGATTACTGGTAAGTTCTTTGACTGTGTGTCTGTAGGATTGAGTGCTGATTTTATCCAGTGATTGCCGCCCTGGCGATGATAACTTGATCTGCTTTCGAGGGGAGGATTACCTCCACCAAGACCAAATCACTTAAACCTCACAACTGAGGAAGCAGCATCGTGACCTGTCAGCAACCGAACTGGTCAATTCCGTACAAAACCATGGAATTGAAGTCGCTTGAAGCTCGGCGATGGTGGTATATGTGCGATTTCTAAATTCCACGACACCATATCCCCGATCGGACCCGAGGATACTTCAAGCGCGACAACCCTCTCGGTTGTTACTGCGAACTATAGAACTAGGGGGACTTGAAACGAAAGCCGATTTCTATGAGATTAATCGAGATTCCTACGGTCGCTGCACTAGCCTTAGCCAAAATGCTAGCTACTCTAAATTGAATAGACAATATAACCAAACTTCACAGCATGTAACACTTGACCGACATTCTCCCGCCTATGGGATGTTTTTAAGTACAGTACCTACGGTGAAAATCCTTCGTCGATCGTCGAAAGCCAAGACGGTCTACAACGAGCGAAGAATGAGTAGACTAGCAGATAGCGCTCCCGATCGGTCAGACGAGTGAGGCTTAGAAGGCGTCGACCGGTTAAAGTCGTGCGGGCCAATTCGCTCCAGGATTTATTTAGTCGATGAGCAATACGATGTAACATTCCAAATCTCTGAGTCACGTCCACAAAGTGCTAAGTATCTATAGCCACGCTGAACTATATAGAGCCTTAACGACCTTCCCTACAATCTAGTTTTAACATTCCCTCTCACTCATTCCCTTCTCTTTAGTTCCCTCTAGATCTATTCCTCTTGAACTAAATCAAATCAAATCCAACCACCAAAATGTTCCTCCACCGTCACCCCATCACCCAAGAACCCTACCTCCGACTCCCCTCCCCCCACCAATCCATCATTATCACACCCTTCCGCGCTCCTAACCCAGAAGATGAAGCCGTCATGGTCCGCAGCATGAACGACCCCCTTGTGGCAGCCTGGCTCATCGGTCCCCCGTTTCCGTATCATACCGAAGACGCCACATTCTGGATTAATATGTCGTTTGCCCAGTGTGCTGAGATCCTCAAGGAGGTCGACACGCAGCAATACGTGTCTGGCAGCCCGTTTCGCTGCATCCGTGAGATCTTGGAAGAGGATGAGTTGGGCGTGATTCAGAAGGATGTCCTCATCGGCGGGATCGATGTCCCTGAGCATCCGTTCGTCGAGTTCCCGGAGGGCAGTAAGGAGAGGGAGGATGGGGTCAAGAGGAACGGGGAGCTAGAGACAGGGAGTACGGAGAAAGTTTGGGGGATGGGTGGTATGTTATTTTCCTCTTCCCTCCTCCCCGTGGCCCTGTGGTATGTGATTGTTGCTGGAAATGCTAACTTCCCCCCTACCTACTAGACTGGCTGGATCCGGCGTATCACGGTCGAGGAATCATGACTGCTGTCGTGAAAACCATCATCCATGACTGGGCGATTCCTCGCATGAATGCGCGCCACTTCAAGGTTTCGGCCTTCGTGGGGAACCAAGGGAGTGTTCGGGTCTTTGAGAAGTTGGGTTTCCAGCACTACGCGAAGTTCGACGATTGGGTGCAGATGCCGCCCAACCGAGGCGGCGGAAAACGATCGCTTCATATTCTTTCGTTGGATGTATAGAAAGAATAGACAGGCTTGGTGAGTATGACATTTAAGGGGTTGAGAAATGGCCGGCATTTTCAACCGCTGCCGACGCCGAATCTTTGTTTGTTTGTTTGTTTCTTTAATGATTGGTTGGACCAAATTATGAAGGCTGGTACCGGATGGAGTACATATACTATTCAACTAATAATGTCATGCATGATGAATCATTCTCTTAAACTTGATTTGGGATCTGCCAGGAACCAGATCCAGGGTCAATGCTGGCCTGGAACGCCAATGAGTCTCCCTAGAGTCCCTGAAAACTGGACCCTTATGTCAACATTTCTATTTCTGTTTGTTCGTTTAGACTCCCGATCGGCAACTGACGTGGCTCTGACTTTTTCTCTATTCTCTGTATTATATTGTCGCGATATGGCCAATTTCCGATGCCACTAGACGGACACAACCCGACACTCCGGCTATACGGGTAAGAGGATAAAGGATGAAACCCCGGACGAAAGAAAGATCCGAACAGAATGATCTCCATCTGCAGGGCTCGTCGTTAAATCCCCCTTTCAGGGGTAATACGATCGGCGCGGTGGGGCGTCTCCTCCAGATGTTTGGGTCCTCCCTCAAGAACAGGCGAAGCTGAAACAGACGAGGAAAATCTCGCGACATCTTGGAGGCAGGTTGAAACGGTCCGTGTAGTATCACATGAAGGCAGATTTTTTCGGTGCTCTATATAAAGCGTGGATGGCATGGTAGGGTTGGAGAGGTAATTAGTCCTTCGTTGATTTTTGTCTCTCGTTGTCGATATAGTTACTCTCGTTTACAGTTTATTATACTCCTCTTCATCTTGTTATATTGAGTTCTTTGAACCCAGTCACTCGTTACTATATCAAAATGCACTCCCTAAACCTCCTCCTCGCCCTCCTCCTCATCTCCCTCGCCATCGCCAACCCTCTCACCTCCCGCGCCCACCTCATCCACTGCACCAGCCAGCAACAATCCGCCATCGAATCCGCCCTGATCCAATCTTCGCGGATGGCCCAAGCCGGCGCCTCAGCCATCCGCTCCGGCAGCTCCTACTCCAACCACCTTTTCCAAACCTTCTTCAAAACCACCGATCAGTCCACCAAGTCCCACGTCGCCAACATCCTCGACCAGATCGCCCAGGAAGGCCAAGCCCGCGGCGCCGGCCGCGTCACGTACTCCTGCACCCCCGACGGCATTCCCTGCTCTGATTCGGCTGCTTTCACGGTCACGGCGTACGGGGAGACGGATGGGTATAATGGCGATATTCGTACCTGTCCGGCGTATTTCAATATTCCGAGTTTCTCGAATCAGTGTGATGCGTTGGATCAGGCTACTTCTACTACGCATGAGATGGCGCATACTAAGGGCATCTTTGGGATTGAGACGTATGGGTATTATGCCGTGCAGGGGCTGGATGAGCAGTCTGCTTTGATTAATGCGGAGAGTTATGCGTTTTTTTCGAAGGGTGAGCTTTTCTTTCTTTCCTCCTGGTGTGCATGGGTTTGATTGGATCGGCGATGCTAACTTTGACATCTATAGCGGCGTTGTTGAACTGCCAGGTTTAAATGAATATGAAGTTTTAGGTTCGAATTACTGGTTACAGCCAAAGGGGACGGAAGGTACATACATTGCGCTTTTATATCACACTTTAGATAAAGATAGAACATACATGAGCATCAATAACAACATCACCATCAGTATCATATCATATCATATCATATTCAACCCCCCACTAACACAAACCGTCTGTCCGGTAACCCAACCCGCATCCCTACCCACCAAAAAAAGCACTACCTTTGCCACCTCCTCCGTCCTACCCACCCTCTGCTGCAACGGGGTACTCAACTTCATAAAATCCGTCAACTCCACAGGAACCTGCTCCCTCAACATTCTCGACTCCGTCACGCCAGGCGCAACCACATTCACCGTATGACCGTCCTTGATCCCGATCTCGAACGCCAGGGCCCGTGTAAACCCCTCTACTGCGGCTTTTGTGGCCGCGTAGATACTTCCGCCCAGGGAGCCGCGTCGAGCCGCTACGGAGCTGAGGTTGATGATTCGGCCTGGCGCGCGGAGGTTTGGGAGGACGGCTCTAGTTAGGAGGATCGTGCCGTGGACGTTTAGGGCGAAGAGGTTGAGTATATCTGAGGGGGTGGTGGCGGGGAGAGGTGCGCAGTGAAAGACAGCGGCGTTGTTGATCAGGATGTCGATTTTGGAGTCCGGTGCGGGAAAGGCTGAGAGGGTTGAGGTGAGGATTTTGGAGGCGGAGTCTGGGCAGGTGAGGTCTGCTAGGACTATGTTTGTGCGGGCGCCTGTGTTCAGGGCGGAGATGGTGGCGACGACGGCTTCGATTTCGGGGCCGCTGGAGGGGGAGGAATGGGTTAGAGTTATCTTGTTTGGGTTGGTTATGGTTAGCATGGCTTGGGGGGATATGGGAGAGGGATGGAGGAAGGAAGGAAGGAAGGAAGGAAGGAATGGGAGTGTATACTTACGTAGGCGCCTTGTTTGGCGAGCTCGATGGCGATGCTGGCGCCGATGCCGCGGGAGGCACCGGTTACGATGGCGATCTTCCCTGCGAGTGACATTTGGTTTTAGGATGGAGGTGTTTAGTTATTGGGAGGATATTGGTTTATTCTCTGACTGGCCTACCCGATCAGTTTGAGGGAATGGGTGACGGTGCATTATATAGACTTTTGTTGTGGTATAGAATGACATCCACTCCCGGCATGACATTATGTAGCATAATGTTATGTTATAACAGCGCTCTGATCTGACGGTTGATTTGCCAGAACTTTGCTGCAAGAATTCTCGTTATGCTTGACATCTGTAGTATCTTCTTCTTCTGAATTATGTGGTCGTGTTATTTCTAACTCTCATTAATGTTGTCCTCGCACGGCTGAGCCCCCAGCACGAATCTGTGTCGGCACAAGTTAAGTTCTTCTTATATAGGTACTATATTGTTCATCCATTATAAAAAGCAATTTCAAATTATTTCGTAAATTTCGTATATAAAACGCCTATGCTAGAATGGAGATTTTGCTCCGAAACGCCATATCCTGCTATCATACATGTCATTCCTAGAAAAAGCAAAGCAAACCATCAACATAAAAGACAAGTCACAGCAGCACTGCAAACACCACCTTAATGCACCCGGAACTTGTTCGTTCCGAGATACTCATCAAACCGATCCGGAAGACCTGATGGCTCCACCACTGCAACATAGGTGTCCGGTCGAAGTAGGTAAGCTGCATCCTTTTGCAGCCCAACGCTCTGATACTTCTCGTTCCACAGAAAGTCCGTCAGGTGCACTTCGTTCCTCCGACACCAATCCACTAGCTTCTCATCAGCTTGGCCATATACATGCACCTGCCACGAAATCGCATCAAGACTGTCAAAGTTGTCAACATCCCCCACCGGAGCCCAGGGCAGACGATCGCCGCCTTGAATTTCCCCGACATTCCCCGTCGACAAGCTGCTGTTTCGATAGTTGATCAACGTCTGCGACATACCGCGGAAGACTCTATGTCGGAACCTCTCGAAGCGCGTCATAAACGGGGCCGCGTACGGGATGATCCACGTCCGGAAGAAACTGACGAGATATCCATTCCCGACGATCGAATTAAACGCCCAATCTGTGGTTTGCACAAGGGTGGTTGCAAACGCGCGACGCTCGACCTCGTACGTCTCCAGCAATACAGGATCTGCTTTCCCCTGGACCACGGCGGCCAGCTTCCAGGCTAGATTGATCGCGTCGCCGATTCCGGTGTTCATTCCCTGCCCGCCTACAGGGCTATGAATGTGTCCTGCGTCGCCGACTAGGAACACACGATCTTTTCGGAACGTTTTCGCCAGCCGATGATGTACCCGGTACGTCGTGAACCAGTTGACTTTGCTCACGTCCAGCTGCATGTTCTTGCGCATCGACGGCGCCAGATCGTCGAATGTGATCCCGGCCGGGTCTTTCGTGATATGACTCTCGTCAATGGCCCCTGAGATCCGAGCGTTCTTGCCAGCGTCGAACGCAAACAGGAGACAAAAGTCCGACTGGTTAAACGAGACATGCGCTTCGCCGTTCATCGTCGGTCCGCTGGCTTCGATATCCGCCACGAAGAACAGCTGCGTGTAGGTGTCCCCTTCGAACTCGATCCCGCTGAGATGCCGAACCGCGGAATGCGCCCCGTCGCAACCGACTAGATAGGTTGCCTCGCGCGTCCCGATCTCCCCGTCCTCCGTGCTCTTCAGTCTCGCGCTCACATACGTCTCATGATCATCAATCCCAACCAATTCGCGATTCCGATCCACGTAGACACCCATCTCATTCAATCGTCTCTCGAGCACCCGCTCGTGCACGTCCTGCGAGAGAATGAAGACGAACGGGTACGGTGTTAACCCTTTCCCGACTTCGCCGATGGGCACGCGTGCGCGATACGAGCCTTCCGACCATATGTTCGTGGCTTCGACTTTGTGGCCTAGCGAGAGGAGCTCGTCGGATAGGTCCAGTTGGCGGTAGAGTTCGAGGGTTCGGGCGTGGATGGCAAGGGCTCGGGATGTTGAGGGTGTGGAGTGGGCTTTGTCGATGATTTGTACGCGGATGTTTTGGCGGGTTAGCCAGAGGGCGAGCACGAGGCCGGTTGGGCCGGCGCCAATTATGAGGACATCGGTGGGTGGTGTTGGCATGTTGGGGTTTGGTTGTGTAGTATAATGCAAGAAGTGTGTTGTTTTGGGACATAAAATTTTTATGAGGGTCGTTGCTCCCTATTTATACTTGATACGTGCAAACCTCCGCCTCTGCAGACTGTATACTCAGCCTGGGGCCATGATGCCCCGTGATGCGATCACTGGGCTCGCGATGACTCTATCTGAGTAGATCATCGTCTCTTGGCCCTCCAAGATGCCTGAAGGGGGATGCCCTCCCGTGAATCCCCGACGTCCGGACATTCCCGGGATTCCGAGATTCCGACCGGTCGGGCATCTGAAGACCGACGCCGACTGACTCATACTCCGCATCAGCCCTACGAGGATGTAGTAGTAACTGGAACAATTTCATATTACGATTAACAGAGCTAACTAACTGAATAATAGAAGAGACTGAGCGGTCATGGTTGCGATTTTGTTCATTAATGATCACCCGGAAACCAGGTCCTTGGTAAGTCACACTCACTCGATCGACTCCGTCGCAGTCGCCGTCGCAGCCACCGCGGCCGGCTGATCGACGCGGGCGTTGCCTTCGCCGTGAACGCAGTACGCGTACCCGGTCAAGAGGTTCGTGCAGTTGCGGTTTAATTCCGGGTTCCACTGCTGCAGCTGCGCCATGGTGATCCCGAACTGGGCTTGCAGTTTGGCGCAGTAATCGCTTTGTTGGACGACGTACCACTGTTTGGGTTGAGATGTTAGCAAGCAATTCTATCTAATTCACGCTTTTGGGGGGTGTCGCTCATAGTGGAAGGGAAACGGGCCAGGGACAAAAGGCACAGGGCAGGAATACAAAGGGGAGAAAGAGACAGGTATGTATACCTCGAAACAGTTCGGCGTGGTCCCGCTGGCCGTGGGACCCGGAGCAGACACGTATACCGACGTGGTGGTTATTAGTGTGGTGGACGGTTTGTTCCAGTCGGCCATGGGAAGCGTGCAGTAGTATAGACCGGAAATGAGGTTCGTGCAATCGGCATTGAGGTCCGGGTTGATGGCTCGGAATAATTCCAGACTGATGCCGGCGTTGGAGACGATGCGTTGGCAGTAGTCGCCGGAATGGACGAGGTAGTACCTGGTACGAGGTATATCAGCATGATAATCTATAACTGGGGTGGTTATGGATGCTAACCTTCCGCATTTTGACGTTGTGCCTCTGGCTACTGGGCCCGGCGGCGCCACCGTGGCTGTCGCGTACGGGGTGGACGCGGTCGAGGTGGCCTGGGTCGGGGTGGTGACGGTCGAGTTTCCAGCTGCAGGATCGCTGACGCAGAGCTGGTCGCCGATGATCAGGTTCGTGCAATCGGCGTTGATGAAGCTATTCCAAGATTGCAGTTGCGCGAGAGTGACCCGGTACGTGTTTGCAATCTTCCAGCACGTGTCGCCGGACTGGACGGTGTGTTGCTGACAGGCGACTGCGTCTACTGACCATTTCCTTTTGTTGTTGTCACGAACGATGTCGCGTTTGACGTTGTGTTGTACGGTCAGTGGTGTCGGCGAGTCTGGGTTTGGGGACGAGTCCTTTGCGGATGATGTGGGATAGACCGGGTAAAATTGATGGAGGATGATGTATGGGCTGGAGCCCTGTTCGTCTAAGGGATCGTCGTAGTCGTAGAGATCTGCGCATGTTAGACATATTTTTTGTTTTCTAGATAGAACACGCACAGTCATCGAGCTCCGCCTCAGGTCCTTTCCCGCAGGCGTACTTGTAGTTGATCCAGATGCTATCCCCGTACGCAGTAGCAGGAACACCAGGCCAGGGGTCCATGTCATTTCTACAAGCCCAAACCACCGATTCGTGATAGTGAGCGAGGGACCGGTGGCAGGTACGGGTGCATATGGACGACAAGTCCATCAGGTCATTGGAGCGGTTCTCGTCCACACTCGTCCGGAAATAGGCACTGCACGAGATTGGAGTAGTCATGGCATCCTCGCAGTCTGCAGATAGCCATCCGTACACTGCCGGCGTACTAGTTCTCTGGATAAAATCATTATTGAGAACAAAGAACGGCGGATGGACAGAAAGCCCAAGGGCAGAGAAATGGAGCCAAGCGAGGAAGGTAGGTAGAAAGAAAGCCATTTTCAGAAACATCGGCTTCTCGAGCTTTCTTGTTCACAAGAAAATCACAAACATACAGGCCATCCTGTTGGGATTTTAAATGCTATTTAGCTGCCTAGTCGACTCCCTACCCTCTTGTCTGTTCGATTGGACATGTTCGAACTGGTCTCTCGCCAAGGTATGGGACGACTTGTAAGACATCTTTTCCGTCTTTTCTGCGGCAGCTTCCCGACGGTACGACCTCCTTGTTGCTCAGTGGATGGGGAAGTTCGTTCATTCCTGGCTCTTCCGCAAGGACTTGGATCTCATCCGAATGGCTGGTGTGGGGCGAGGCATTGGATGGGTTCAAGATTCATGCATGATGTCCCGCTTTTTCCAGGGTCGGGCTGCAACGCCATGAGATTGGCTGTTCTACCCAAGCATCTCGTCATTTTCACATGGAGCTGCAGATCAGGGTCGTACTGTTAGGTCATCCAATATCATAGTTTGCTTCTCGGCTGCCGATCTGCAAGACTGTCCGGAGATGAAGGATTGTCTGTGAGACCGTTTGTGTTGCTCTGAAGACCATTAGTAACCTCTATGTTTTGCAGATTGCCGCGAATATTTCAGAAATCTAAGGGGTTATCTGTTCATTGCTATATTTACCAGAATAGTTAGGCAGCCCGATCTTGAATCTCCTGCGGACACCCCTCACGTTGCATCGTGATAATGCAACCTCCAGTTGAGTCACAGCGTTGCACAAAGCCATCTTAAACAGGAGTTCTTGCAGCTACAACCCCTCATTCATGCCACTCATATCGCCACCCTTGCATCACTTCTCTGCTCCTACAGGTCCTGTGTCTGACAGGTTCATACAGGAGGCAAGGGGTAGGTAAACCCCGGCCTGAAAGCGGGGATGGACCAGCTGAGCAAGCCGGGGTAGCCCGGATTGGAATTTGTCCTCGTCAGAGGAGGTATGACAGCTTGCTTGGTTTCTTAGGGTAATACAACGAGCAACTACCTAGGACTACCGAGGAGGTTCTCGTTACAGGCTGAGCCCTGCCGGGCCGCTCTGGATACTACCTTACTGAGATGACACAATAGCAAATCACGGTTCTTATGCTACTGTTGGCCTGTCCTAGAAGCTTGGATGCAAGTACCCCTATTCTCGAAAATATCCCATCACGTAACAATATTGAACAATATCACACTTGGATTTTTCACTGTCAACTTGATATATAGCTCCAGCATCAGATCCTAGATCCTATTCTGTCTAAAAAATGATAGGGTCAAGCATCGACCTTTCCAGTACCATAGATCTCGCATCCCGTTGCGTTTGAATGATAATAAACAAAGTGAGAGAAAATGCCTTTCTTATGCTCCAGTGCCCATCTTGTTGATTGAACGACTGTCAAGCAGTCCATGTCCTACATATGTACAATGAGCCATCCTCGTGATAGTGTTCTTAGCTGCATTGGACCGTTGTTTGGGCGAATTTCAAACTGTCCCGTTAAAGGATCATGTGTTGATAATGGGCCCCTGCGGCCACATTCCAAATCTTCGTCTATCATGGTTTGGAATGCGGGGTATCAAGCCTTCTCGCATGTATACCAGAGCCATCGGTGTCTACTTCTTCTCGTACCGAATGTAGGTTAGTTGGATTAATTGCTTGTAGGCAGCAAACAAGTCTTTCATGGTGTTGCCCGCATGAAATAGCTATGGCTATGTGATTGCGGCCGAGGCATCTACAGCGCCTGGAATTCTTGGAGATTGAATCTCATAGTACTCACGATAATGGAATCTGACAGCATGGCTGACGATGAAATTGGTGGAATGCTTGATCAATTCTATGCAGCGAGGCTGCAGACTAGCTAACTATCTACGATCGCTTTGTGGGTCATGTGGTGCACTAAACTACATTCGGAAAGTCAGACATGCGAGGCACCGCCAACAGAATCTGTTGATATATCAAGTACTACAAGGACTGAACCCTAGTCAGCTGGCTTTTTGGTCTAGTTAGAAGTCCGAACGATTGTCAACATTTTACTCATACCTTTATCGATACGTGACATTGCTACGCAAACGGGTTATTATTTACACAATGCATGAATATATTCTGATTCGGAATATGTTTCAGGAGTACTCACCGAAAACATTCCCCATTCGCGAGCCTCAAACAAACTATTTCTGGCAATTTATCATTTTCAGGACGCTATAAGATTGCAACACTTTCAGAAACAAGAAACTATGAAGGAGTGGTGGGTCGGCTGCGAGACTCCAGGCAGCAAGGCACTACCTAAGGCATCACGTCACCAAGGTCTGACTCGCACTTTACTTCTTAGGCAGGTGCGAAAGTCAGGTCACGTGTAATGTAATGACTCAGCCGCCGGAGCAGGGTTGCCACTCCGGGCCAATCATTATTGTTGGACATTGTCTCTTCCTCCCCTCCTTCTCCCTTCTCCAACTCCCACAACTAAAATGGGTGCCACTCGGTACAATGCCTCGGCTTCATCGTCAGAGAAGAAGCGTCTTAGAGACCGTCGGGCGCAACAGAACATGCGTCAGAAAAAAGAGAATTTGATCAAGTCTCTCGAAGACAAAGTCGAATTCTGCGAGCGACATCACACCGGTGGCTCGATCCAAGAGTACATGGAGACCATCGAGAGCCTCCGCAGGGAAAACGAGGCCCTTCGCGACGAGATTCAATCGTTGAAAGCAGTCCCAAGTTTTCTGCCGGATGATTCGCAGTTTCCAACATCTTCATCAATAACTGGACCTATCCAATTATTCGGGGACCTGGACCATCCAGAGAAAACACATTCTTCACAGGAGACGTCGTCAACACAGACATCTGAAACGAGCTGGGACCTCGCACCGATCGGTCCTGGCGAGCAAGGAAGACTCTTGGGGCAGGTCTTGAGCCATCTGAGCAATTCATCTTTTCTAGCCCCTCCACTCATTTCGGACGAGGCGTTGCACTTCCCCAGAGCGTCATTTCCCGACCTAGCTCAAACAATACCGAATTCCGATCCCATTTCGTGTTTGGTTCCGATAAGCTCCTACGGCGACAATGCATTCCTTTTACCCGGTCACTGTCCATGGTTGTCATATCCAGAACTCATTGCTGGCTGTTCACCATTACCGTCCCCGCTCGATATCCTTCACGGCACTAAGCATAACTTCTTGGCTGACCAGATCAACCAACGCATGCGACTACGTCGGGTTCTGGACCCCGAGTGTCTAGGATTTGGCTGGCTTTGCTATCTGTTCAGCAAATGGCGAACCACTCCGAATCCCACGACATTTGCGCGGCTTCCACCGTTCATGCACCCGGTCGTGGCACAATTTCAGCGGGGCTACCCTAACGCCTTAGACCTTCCCGTGTGGCCGCAATTGCGAAGGAATCTGATCAAAAATTGGCGTCGATACGACTATTTTGAGCTAGTCGGCTATTTGTCCTGTTGTGCGAGGGTCCGGTGGCCCTTTGCTGAACCGATCCTCGAGCGCGATGCTAGTGACAATTTGCAAATACGACAGGACTTCTTAGACACTGTGACCCGGGAGAGTGGGTGGGGCCTGGCGTCGGAATTCATTGAGAAGTATCCCGAGCTATTGGAGGGAATGGATGTTGAGGCTGTTAGGTTCCGGATGGATGTGCTCTAAGGTTAAAGAAAAAGGGCTGGATTCGTATCCCTGTTCCTCCGGGTGGCTCGCGCTTGCCGATATTGGCGGTAACGTGACAAGGGTGCACATGACGCTAGACAGCCTCGACTCGGCCTCGCATCTCACTCGTTTTCACTCCATCACCCTCATCGGTTCTGGCGATTGTTCTTCAAACGCCCCGCCCCGCCCAGTTCTTCATGAGCGCATCCTAATCCCACATGGCAAGCGCCAGCGATAAATTCGTTTACTACAAAACCCTGTCGCACGATGATTGTACTGTGGGCTGGATTTGCGCGCTCCCCGTGGTGCTGACAGCGGCAAAGGGAATGTTGGATAAGAGGTCAGTTTCTGAATTTTGGCCGCGCGGATTTCGCTAAAAATGATGGTTGTCGATAGACACGAGTCCTTGCCACAACCCACAAATGATAATAACAACTATGTTCTTGGCGAAGTGGCCGGCCACAACGTCGTCATTGCATGTCTCCCCATCGGTGAATACGGAACGACATCTGCCGCCACGGTCGCAGCGCAAATGCTTTTGACCTTCTCCCAAATTCGCTGCGGTTTAATGGTGGGGATTGGCGGAGGAGTGCCAACTACCGTGGATATTCGATTGGGAGATGTTGTCGTGAGCAACCCGACCGATGGGTATGGAGGGGTCATTCATATGACTACGGGAAGTCAGCCGGGGGAGTTTCGTGAGAACTGGGATGTTGAACATGCCGCCACAAAACCTCCGCACCGCGACTGCGAACCTGCGATCTGAACACCAGATGCGACCGAATCGAATCCCCGAATTAATGACTGGGATGGGTAGAATATCCCCAGATGTCGGAGATCCTAGACGTCGACCGCAGTGTAGATGATCTATACTCCGTAGATTATGCACATACAAGCGGGCATGATATATGTTCTGATTGTGACCGATCAAAATTAATGGAGAGAGAACCTAGACTCTCGTAAAATCCCTAAATTCATTCCGGCCTCGTGGCTTCTGGAAACCAAGTCATCAAGGATGCGAAGACTCGCGACCGATATGCTAAGGAGCTAGGGATTGTCTGTTTTGAAATGGATGCAGCGGGTCTTATGAATATTTCCCCTTGTTTGGTCATTCGAGGAATCTGCGACTATTCGGACTCTCATAAGAACAAGAAGTGGCAACCATACGCCGCAGCGACGGCGGCTGCGTATGCCAAAGAGTTTATTGTCAGTCACCTCACTTCCAGTGACACGTAATAGTGTTACGGCCACAAAAGCCCTAACAGGCCCCGGTAAGCAGTGTGCAGCTGTGCAGTTTCGCTCCTCCTTCCATTAATTGTCATCCTAGGGACACTCACGGTTGACGACCCTGCACGATTCTTGGCTCTATCGCAGCGGCCAGAATGGGCCCTTGTTCATCAAGGTAAGTCTCACGCTACCTCTGGTTTACATACTGTCTCTGATAATAGCTAGTGGAACAACCGAAAAATATCTTCCAGCGACTTTCCGATTACGACCCTGATCGAATCCATCGCAGTCATCTCTGGAACAGATGTCCAAACACTACTGAGTGGAGTGTAGAGAACCCAGCGTATAAAGCATGGCTGGACGGTAGTGCCTCTCCGTTTTTGTGGTTAACTGGCAAAAGTAAGCTCCGAGCATTAAAAATATCTGTTCATGTGTTTCTTCGAACCTAACAAATGACCAGTTGGATGTGGCAAAACACTTGTTTCGTATGTTTATATCAAGGATTGATCCTTTACATTCCACTAATCTTGGCTGAAAACACAGGAGCACTGGCATTCAACATCTTAAGGCCATTACTCAGGGCTCCCGATGCATTGTAGCTCACTTTTTCTACAGCCACTCGAACCGATCAAAATTAGAGGCAAGGCATGTATTCGAAAGTTATATCAAACAGATTGTGGGACATCTTGACTCGTTTCAGATTGCTTGCCCTGGTCCAATTCGGTCTTTCATCAAGAGGTTCTATGAAAATGATCAACAGATCCCCACTTTTAGTGAGATCGTACATGAGATCCTTGTCCCACTCTGTCACTCTCGGCCGGGGATTATATTTATCATGGATGGACTTGATGAGTGCTATCTATTGCAAATTCTCGAAGTCTTTGAGGCTCTACGAGAAATCTCTAGGCAGCGCTCCGTGAAAGTCTTCCTTTCCGGTCGAGAAGGACTTGATTTGCCTAGAGCTATCCCTAGTTGCGCCACAATAAACATAGCTGATGATGGCAGCAATGACGATCTTCGAGCTTTTGTCGAATGGAAAATTCAAACCAAGCTGAAGGAAAGACAACTGACAGAAAATGAGTCAGTACTTCAAGAAATCAGGGAAAGGCTTCTTGAAAAGGCCGGCCATATGTAAGCATAATCATCTCGGACATTTACTACAAGTAGAAGCTAACATACAGCGCTAAGGATATTGTGGGTCAATTTGCAGCTAGAAATGCTGTGGGATGAGTGCTACACAGATGGTGGGATCAGGCAAACTCTCAATAATTTGCCTAAGGATCTCAGCACAACGTACGACCGTTGTCTTGCTAGGATCAGCGGAAAGAGTAAAGGCTTGCAAGAAAGGTTTTGCCTTGGGTTTCTGTTGCACTAGAGCCATTTACTGGTAGCCAGCTTCAAGATGCGGTTGCATTGAATTTACGCACAGGTCTTCTTGATCTTGATGGTTTCGTGCCCGTCAAAGAGCTAGTCAAATATTGCGCGCATCTGATCACATGGAAGGTGAATGATGAGATCCATCTCTCCCACTACTCGATTTCTCGGTTTTTGGAAAGTAAAGGTGGAGGGCATGATTCCTGGTTTGCGGACATTGATCTTGATGATGAACGGGCAGCACTGGGTGACCTTTGCATGAAACATCTCCTTTCGCCGATATATTCTCGAGCGGTGGTGCCCATTGAAAAGCCCAAACAAGCCGCGGTAAATGCCGGGACTGTTATGCAGAGCCTGTGGACTCACATCCCTTACTTCAATCTGCTAGGCTTAAGAAGACCAAGAGAGTTGAAACACGATTGCCTTTACAGCGATCCACTGACAAATTCAAGCAAGAACCACCGTCTTTCTTCGAGTTTGCCAGGAGAAAATGGCTTCCACTCACTAAGTATCTCACTCAATCATCTAAAAATGGGACGAATTCGTGAAGCTTGTGTTAGACCAAAACTCGACTTGGAACATTCATCCTTGGGAGCCTTCGGGTATGTCCATGGACTCACATTATGCCGGTATTTTAGGTTACTCTATTGTGGAACACCACAACCCGCTCCTAGCTGTCTTGATGCGAGCGAGGGGTCTTCAACCACGCACTGATATTTTCCGGTTGCCACTCCACCCATACAACAACTTGCTGCCGCTCCATCTTGCTGCTACAGCTGGCAATGGCGATTGTTTGGTGCAAATAATGGGCCAAAGCACTTTTAACATGCTCGATGTGAGCGGCCAAACAGCTTTACACCACGCTGCTGTCATGGGTCATCTAGATGTTACTCAAATTTTACTTAGCAAATCCATGTTGGAAATCAACCAAGCAGACAATGACGGGCGTACGGCATTGCACCTGGCAGCATCACACGGACAAGAACATTTACTTGACACACTGTTTTTGTATAATGCGAATATCAATCAACAAGATGATTTAGGCCAGACAGCACTTCACCTGGCTGTGACGAACAAGAAGAGAAACCTTGCGAAAGCGCTGCTTGCACGACAGCCAGACATTTCAATTACCAATAAAGCTGCTCGATCACCACTCTCAATCGCTGCGCATGGCTCAGATGAAGCTATGGTTCGGTTGATTCTTCAAGCTGAATACCACTCTGGGAAGTTCCCGCATCCGGATGATTCTTTCATCAGTGTCGGATCGAGACTTATGATGCTCCTTGGAAACCCAATCGTCCCGTCTCCAGGGAACAAATCCGTCTCTGGGCAGCTTGATAACGATAGATACCCTTTGAAGGACGACCTTATGTTCGCGATAGCAGATACCATCCAACCACAAGATCTTGGGCTGAAAGCATGTGGATTATATATAAGGGTCATGCTCGAAGCTGGGGTAAAATAACAGTATCCGATGGCACACAAACTTCTTTTAGCTGCGGCGGCGTGTGGAAATAGTGAAATGGTTCGGCAGCTTGTCAAGAATAGGATTTCAGCAGACATCTCTACCATGGATTTTATCAACCAGCCTGACCATTCAGGGTTTGTTACGCGTGGTTTGGGGATCGAACAACGGAACAAACTGTCAAATATATTGCGGAACAACCCAATGGTCCTCGCAATAGAACAGGGCCACATTGAAATCATTGAACTGTTTTACAAGGATTGGTCGTATCAAATACTGAAGCATACAAAGCTACGCGATCAGCTCTCTAAACTAGCAGCCCAGCATTGGAGAGAGCATTTGCTATAGAGAATTAGAGAGGACATCTTACAAACAGATCGTGAAGCACTGAATTTGGCTTTAATGAGTTGGAACGTTAATATGATAAACCTGCTGCTCTCCAAAGCAGTGAAAATCACCAGTGAAACTGCCTTCATGGCTTTCAGGAACAAAACTGGCACAGTTTTGAGCAACATGGTTGAATGTGAACCATTGTGGCAGGAATTCGAGGCAAAAACAAGTGATGAACTTCTCCCTGCTCAGAGTTTAGCATCAAAAGCTAGCTTTTGCGGTCATGATGTCTAATGACATGGTGATCTGCTAACAGTGCTCCTAAGAGGTTTTTGGTAGAGGATTGAGGGGACATGTGTGACTAGATTAGCCAGTCACCGTGCGATTTGTTTTGAACAGCACTTCAAAAGTCCTGGAAGTCGGCTACTTGGCTATATACTATAATTCTCTCGTTTCTTACATCAATCATGATTGTCATGTCGAACACTAGTTGAGGGCAGCTTCTTTGAGCCGATCATGATGTGGTTTCTAGTGATCGAATAGTGGCAATGGACAGAACGGCCTTTATGGAGTATATGTAAAAATTTCGAACGAGGGCAATGTACGTACGCAACGCATCTGAATTGTCTGTTTGTTTTGACTCCTGCCAGATGAAACCTGCTACTAGACTGCATAGGAACCTATCAAAGGGATATGAATACAGGACGTGTGCTGTCTCCAGCTGAAAATACCTAAGAAGTCTACCAGTCAAGTCTGTATAGGGGTGACTTTTACTTCAAATCTGAACCCATGATCTCAACGCAAAGCATATGATATTATTCACCAGTCAGTAGTAACTGACACAAACGAGTGGATTATTTATTACACAGTAACGACTGACATAAGGGTAGGTATTAAAATCAAAACAGGAAGGAAACACTGAGCCTTGCTCAGACTAAGCTTCATAGACTAAAGCAACAGACCGGGAGAAGCTGAAGACATACCCAAAGACAGAGAAATTAGTGGGTGCTCGGCAATTCGCAGTCCTGGTTTGTGCTGATGTTCCGGATGCCAAAGTGCATCTACTCGTCGCAATCCTCAGGAGACTCAGAAGAAGAGTCGGCTTCACCTCCAGCGGATGATGAAGAGCCACTGCTGGATGAAGAGGAGGAAGAAGACGAGGAGCTGGAGGAAGAACTGGACGAGGAAGAGGAAGAGCTGCTGCTGCTGGCGGAGCCGGATCCGGAACCGCTAGCACCGCCACCAGCGTGGCCACCAGCGTTGCCTGCGACGCTTCCGCCAAGGTTTCCGCTGGCTCCTCCGCTGGCACTTCCGCCCGTATTTCCGCTGACGTCGGCACCTGCGTTTCCTTCAGTGTCACCATTGGCACTGCCGCTGACATCGCCACCTGCGCTGCCACCGATTCCTCCGCTGGCACTGCCGCCGGCTTTTCCGCCCGAGGTTCCGCTAACACCGGCTCCAGTGCTTCCTTCAGTATCTCCACCAGCACTTCCGGAGACGTCACCACCAGCACTTCCACCAGCAGTTCCGCTAACACCGGCACCGGTGCTTCCTTCGGTGTCGCCTCCTGCGCCAGCGCTTCCACCAGCACTGCCTCCGACGTCTCCGCTGGCACCGCCGCTGATTCCTCCACTGGCACTTCCTCCGGCACCTCCAGAAGCGCTGCCACCAATGTCGCCTCCAGCACTTCCGGAAGCAGCACCACTGGCTCCTCCGCTGGCACTGCCTCCGGAACCTCCAGAAGCACTACCACCGGCGCTCCCGGAGGCACCACCCTTTGCGCTGCCGCCAGTACTACCGGAGACATCTCCACCGGCACTACCTCCAGCGCCTCCAGAAACATCGCCACCAGCGCTGCCGGATGCACCACCGCTAACATCTCCGCTGGCGCTGCCTCCAGCACTTCCACTGCCGCCGGCACTACCGGAGACGTCACCACCAGCACTACCTCCAGCGCTTCCAGACACATCGCCACCAGCGCTGCCGGACGCACCACCGCTAGCATCTCCGCTAGCACTTCCCCCAGCGCTTCCAGAAGCGCTACCAGAAGCACCAGCGCTACCACTACCACCAAGGGCACCAGAAAGATCGCCTCCAAGACCAAGGCTGCCTCCGAGACCGGCACTTCCGCTGACATCAGCGCTGCCGCTGCCTCCCAACAGGCCGTGTTTGTGGGCCAGCCATGCCAGGAGACCGAAGGTACGGGACTCGAGATGATTGTGCTGCTCGGGGGTGTTGACGGCCTCGGCAACGGGAGCCAGGATTCTGGTGGGAACGCCAGCGTTCAAGGTGCGGTTGTAGGATGTCACAGACACCGGAACCGCGAGGGTAGAGGCGGCCGAGAAGGCGAGGGTGTAAAGAGCAATATGCATTTTGGAAGAGGGAATTAAAGACTGAAGTATTGAGTAAATGAAAAAAATAAAGAAGGAATATAGGATTATTAGGATTAAGAGTATTAGAGAAGAGAAGGAGTGAATTGAGTTTGATGATGATGATGGAGAAGGAGTTCGTGCGGTTCTGGGAGCCTTTATATAGCTTTTTCCTAGCCTGCTGTGCTCTCTATCTTAGGCATGCTGTTTGTATGACTTTGCACCTTGATAGTTATGGTTATTGTCAAGGCTCGACTAGAGAGTCATGTTGAAACGGTGCTATTCACTAAATGGATAGGATTGATTGTAGATCCGAGTTTCGAACAGGAGCACCCGCTCTGGGGTTGAGCTAGTGGTGAAACGCACTTGAGCTAAATATGGACGGTATTCCGGACCTTGCCATGTCAAGCAGAAGCCTTTTTCTCGGACTATCAGCTACCTATTTATTGTTCTATTGAATCCTCAGAACCAAACGGAAAACCATAATATCTTCAATATGCGCTCCCATACTGCGCTTCCCTGGTGGAAATATCTCCAATCAGAAAGCAACTAGGCCAATTACATCCGAAGATAACCCAGACGAACCCCAATTGCCAACACCAAAGCAAAAGGGGACTAGTTGAGGATCGTGTGAGCCCCATCCACATCACCAAGAGCAGCTCTGGCATCCGTCGTTTCTAGTCTAACCAGTAAACACATCTTAACCCTAGCTAACCCCGAGGAAAGGAGCTCTTTCCCCGACCTCGCTCATCAATCTAGTCCGTACCCGTTCAATCCCAAGCCAAATTTAGCAACTAAATGCTCCAACGACCCACCCTCGGAAAAAATAGAGTTCTCGATGTGGAGTATCGTGAGGCTTCGGGAAGTAGGAACGATAGAATGAACTACGCCCTAGTACCTGAAACAGCATAACGGGCCCACATAACTCAACTCAAGCAGGGAGTTCGTCTTTGCCCGAACGATGGTCGGGCAATTTTCTAGCCATGATTTGCGCTAGCAAATTCTGCTATAAATAACGGAGATCAAAACAGACGATGGTTTGAGCATTCTTTTCGGACTCCGGATGTAACCTCTAATCCTATCCCTATTCGGCGGCAGAGCTTGTCAAGCTAGGTTTTGAAACTGTTCCTGTAGTATAGTTTCTGGTAGCTTTGGTGTCATTTGTGACTAACATCTCTGTTCGCTCCGATGATTTTGCAACTGTTTGAATGGATATTTTGCGTACTACAACTCGCAGCCCAGAGATTAGCCCTCCTACAGGCTAGGGACGAATTGTCTCCGCTTTTAGCTGCGTAAAGAACGATCTGAAGATCACCTCAATCCACAATATTCTACAGTGGATAAGTTAGTTGTTGATGGAGTGAACGGAAGCCAAACGCTGGCCTGGGCAATATTTCCCCGACTACCCCTTTGTTAACAAGCTGTTTAATCGGTAGAGAGTCCGATAACACGAAACATGGTTAAAAACTAGCCAGAACCTAAATTCGGATGCTTTAAACCGATAGTCTATTCTTTTCTTTAGAATACAGACCGCTCCTGAGAGCATTATAATTACCTATAGGTCTGTTGGCCATCGTTCACCGCATATTATTTGCATTTCATGTCTCAAAGTCGAGTGTTATACCGTGAAATATTGCCTAGCAATATGTATATGAGCGAGGAGAGTGTTATTGGCTTTTCACACTTTGGAAATCTTCTATGCAAGGCTGGCCCTGACGGCAAGAGATCTACGAGTGGAATGGCAGATGATACCCTATAGGACATGTTCCACTGCTGTAACCATGGTTTGTTACTTGCAGTCGGACCATGGGGGAAATACTGGGGACGGGAAGTGCTCCACGGGATGTCGCTTCATCTAGATCATATGGGGATAGCTGAAACGTACAATAGGTACTTTGTGCGCTTACATTGAGCAGGACGGTGGCATGACTCGCTATGTCCATTAATAGCAGCGGGCTGGCTGTATAGCTCTGCGTGGTACGATGATATAGAGGGTATTTTGGGGGAATTCACTACATCAATATACTTCTTATCATTGTAGTTTGATATCTGTGCTTCTTTGTCAACATGATTTGTCATTGGTTGCCAGATCCCGTAAAATGATCACTAAACAAGTAAAGCTTTGCCTGGCTATTCATCGGACTACGTCATGAAAGAGACTTCTTGGTCCTAGATCAAATTATGCAACATTCACATGCATAGACTTGCGCCATAAAATGAAGATATTTCACATCTCAGAATAAACTTGATAATGGCTTTTATGCACTAAAACCATGAGATTATTCAAGTATCGTTGTCAGTATCACAATATCGTGTCGACTTCTAACTAGACTAAAACGCTCAGCTGGCTGATGGTGTGCTTGCAGTACCTGATATGTCAACAAAGCCTCCTACAGTATATGCTAACTATGATCTCCTTTTCCAGTTCAAAAACACACCTCTGTGATAACCTCAGGAATGAAGAAATGATCTTTATTGTAGGCTAGTTACGAGACACTAGGTTGAGGAAAGAAGAAGAAGAAAACAGCGATTTACTGCATGAAGCAGTAAACAAACCCACTCTATGGGACAAATGAATCAAACAGTGCAAACACCCTGGTGTAGGGCGTTGCTTAGGACGTCACAGCCTCCATGCCGGGACCTACAGATGGTTCAAAACAAAGAAATTTGCATGGGAAAATAGCATTTCCATAAGAGCAACAAAGGAATTTGGTGGCCATGCGGGGGAACCCACCCAATACATAATGTGATTGTATGTATGGTGGACAAAGAAACTCTTTGCAAAGCCTCAACATCTCAGGGTTGCTCCGTCCACTAGACTAAACGTCTTCTTTGAGTACTGCGCCAAACCCATTATGTTTTCGGGGACCTCAACCTACGTCGGGCCCCTTCCAATACTAACCATTGTCGTATTTTTCCTGAAAGGCTTAGATAACAAATGGCTATCTTTGGTGACAAAAGAGCATCATGATTGACAGCTTCTCAAGTTTGGTGTATAAATAGTTCGATTTTTCCAGTGGAAGAAGAAGAATCATCAACATATACATCGATAACATCTCTTCCACACTCACACTTTTCCCAAATCAAGTCCTCTCAACATACCCAAGCTAACCCACTCACTCACCACCGACTCACCCTCCAAGCTCGTAACATGTTTCCTTCGTCTTCAGGCGTACTCCACTGCTCCTTCTGCCGCAGAACGCCGCCGATGGCCAGCTGCTACGCCAAGGGTCATATCCACGTGTGCCCGATGTGCAAAAACAAGTACTCCGGCGCCCTTGATAAATGCCCTCACTGCAATCCCTCCACCACTGACGAGTTCCGCCGTCCTACCATGACGATCCAGAAACCCAAGACCCCAATGTCGGGGTCTTCCCGCCTCACCGTCACTGCCAAGATGGTGTACGCAGACGGCCCGGATCGAACGATAACGGTTGACGAGATCAAGGAGGCTCAGTCCACCGAGTCTTCTGCTTCTGAGCAGGAGTCTGCTGGGGAGAGCGGTGTAGTTCACGAGCAAGAAGAGGTTCCTGTAACTGATGATGAGTCGACTCATGAGGATCATGACGACGCAGAGAGTCCCGATGATGAATCCGACGTGATGGCTTCTGCTGAGGAGACTCCTGCTGAGAATTCCCCTTTTGAAGGGGTTCCTAATGAGGAGGCTCCTATTGAAGAGGCCTCTGTTGAAGCTCCTGTTGAGGATGCGCCTGTTGTGGTTGTTCCTGCTGAAGATTCCCCCGCCCCGAAAACCTTAGAAGAGAAGCTGTCTCAGCTGGCTCCTCTCGAGATCCCGGATCGCGAGGCCGAAGTCGAGCAAGAGCTCAGCGGCAATGAGGCTGAGGTTGAAGTCATCCGTGATACTCCCGAGGATCTTTTTTCCGAGACTGCGAAGATGATGCAGGCGTTGAGCCAGCCTCGACAGGAGGTCGAGAAGGTTGCAGAAAAGCCTGAGCGGGCATCCACTTCACCAGTAAAGAACGGAGTGACCCGGGGAAAGTCTGTCAAGCACCTTGCAGCTCAGCTCAACCAGACTTCTGAGAACTCCTCGTGCAGCCGTGGCCGATGCTCCGTCCATGGCAAGCGGACTGCTCAGGCCTCTGACAAGAAGGCAGAGTTTGTCCGTCCTGCGCTGACCAAGACCAAGACTAACCACGCACCTCACCAGATGCGGGGACCGGGTGACAAGTCTAACGAGGAGCTTGGTGAGTGCTTCTAGATGGCTATCCAGTCATTTTCTCGGCATTTTATTTGTCTCGGCTTTTTGGTTTGCGAATGAGCTGTAATTTCTTATGTTGTGGTGTGTTTGCTGATCAGAATATCTTGTGTCTCTATTTGTTTTCGGTTTCAGCATATATATAAGAAACTCAACAGAAATATATACGCCTAGTTTTATCATTCTGTTTCCATTTTACTGTAGAGTCTAGATCTCCAGACGCTCAGAACGGACTGTGCAGCTGTACGGAAAGATGCTGATGTCGGATTGTCCTCAGGCGAGCTCCGAGGGCAAAATTCTGCTTTTGTAAATGTGCTCTTGATCCGTACCACGTAAGATATTTCTCGTCTGGTGGAATCTTGGTAATGAACAGACTGTTGTTAAGTTAGTAGGACTTTCCGCCTTGCCTTATTCCTTTGTTCGGATCCGAGTGTGCTATGTCCTGTTGTTCGGATCCGAAGGCCCGGATCCGACAGCTTACTCCACACCAATCGCATTTACAGGGTCCTCTTTGTATAAATTATTAACTTCGACGCCCATATCTCTTCGTCTTCATCTTCATTCTCAATCCGAGTTCTTCATACGTCTAGTCTTCAGTCTAGCTCCTCCGTCTTTCCCTTTGAGATTTTCTTATTGCAATTATATCACCACAAAGATGCACGTTCTTGTTATCGGTGGCAGTGGACGCACTGGCAAGCTTACTATCAACGAGCTTCTTAGCAAAGGTGAGTTCCGACTCCGCGGGCACATTATAGATTACCAGCTAACACTCGACAGGACATCAAGTTACTACTCTCGCCAGAAACCCGTCCGCATTGGAAACCCTTCCCGGCTTGAACATCATCAAAGGTAGGCTACAAACTTCTTTTTATATGACTAAGGGTTCTTGCTAATTAAATTGCAGGAACACCGACAGACCTAACAGGCGTTCGAACTGCCTTCAAACATAACATCCCAGGCGCAGTGATCGTGACTCTAAGCGCCCCCAGGGCCACAGAGAGTCCCTTCTCGGCTCCTAATCCCGACCCTCGTCTTATGACCAACTGCAATGAGCACGTGGTCACGGTCATGAAAGAGTATGGCGTCCGCAAGATCGTCATCATGCAAGCGTTTGGCGTGGCTGAGTCGTGGTCTAACATGCCCTGCGCGATGCGTCTGCTCATGAGCAAGTCGAACATGATCTACCAATACAATGATCATAATGAGACAGAACGTCTAATTCGGGCTAGTGGACTGGACTATGTCTTTGTTCGTCCCACTCGTCTGGTGGAGACTGACGAAGAGAAGGTGAAGGTGTGGCCGAATCATGGCAAAGGTGTTCCTTTGATGGCCACTATCAGTCGGGTCAGCGTTGCGCGCTGGCTTGTTGATGCGGTAGAGACTGATAAATGGGATCGATCTGCTCCTGTCATCACTAATTGAGGAGTGACACAATTCTAGACTCAACCTTATTTGCACGGCGTTTGGTTATATATAGCTCGGTGGGTGATATTTGGAATGATCATTATATTTTGCTATTATTTTTATTCTCTTCAGCCCACTCATTCTCATTCATTCACACTAAGTATACATCTATGCATCTCTTTTATAGTGTTGAGTCTCTAATGTACATTGTTTTGGGCGACGCGTCGAAAGGGAGGAACGGATTACCGAAAACGGCAAAGCGTAAACACAACTAAATTAGGACTGCCATTGTGGCTGGACCGGGCAACCGTAGCTAGGAGCGATGATGATCGTCAGCCTCTTTTTCTCTCCGCCCGAGATGCGTCCATCAAGGCCCCATACAGACGTGAACCTATCTCAGCCAATATCTACTGGTCCAGTGTAAGACGTCACAATTTTCATAAATGCATAGCCAATTCTAACAGCTTGGTTAGAAATTTGCCGGAATCGCAGCCATGGATGATAGCCAAATATCTCGCAAACGGCCTCGGCCTGTAGTCTCGTGTTTGCGATGCAGGGAGAAAAAATTGAAGTGTGACCGGCTGTCTCCATGTGTGAATTGCACGAAGGCTGCATGCCCTGCAGAATGCACGTATAGTCAAGGCTCAGGGGCTTCCGATCGACCTGCCAAGGCTAGACGAGCCCCGACTAGTACGGACGCTGTGACAAACGACCAGCATCCTGACCGGCGGAGCGAGGAACCAGGAAATGTTGGGGTTAGTGGCATTATTGAAGATCTCCAGCAGCGGGTTGCTAAGCTAGAGGAACTTCTTTCTGTTCGGTCCGGCTCTGTGAACTGCAATCAAGTGCCGGGGGTTTCAATTCCAGATGTCAGGTACGAAGACGATTTCTGGTCTCTGGCTACAGTCTGCTAATTATGAAGAATTAAAAGAGATGAAATCGAAGAGTCAGAAGTATCAGTTTCACTCCAAGGTACGGTTGTGGTGAAGGGGAACCGAACTCGGTACCACGGTCAGAATACTAGAGGCTCGCTTCTAAAACAGGTGATTGGCATTTCTTCCGACCGGTATAGAAACTTGACTGACAAGATGAACAGTTCCCGGATGCCAAGCGGTACATTGATCAATTCATCCAAGATCCAGTCATGATGGGTTTGGCTAAGGAAGTTCAGTTCCTTCAAAATAAGTCGCGAGGGGCGTCAAATTCTCCCGCGAGTGTCTTAGGTTCCGAATTCTCTCCAGAGCTGATGCAACTTCGAACACACCTACCTCCTAAAGCGGTATGTGACCAGCTGGTGGAGTTATACTGGCGTAATTTTGAAGGGGTGTTGCGAGTCCTCCACATACCTTCTTTTCTTCGCCAATACACGCAGTTCTGGGCCGATCTTGACAGTGACAACGACCGGTCGAGTGTTTTTCTTCCTCTCATTACAGCTGTTATGACAGTGTCAATTAAGGTGGCCGATCCTAACACTAAACTGGGCAATCAACCGGCGTGGGAGTACCTTAATAACGCAGCGGTTAATTTCATTCGAATGTGGCAGTGTACTCTCGGCAGGAAACAACAAACAGAAATTGCCACGCTGCAGATTGGAGTGCTCGTTGTAATGGCTCGTCGACTCCGGTTAGAGTCTGCAGAAGAGATATGGAGGGCCACGGGCACTCTAGTTCGCTCGGCAATGGTGGTGGGGCTTCACTTGGACCTTTCCCAGTACAGAAACCTACCTGTCTTTCAAGCTGAGATTCGACGTCGGTTGTTGATTACAATCGCGGAAATGGACCTCCAGGCATCTATTGAATCAGGAATGCCAGTTATGATGCCAGATCTTTATTATGGAGCGCTCTCTCCTGCTAACCTCGACGATGCCGACTTCGACGACTCGACGGTTGAGCTACCACCTAGCAAGCCTTTGCATGAAGAGACAAAGTCTCTCACACAGGTAATTCTTGCTAGGTCGCTAAGGGCCCGTATCAATAGTATGATGTTTTTAAAGGATGTTGGTCCGAGGAAGAAAATCAAGGCAAGTCTGGAATATGGACGAGTGATATTAGAAGAAGAGTTACAACGGGTTCCGGATTCACTCAAGCTGGACTGCAATACTCAAGGTGATGAGACACCAGGACGTTTGCTAAACCTCATTCTACTGGATATTCACATCCGCAGACCCCTGCTTTGCCTTTACCGATCGATAGCTATGCTTGAGGATGAAGAGGCAGAAGGATACCATGCACTACAACAATTGTGTCTGGAATCGTCGTTAGCGATCTTATCATACCAGGATTATTTTGATCCCAGAGTGGCTGATCTGGATATCTCCAACTCGAATGTTTATTGGGATCTCTTCCAGGCACTCTGCAAAAATGACATTCTTTGGGCTGCGCTGAGTGTATGTGAGCATATAAAGGCTTCTGGACAAAATCAACACTCAGTGCAGACCCCATTCGGTAACCACAGTGTTGGTTCTTTGGCCAAACATACGCAGAATCCTAGCAAGGCTAGCATGATACGCACGATCGAAAGCACGCTGGATGCTTTGATTCGGAGACTTGGCGACTCCGGTACCAATATGAAAGACATTATCCTTCTTACAATCATTCTCCAATCAGTGCGATCTCGAGGCTCTGCTCAAGCGAAAGATCATTGGATGCAAGAAGGGGCAAAGAAGGCTTTCGCGGCCTGTAGACAGCACTTACTTCCTTCCGTGGCAAATGAGTTTGCAGCAGGGAATGTTGCCGATCTCGCGCAAATGGTAAGCTCTACTTCATCTGTTTGCATTCCTAACTTTTTCTGATGCATTTTTAGTTTCACCCAAACCAGGCATTGTTTTCTTCTAACAATACAACTGGATTCACGCCTCAGATTCAAATGCCAGGTCTTCTAGGACCTTCTTCTGCTTTGCTTGACGAATTCAACGATTTCCAAGAAAACATCTTTTCCTTCGACGACGCGTCATTTGCGTGGAACCCATAAAATCTGTGTTCTTTCTCTTCTGCAAAACAACACAAAAAAATGCCCTTTGGGATAATTTTCATCTTGCGAATCACCAATCGTTATTCAGTTGGTCTCCAACGAGCGACACAATGGCCTCCGGATCCGGTGCTCGGATCCGAAGTCGGCCGGATCCGAGCTGTGCTGGCGGCGAGGATCTGCAGCAATGGGAGGCATTTAATGTGGACATGATTGCTTCCAACATGCCATTTGCAAGATGACTACAAATTCTGACGGAATCCCCCGTGTTTTTCAATTAGAACCATCTCCTCAATCAACATTTCCCAAACCCACTCCCAAAGTCCATCCGCCAATCCTCTTGTGAAGCTTGCACAAAAATGACCTCCATTCAGAACGTCGCTATCATCGGTGCTGGCCTTTCAGGTCTCACTCTTGCCCTCGCATTACACAAGCAGTCCATCCGCTGCACTATCTACGAAGCGCGACCCGCGCCCCTCGACATCGGCGGCGCCATCATGCTGTCTCCCAACGCCCTCCGCATCCTCGATACCATAGGCGTCTACGAGCGCATTCACCCACATGGTTACAATTTTGACGAGCTACATTTCCGCTCTGCTAGCAATGAGCCCATCGATGTCTATGAATTCGGCAATGCCGAGAAATACAGCTACCGTGGCATGCGCATCTACCGCCACGTCCTCATCTCGCAGCTCTCGGCGCTCGCCGAGGAATCTAACATCCCAATTCAATACAACCGAAAATTCTCGCGTATCGTCTCCGAGACACCCACTGATGTCACTTGGCAATTCGCCGACGGAGCCGCTGAAAAAGCAACATGCCTCGTGGGAGCAGATGGCATCCACTCGCGCGTCCGCAAGTACCTCTACCCGGAGCTAGAGCCCAAGTTCACCAACATGATGGGGGTGACGGCCGCTGTGCCGACGGCGAATCTGAAGGTCCCCGAGGGATACGAGTTACCCGTGACGATCATAAACCCGCAGCATGGAGCGTTCGTCATAGCCCCGCAACAGCAAGACGGGTCGGAGGTGTTGATAGGGCGACAGAAGCGTGCGCCGGAGCTAGATCGTACGGGTTGGACCGCCCTCATGAACGACACGAACTGGTGCGTGGACTTTCTGCGTGAAGCGGCGGATGACTTTCCCCAGATTGTACGAAACGCGGTGTCGGATATCTCACCCGACAAAATCAACCTGTGGCCGTTCTACGTGGTGCCGAAGCTGGAGAGGTGGAATTCGAAACACTCTCGCGTGGTTATCCTGGGTGATGCGGCACATGCGATCGCGCCGACTTCGGGACAGGGCGTCAATCAGGCTTTTGAGGATGTGTATACGTACTCGTTGATACTGGCTAGGGCTGGGGAATCTCAACTTGATAGGGCGTTGCAGGCGTGGCAGCGTGGTCGACAGGAGCGGGTTGATAAGGTCCTGGAACTCAATGCACAAATCGACAAGCGGAGGATGCCGAAGCAGGGGGATCAGGATGATGTGGAAATGAGCGAGAAGTTTGATTTGGAGTGGCTGTATCGACCTGAGTTTGAGGCAATGGTTGAGGGATGGCTTCGCACGGAGGGCTTAGAGTAAATGCTTGTCAAATATCTTAGACGCCAATTTTCCTGTAGTGGGCGAGTTTCAAGTGTTGAATTTTCCTGTTTTCAGTCACTTCGATTCTATCAAAGCCCTTAATATCAGTTATAACCATCTTGACTTAAGCATGCAGGAAACACTGTTCCATGTGATCTCAATCTTAATCGCGCATTGTCGGCTAGAATTCCTCTTAGTATTGGCCGCAGCTCATTGAATACTAACTCAAGTTTATCATGACCTTCAATCAAATGACCAACTCATCCCACCCAACCAACACTCCCAGTACATATTTACTCTCCCTTCATTACCCCCCAATCTCCCTCCACCCAAGTCGAATTCATCTTAAACGCCTTAATCCTCCACAAACCGCCATCCCCCTCACGCGTGACAAGATCAACATAGTATAAACTCCCACCCAACAATCTCGGCTGATCCGCCTCCATGCCCTTTCCCGTGCGATAGTGCTGCGCGATCGACGATGCAGTCAGGGACGCCTCAGTTCCGCTGTCCGCAATATTGATCCGGATATTCGAGACGAAGTGCGTGGTGTCGAGCTTCGATACCGGGTCGAAACAGTCGGTGTGGATTGCTGCTAAGCCGGAGAGAACGCGTCCGTTGATCTCGAGCGTGGAGTCTGGGAGGAAGGCGGAACCGAATAGAGCAGAGTCTCCTGTGTCGAAGCCTAGGACACATCGGTAGACGGCGTCGGCGATGGCGTCACGGCCGGTTAGGGCTGGGGTGAGGGTGGCAGGGAGGCTGGGGATGGTTGTCATTGTGGGTGTTTCCGATTTAAACAAGGTATTAATTTGAGGATGGCTGGGTATGAACGTATTCGCGAATTCTGCGGGAAAATAACTGAATATAAGTCCCTTGTGGTCAGTGAGTACTTCTTGCTGTATGGTCCTTAACGCCGCTTATCCCCGCTGGCGGAGATAGCACTATGCCGAGATGTTGATGTAATGCTACCTGAAGAGAACAGGCAGATACAAAAAAAAACAAATGATTTTTGGGACTGCAGTGTCCAATTTTGGAACTTAAACTACTTTTCCGCATCCCTTCCTTTGCAGAGTATACCATGCGTAGACACCACAGGCAAAAATTTAAAGACACCTCTTATTGATCTGTATAATGTCACTATCTCGACGCCGAAAATCGGCTGATAATATCCTGTAACACCGCAACTGTCTCGTCAACCCTGTTCAAAAAAGGCCCACAATGACTGCACGCTATCTCCTTGACAATCCACTCCTGCTGAGTCGCGGCCATCATGCCATATTGCGTGTCCTTCAGCACCGCTCGATCTTTCGTAATCACAATAAAAGCCAATCGACCCTTGAATTCGGCATCAGCCCACGCAGGGTGTGGCTACGGAGAAGTTAAAGCGAGGTTCGAGTGCGGTTTGATACTTACTGCGAGGTCCTTTGCCAAATCCGAGTCGACATCCCCGGCGAAATTACCGATCGGATCTTCGGGGATGTTTACATCACGCGAAGGCTGGATCTCATTAACATACATATTTCTTCTCACATACTAAGTTGAAGTAGCCAACTATGAGACATACCTTGTCAAGCAAAATCCATGGAGGAAGATTCCCGCCTTGCAATCCCGCACAGCTCAATCCTTCGGGAACTATAAAGGCACCGATGAAGATCAAACCGACAATACCGCCGGGTTTGCCTTGTTGCGACCGCTGTGACTTGGATAACCCCGGGGCTGCAGTAGCTCCGGGCATTCCTGCGTAGGAATGCATCACGATGACTATAGCTTTGCCTTCATCTTCGACTAGGAATCGTAGAGTCTTCGCGATGGCCTTGGAATCGCCTTCGCAGTCGGCGACGGGGGGGTCGGTGGGGCTCAGAGACGGATAGCTGGCATGATGAACGAGGAATCCGGCAGAGGTGAGAGTGCTAGAGAACGATCGATAGAAGGACGGGGACTAAAACGATGGTCGACATGTCGTTGAGATGTATAAGAATAGATGTTTCAATCTGGTTGATATGGAATGGGTTCTTCAGTCTATTTCATATCCCGGCACATTGAGTCAATCCAACACTGGGAAAACAACGATTGGCCTGCAGGTATCCTGAGTAATAAGGTTGCAAGCACAGCCTTCGTTCCTTTTTCGATAGCCTTGGATATTGGGGCGGATATTCGGCGCTAGAATCAATTAACATTCACGAGTCGGTTTCGTCATGTAAAGCGCCTGCTCGACTTGAAGGCTTCGTTCAGCGATCTATGACTCCATGTTATAATATTATTTCTATGACATCATTTATCAATTCCTCGATGGTCTAACGGTCATGATTTCCGCTTGTCACTCAGCCGAGAACGAGCGCGGGAGACCTGGGTTCGACTCCCAGTCGGGGAGATCTCGTTTTTTTTCTTTTTTTTTCCCTCCCATGCACCACTTCGGTTAGCTACGTTCCCTCTTCCTGTGACGGTCTACAAAGGAGTCTAGTAAAAGACTAGTTTGTTTATGACTCGTAGTCAAGGAATTTTCCCATCGAGAAGAAAGGCTATCTATGAGGGAGGATCTATCCTTTATGTACTACCGGAGGGTCCTTGGCTCAGGAAGTAACACTTCCGTCGGTCATAAACGACCACTACTATCTATGTATTATGAGATCATATTCATACTGGTAGCAATCCAGATCAAATGCAAATCCAGTAAGACGTGCAAAAACGAGGATCTGGTTCAGGCACCAGGAATCATGTATGACGTCATACTGACCTTACTCCCCCTGATCGGCTCCAATGCAGTACGAGCACCAAAGCTTAGCCTGAAGCTTTCATATACTTCACCTTGCCATGAACCTCTTCAGCCTTACAGCTCTTGATGCTGGAATCATATCCGATAGCTCCCATGGCTCCCTCACGGTTAGTGTTCCGCAATTGATTATCTTTTTGGCATTTGCTTACCATGCACCCAGGCATCATCGCCATACCAGTGGCTGGTCATACCGCCAAGTAGCAGCAGCGTCATTCCTCAAGACATTCCTACGAAACTTCGCTTTCCTCCGAATCAAATGGCCAATATCACTTAAGCCACGTTGCGAATCTACCCGTTTCGTTGTCATGAACCCCGCGCCGGCAGACCTCTACACTGGCGTCGCGATAGACGCGGACATCCAACCCGCCCGAATCGGAGGCACGTGGTATCCCGAACCCTACAATCCTCCTTCTCCTACCTTTCAATCCTCCTCGCCTGAAGAAGACCAAATAAAACACCAACACATCATCCTCCACTTCCACGGAGGCTCCTACATCCTCGGCGACGGCCGCACCTCATCATGCGGCTTCCTCGCCAAATCCTTCCTCGAAAACACCCCCGCCTCGCACGTCCTCTGTCCACAATACCGACTCGCCACGCACAAGGGGGGCCGATTCCCCGCGCAACTTCAAGACGCAATCACCTCATACATGTATCTGATCAGGGACTTGCAGATCCCTGCGTCCCGGATCGTGCTGAGTGGTGATAGTTCGGGCGCACATCTCGCGTTGGCGTTGTTACGGTATATTCTCGATCATGGGTATGAGTTCGCGTCGAAGGATAAGGGTCGGGGTCAGGACACGGGGCTGGGCATTGACATTCCCACCCCGAAATGCGCGTGGGCTTGGTCGCCTTGGTGTGATGTCCCTGGCGCTGTGGATGCGCAGGGATGGACGCATAGTGAGAATTACAAGACGGAGTATATTCCGGGTTCGTTCCCTGCGTGGGGCGCGAGACGGTTTCTTGGGGATTTGGAGATCACGGAGGAAAGGGAGAGGTATTTGGCGCCGCTGAGGTGGCCGTTTCGGGTCCCTTGTCCGGTACTGGTGGGGACTGGGAATCGGGAGGTTTTGTTTCATGAGCATGTGCGGTTGGTGGAGGTGTTGGGGGAACGGAGGGGTGGGGATGGAGATCCGCCAGTGGAAATTGTGGTGGCGGATAAAGTGCCGCATGATGTTTTTATGATTGCGTGGATTATGGGTTTTAAGGCGGAGGCGAGGGTTTGCGCGAGGAAGGCGGGGGAGTTTGTGGATAGGATAGGGGGTGGTGTCAAGCTTTAGGATAGGGTTGGTACAGAGTGTTTTTGGCTTCTGTCGATTTTATGGTGCTGGTTTGTGGGTTTGTGGGTTTGAGCGTTGAAATCATCTGGTGCTCTTTCCTGTGTCTATCCTATATGTACATAGTTCGTTCGGTTCTCTCGGGATAGCGATGGACAGTCTCTATATCTAAGCTTCTTGCCAATCATTGATCTATCTTCTACTAGCGCATGAACAAGTCTTCCCTGGACTAGAAATGTCTAATCTATCAACCATCTCCAATATGGCATTCCGCGAGCCTTCCACCTCGTTCTAGTTCTGCGGCTTCGCCATAGGCTCGATCTTTCGAATGATCTTCGCCGGATTCCCGGCCACAACATGAAACGGCGGCACATTCTACATCCACAGTTAGCCATCACACTCTGAACCACAAATCCATCAAACAACAGAACTCTGGAAGAAAAGGAAGAACAAACCTTAGTAACCACACTCCCCGCCCCAACCGTCGATCCCTCCCCAATAGTCACCCCCGGCAAGATCGTCACATTGCCCGCAATCCAACAATCGTCACCAACCGAGATCGGCTTCCCGGACTCGGGTCCATTCGTCCCGTTCCGCAAATACGGATCCGTCGGATGCGTACCGCTATAGAACGAGACGTTCGGACCGACGAGCGTTCGCGAACCAATGTACACGAGGCACGTGTCCACAAACGTGCAGTTGAAGTTGATGAACACGTTGCTGCCGACTTTGATGTTCGTGCCGTAGTCCATGGCCATGGGGCGTTCGATCCATGGGTAGGCGTGTAAGGTGGCGTCTTCGGATTCATCAGACGGGTTGGGCGAGGCGGGTTCTGGGAGTGGTGTTGGGTCGTTGGTTATTCTGGTTTGATGTGTCAGTGAGTTTTTTTGGTCTTGCGTGATTCTTTCGGGGCTATTGGAAGGTAGTTAGGTATGCATACTCTCTCCAGAACTCGGCTAGTTGGCGACGGCTTAGTTCGCCGGAGTTGTTGAGACGACTGATGACACGGGCGCATCGCTTTCGCGCGGCTACGAGATCCGGCGAGAAGGCGTAGTAGAGCTCGCCGCGCTGCATGCGCGCGAGATTCTCTTTCTCGTCGACGTTGGTGATCATGGTTTGTTTTTTACGTGGGTGTGGTTTGGGTTGGGTTGTGACGGGATAGGAACCGGGGTATAAGGGAGGTTTAAATAGGCGTGGGAAAGAGAAGTATACGTTTTGCGGCTATGGTAGCCTGTTCTATGACTTTATTTTAGGATCGGGATGGTCAACTTGATGTTAACAGCATGGAATTAGAGAAAGAGGCCAGCCAGAAAGAGTGAGATAATAGCCGCGGTGGATCCAGACTTTGCAAAGGGTCCAATCATTGTAGAATGAATCCTCCTAACTGTGGACCTAAGGTGTGCTGCACAGAAATGCATCAACAAGTGTGGACCTCGGCTGTGCATGCCAAGCACGGGAAGCCAATATCCGCCACCAAAAAAAAAAAAAAAAAAAAAAAAAACAGCTCTCTTCTCTGCACACAACAGAGCAACAAACAAACAGATAAAAAGCAAAAAGAAGGATGGAGAGGCGGGGAATCGAACCCCGGACCTTTCCCATGCTAAGGGAACGTTATACCACTAAACCACATCCCCGATATATATAAGTAAATATATACCGTCCATGACCGACGCAGGGGTCGAACCTGCAATCTCTTGATTCGTAGTCAAGCGCCTTGCCATTGGGCCAGCCGGCCTGGTTGTTATTTGTCAGCAGATATTTTGACATCATATTCCTAGACGCATAGTTAGTGTTCACTCTATAGGAATCTTGGTGTTGTTAAGTGTTGGGCTTCTTTGGGGTATTTATTGCCAATGGTGGATGGCAGGTCTGGTACTATTTAGGTTGATCTATTATAGCACAACCACGGTTAAAGCCATGGGTTACTCAACATTATGTGCATTCGATGTCTCTACTCTAAAGATATATAGTCACATATCCGGTGTCGATCTGAACACACAATCAAGTCCCATTAGCAGGCTGCTTATAAACTTTCCCATCAATCGTTGTAGTCAACGTCCCATTCGCCTCAAAATTGTTTTCCATCGCATCGATCGTCAACTGAAACCCACCCGGTCCGGTCTTCTTGCTGGCTGTCACCGCACCCGTCTGGTTGAGATCCGAGTACCAGTCCAAAACATTCAACCAGGGGTTATCAGCCGACGGGATCGTCGTCGTCACCGACTCCCGTCCGTGAATGAAATGCTCCCCATCGTCGGAGTAATTGCTATATTTGACCTTGACCGTCTGGACAACCCCCGATGCCCCCGCGACAAGCGATACCTGGGCGGACCCGCTGGAGCTGCCGTGCAAGGTATAGTTGCCTGCCGGGACCGCGTAGATCTCAGGGAGGTCGCTACCGGGAGGGAAGGGCGTAGCCCAGGGGATCTCGTCGGGGACTTTGTAGATGGGGGCTGGGTCGGTCGGTTCGCGATCCGTTCGGGTGGCGAGCATGAGCCGATACCGACGACCACCCTGGGCTGTGGACTCCGGGCAGACGAGCGGGTTCTCACCACCGCAGGAGGGCGAAGTCACCAGGGCCTGCCAGTAGGCGATTTGGGTTCCGTCGGGGGAGAAGGCCGGGTCAGCGCGACCGTTCCAGTTGGGGTCGTTGATGGCGCCGTTGCTGCCGTCTCCGTCTTCGTTGATCTGTTGGCCGAAGTAGTCGTCGCGGTCGCCGTAGCGGTCGATCAGGATGGGTTGGAAGAATCGACGGGGGCCGTTGTTGCGCGTGGACGAGGCGGCGGTGACGGCGACGATGTCAATGAGAGGTGGGACGTAACGCATACCGGACATCCACATCTGTCGGTCGGTGCCGCGAGTGTCCATGGCGACGAGCCAGTCGTTGTCGTGCGAGAAAGCCATCGGGTCGGTGTATTCGGGGTGGCTGGTGAGACGGCGGATGGCGCCGGTGGTGACGTGGATGGCAAAGACATCGATGTTATTGGCCTCGCGGGGAGAGCCGATGTAGAGGATCTCGTCGCCGCTTCCGCTGAAGCCGCGCAGCTCGCCGAGAAGAATGGCGTCGTCGTGGATGACCAGTTTGTTGCCGTCGGCCATAATGGGTGCCGTGCTGTTCTCTTGGTAGAGAATGTTCACGTCGACGAGGTCGTATCGCGGAACCGACAGGTCCCCAGAAGTGGGCTTGGAGTTGAACTCAAGACGCCCGAAGTACGTGAACTGACCACCCGCCGTAAACGAGCTCCAGCCCATGTGTTCGTCATCGGGGTGCATGCGCATTTCTCGCGGACTTCCTCCCTCCCCGGACCCGTCGGCCGAAGTGGGCCAGTAGATGGGATAGATGTGAGTCGTGTTCGGAGTGCAGGTGTCGCTCCAAAGGGAGGCCTTACCGCAGTCGAGGATATTATGGCCCCAAAGAGCCTGTTTGCCATTGCGAGCAGCGTGGGGATAGTCTCGCTGGGGGTCAAGCGACTGCGCGTTCTTCTCGGGAACGCCGCAGCTAAGACACTTCCATGCATCTCCATTCGCGAATTTCTTCCCGTCAGCCTTGACGAGGATTAGATGTTCGCCCGAGTAGATGCTAGCAGGATCCGGAGCTGCCGGTGCGCCGATAAAGTCGACGTTGACGAGCACATGCTTGCCGTCCGGGGTGAAGTCTCCAGATTGGAATTCGTCGGATGTTTGACCGATGCACCCAGTTCCACGGGAGTTGATCTTCTCAGTACATGCCCCTTCTTTACTGCTTGGGGCGACTGGAGGTAGGGGCAGTTCAACGATGTCAAAAGACTCCGGGGATGGAGGAGAAGGAAGGGCCCCGACCCCGGTGGCAACTAGTAGAAGAGACGAGGTCCAGCGCATCTTGACAGAGCACCTTTGTGGAAATGGCCTTGCCAACAATGACATTCATGACGAAAGAAAGCATCATTTAAGATATTTTCTTTTCTCATGTGATTTCCGGATCTTTAGGGACCAGTTCGTGTCTGGACGTATTGCCTCGAAAACCATTCCGGAAAGGGAATGGAACACGATCCACATGGCCCCATGGGGAAGTTGGATCGAAATATGCCGAGACCCGACTTGAATGATCAATAGAATAATGTACTGATGACAATGACTTACAGACTAAGTGGATCATGCAAATGAGCCCGGAGATAAAGATAATCATCGCTATCGACGTTGGCGAGGTCCGATTTGCTGACCTGCCTGAATCGAGCGGGTCATTGATCCCCGAGATGAAGTACTCGGCTATACCCAGTGTACGATGTCCAGTTCTTCTTCAGCCGTCCCTGTTTCTCATCCATTTATAGTTGATCCTTAGGCCATAGCTGGTGAATTTAACCGGAGCCGGAGCAAAGAGTACGGGTACGAGTTCTGTGCCAAGGGCCTGGGTTCGGTGATGGACCTCATCTCGAGACCCTGACGGCTTTGGAGTGTGAAAAGTCTCGGGGCCGTGTCGTGCAAAATGCGAATCTCACTACGCATGAGGTTGTTAACTCCGCTAGTGTCCTGCAATGTCTCGATCGAGAGCTGAACACACTCCATACGACGCTGTGAGATTGACCGATATTGATGACGTCATTTGCACCGGAGGCTTGTGCACTATGCATAACACATTTGTGTACATAAATCCCTAGTGGGGACCATCTCACAGAAAGAGATCACATTGTTAGATAACGCCTACAGAGAGCATTTGAAAACAACCATTGATTTAAGCATCACTAAACTGTATGATGGCTTCTATAGGGACGAGTGATCGATCAGAAATGGAGAAGTATAACTCTGAGGCTATAGCCTTATTGTTACTAGCATTATCGCCTGTAATAGAAATGAGCCTATCTTCGAGACTCAATTCTATAAGTATATTTTCTACTGCAATTGCCAGATTTTCGCCACTATGAATGCTCTAGAGTTCGGCGAACTCGAGTAATCTTTCGCGGTACTTAAATTCGTCAGTCAGCCAATGACCAATTATCCCTAAAATAGGAAGATGATTCTGGCTTGTCCAGATGTCCAGTGATATGGCAATAGTTTTGCAGGTCAAATTGAGCTCATTCCTCAGGTTAGTGCGTTATATGGCGAACTCTTGCATGATTCGATCCCGCAAGATGTGGCGAGAAGTGAAAGGAAGTTTAATCCCAGGAATGTCTCGGAACATTTGCTAAAATTCTGGAGACTCAACAGTGGTAAAAGCTTTTATATCAGTTACGTCGTCTATATCGCCGGTTTCGCCGTCACCGAAGGGATCTCCATGGTCGACGTCGTCGTCTCGCACGGACAGGGCGATCTGATGGACCTGGCCTTTGACTTCGCCGCCGTCCGGACCTGTATTCCCCGAGACCCCAAAAGCGTCGTGGAGCCATCCCCGAGGCCCGAAGAGGAGATCGAAGCGTACATTGCTACCTTTAAGCGGTGGAATGGAAATGGGTTTGACGGCAAGCTGTAGCATGTCGCCTGGCGGCCGGAGGACGGCGGTATCCCGCAGATTGGATATATCTGCTCCACCCAGGATATGACCGTGCCCTTTGAATACCAGAAGGAATTCATCAAAACGATGCAAGATGCTGGATGGCGGGTGCGCACCTGGGAGTTGGAGACGGGCCATTGTCCCACGTTCAGCAAGTGTGAGGAGGTAGTCGAAATTGTGCACGAACTAGCAACCAGAAACTAACTTTTCTTGCTTGGATTTACAACATCTGTGATTGGTGATATTGATGAATTGTTTCTCATCTGTCTTTTTCTTTCTTGGAACACAGTAGACAGAAAGCAAATGCAAAGAGGAATGCAAAGTACTTCCCCTTCATATCCAGCCCGATAATTCAGTTCCAACATTACCAGTTAATCCAAACACTTCCCACCTCGCTAACTGCCAGCCCAGTTTCATCGGAACCTGCTTGTCATGGTCTATTTAAGTGCTCAAGGTATTGATAACAACCAATACATTACAGAATATACTCTATGGCTTCCTTATATTGAGACACGGCCCGAGTATGTTATAGTTGGACAATAAAGTATGTAAGCTTTTGAAATTATAAAAATAAATTAAAACTTTCCTTTACGCGGCTCAGCCACCACCACCTTCCGCCGGCGGATGGTCAAATTGCCACTGATACGATGGACTCCGATGACTGTGACAGTGCTTCCTTTGTTTTGTGGAATGAAGTGGGCTTTTGTAACCCCTAACTCCCGGTGTTCACTACCCACAGTACATAATTACGCGGCAAACTCGGTGAAGACAGGTCTGTTAGTCCAAAGCGCTCCATCTGAGTGTCACCGTTAGCCGCCGTGACCGCAATATTTTAATTTTAACCGCTCCAAGACAAAGCCAACTATGTACCTACGGATCTAAGTGGCTAATGGGTGGAGGGCTATACACCGTAGTGTGTAAGTGTTAGTGTGTCCGTTAGTGCTAACGGAAGGGAAAAACCTTACCGTACAGATCGACAAGGGGCGTTCATGTCAATTCCACTATATGCACTTAATCTAGTCCTGAATGTCATTTCTTGCCCTGGGCTTCTACCCAACCGGTACGGTGCTGCGACCGGCTGCTCTGCCTGGTCCCTAATTGAAGCTAAACTGCAACGCGGGTTGGAGCGGATGATGCGCCTCACATTACCATCTCTTTAATCTCATCTGGTAGTTAGTTAATTGAGGATGTTAAATCAGCCCCACTCCGACTCCCGTGACTAGCGCTTGATTATCGATATAGTATGGCCTGAGTCCCTGCAGCGATTTTCTAGGCTATAAGAGTAGACTAACACTGTCCCCACACTTCCGGTACATCATCCGCATGCAGCCCTGACTCGTGTTAGGTGATAGCTAGGGATGTTAACCAAATGTAAGATTACAATTCCAAATAGCTCAAATTAAAAGACTCGAGATGAAACATCACCATTGCGAGTGGCACCTGAGCCCGCGGTCTTCTCAGCAGTCAGGACGTATCTTTGTTGGTTGGCAGGATTAGAATTCAGGCACATACCACAGTGCAGTAGTAAGCCAGTGTAATTGGCTATACATATAACAGTTGGGTAACAGCTAATAAATGCTGTAATCCGATCAAGGATCTTGATTAGGAAGGAGACCAGTTAATTGAGTCTACTTGGACTTGTGGAAATTTTCGTCTGAGCTACAGCTGGGCCGGCTTACGTCACTGGCAATCAGACCATCACTGCAGGTTTGACAACATATGCACACCATAGACCGGTAAAAAATGGGCGGGTTTGGCGTGAAGCCAAAATCGATAGAGAAATGATATATCAAAACATGACATTCTTGTTGAATCCACATTAGTGGGTAAAATGCTGTCCTGCGAACAACAGAAATCTTATCGTGTCGATCATTGGCAACTGAGGCTCAGAACATTCATTGCCAGTGGCTGGCCATAGTTTATCAACCCGCTCTAGTTGTCATGGAGGCCCACATGGCTGTATGTAGTATTGGCGCTTACCTCGATGGATCTCTATGCTCTGTTCCGACCATTACATTTGGACCCCATGCCAAGGACTGTAGAATACCAAAACGGCCGTCGCCCCCTGAAATGACACAATCACTTGAACTGGACCTTGGCCCTTTTGTGAGGCAGACCTCGGTGCCTCTGGGTGAGAAACACATCAGTTCCAGGTGGGGGTTGTCTGGGTGAGATCGAAACACGGATGAGATTGAAGCTTTAGTCTCACGGGCCAAATGTGTCTACCCTGCTCTGATCAGCTGTTCCATCAATAGTTCTTCTATCGAATGCAACGCTTTTTATCACTTGATTTCCTTACATCTGCCGAAAGCTCTGCGAGAATACCGTCACTCTTCTGCAATTCTCACGGATTCTACACAGTAGCTCTATACCATGGCCCCGACTCAAGTCTACAGGCGCCATTGGTCTAATCTACCAGTAGGTCCATTTCGTCTGTGGATATCATGACCGAGCCGCGGCCAATATTGCGCGTGTTCATCTTCTGGTAGGCGACCTGATTGTCCTCCTGGAATGCAGAGTCGCGGAGCCCCCTTTCAGTGTGGCACTGCAGGACACGAGTATATTGTTCTTGGTCTGCACTACTTGAAATTTCCTCGGGCGAGAACGACCAACTCTCTTTACGCGGGATGTGGATTATTTCATGAATAGCCCCGGGCCAATGTATTTGATCTTCGGGACAAGAGCCGGAAAAGCATTAAATCCGAATGAGATGGCAAACTCATACTATTTTTATGTATCTATAAAGAAATCAATTAGAGAGATAGAGAGAAGTAGCTAGAATTTAGGCATGAGAGAGAAGACAGAGTTAGACAGAATCCAGTAGAGCCTTATTAGGTTATTGCAATAACATCATTATGCGGCTCATCTAGAAATTTATTGCGGAGATGTCAGTCGCGAGTCCAAAAGAGGAGTTAGTGGAGACATCCAGGAGCATTAAGCAGCACATAATGAACGGGGACTTGCACCCTTTCTTTTACATTTTTTTTTTAATCAATTAACACAACGATAGCTCCATGCAGTCAGTCTATATACAATTCTCTTGTTAGATGCTGTATGATGTGACATGCTGATAATATTTCGCTATCAAGACACACGCCACGAATCGCCAACGCGGAACCCGTTCGGAAATGGGTCGCTTGGATCAAGGATGACTTGCTGGAAACTGGTGATCCAAGCACTCCCTTTAACAGTCGGAAAGATTGCATCATAATCTCCGACCTTCGTAGTTCCACGGATTGTGCCAATGAATTCAGTTCCAATAGGACTGACATGGCGGAAAGACTCTCCGGTCGCAAGCTGTTTTCGAGCATGCAGCTGGGCCATCCGGGCGCATGTCCCGGTTCCACAGGGGCTCCGGTCGAGGCGCCCCGGAGATACAACAGTGGCGTTGCGCGCTGTCTTTCCAGAGGACTCGTTCTGTAACGGCTCCGTGAGCACCAGATTCGTCACCCCGTTGATACCCGAGTTTTCGGGATGAACCGGATGAATGGTTTCTTGCACTGCGCGTTTGATCATTTCGCCGTACTGGACCAATCGCTCTCCGTCGGCGGAGTTGATGGTCAGGCCTATCTGGCTGACATCGAGGATTGCATATATCATCCCACCCCAGACGATATCACACAGAATCTTGCCGAGGCCGGGAACCTCAACTTCCAAGTCGAGCTGGAACACAAAGGCAGGCACGTTGTCAAAGGCAACCGTTTTACATTTCCCTGCCTCGCATTCTGCAGTCACACAGACCAAGCCAGCCGCAGTGTCCAACTTCAATGTTGTAGTTGGTTCCTGCATTTTAACCATGCCGGTTTCCAGCAAAACCGTCGTGGTACAAATGGTGTTAGATCCAGACATCGGGGGGTACTCCTCGCTCTCCATGATGATGAAGCCTGCATCAGCTCGCGGGTCGCAGGGGGGCAGAATAAGGTTTACGTTCTTGGAGGGCCGGCCACGGGGTTCATTTAGCAACAGCTGCCGGATCTCATCTGCATTCTCCCAAAAGTACCTCATCTTGTCAAACATGGTCTTCCCGGGGACATCCAGGACCCCACCGACGATAACATCGCCTACTTCACCAGCGGCATGCACGCCGACGACATGGATCGTTCTTTGGGCACCCATTGCAAAGCAGAATGGTGGGAGGATAGCACACAGAGTCGAGCGTACTTTCTTTGCTCTTTCGTTTCGACGGTTGGGCTTTGCCGCGATGAGAAAACTGCGTCGGAAGAATAAGCCGAACAGCTGATTGGGACTTTCTCGGGGTGGAGTTAGGTTATAAATCGCACCTGAGATAGTCGCACTTCCCATGTAAGCAATCGATTCCGCGGGAGTGGGAGTAGAGCAAGTGGAGGCGCTCCTAAGTGGGGAAGTGATTCTCCGTGTTGATCCTGAAATTCCGAATAGATCTGCGGATGAGAAACGCACTGGCCCTTCCGCACGTCCGTATTCATCGGTCATTGCCATCATTGGCGTTGCCCTTATCGCGAAGCGTATTTCTTTCCCCGCTGTGACTTGGTCGTATGCCGTATGCATGACGTCCGGACCCGTTCTATTTTCGGGGTTTTTGATATCGATACGATCGCGAATTAGGGCTGTCCCCGGTTAATATCGGCTTGGGCCGAAACCAAGAGTGTTGAAAAGAACGGGGGCAGGCGCAATATTCCGGCACTACTTACTTACTTGCAGATCATTATATTGGCCCCATCCCCTAGTGCATTATTGCAACGCCGTCAGCATGTCTCCTCTCCTGTCAGGATCCAATTCCCCGCTCACACGCAGAAGTATACGATGTGTGTACAAAATGTAAAGGGTCGCGGGTTACCCAATTTGTGGGCCCGCATTAATTCATAGGTACCCCGTAAGTTACCACCCACGCAGTCTACAAAGGGACCCTATGTTGGCCTTCCGACGGAGGCCCGAACAAACGTTTCTGTCTCTTGTCCCATATTAAAATTGGTGTAGATATGCCAATGGCACCAAGTGTTTCGGTAAACATCGTCGGGGCGGGCTTAGGCGGACTAGCAGCGGCCATAGGGTTGCGACGAGCTGGCCACAGCGTCAAGGTCTTAGAGAAAGCGCCTGCTCTTGGAGAGGTCTGTTCCACACCTCTTCCCTTCCAATCGGGGTCTGTCTAACCGATTATCTGCAGATTGGAGCTGGGATTAAGGTACCGCCGAATTCCAGCCGTGTCTTCCACGGATGGGGTCTCCTGGATGCCCTGGAGAAGATCTGCATCTCCCCCGAGGAGGGGAGGATGCGTTCTTACCGCACCGGTGAGGTGCTGTCGACCATGCCCCTGGGCGACAGTCTCCGTCAAACATACAAGGTTCCGTACTTTGTTGTCCACTGCGTCGATCTGCAGCACATGCTAGCGGAGGCTGCCGAGCGTGAAGGCGCCGTCATCGAATTCGGCATGGATGTGGCCGGCGTGCGCGACACCTCGCCGAAGGCGTTCGTTCAGCTCGCCAGTGGAGAGGAGATGGCCGCGGATGTCGTGCTGGGGGTCGATGGGGAGCGCTCGTGCGTTCGAACATCGCTGCTGGGACAGGAATTCCCCTGGCGAGATAGCGGCGACCACGTCTTCCGCGCCACGGTACCACTTCCGGCGCTGGAGGCCGATGACCAACTCAGAGAACTGGGGAAACGGATCAATTGGTGGGTTGGGCCACAGGGCAACGCCCTGACTTACCCTCTCAAGCGAGGGGGGCTCAATATTGTCCTTACCCACGTCCATGCCCCGGATGATGCCGTCCAGTTTGCCCCGAAACCCATTTCCAAGACGGAAGTGACCCACGAGTTCCAGGGTTGGGATCCCTTGTTTCACCGGCTGTTAGACTTGACCTCTACCTGGGCTCGCTGGACTCTGCTGCACACTGACATAGAGTCTCAGTGGACGAGGGAACCGGGCAATATCGCCCTGGTAGGACATGCAGCGCACGCGCTCCTACCTTATCTCGCACAAGGCGCGGCCCTAGCCTTTGAAGACGCGGCGGTGCTGAGCGTCCTCTTTGGAGCCATGCAGGACAAGTCACAAATTCCAGACATTCTGACCATCTTTGAAGCCATCCGCAAGCCCCGTGCGATGGAGATGCACCGCCGCGTTGGTATGGCACGCGATATCTGGTCGATGCCGGATGGTCCACAACAACGTGAACGGGATCGGCAGCTGCGTGAGCACGAACCATACGATGGATACCCTAACGTCTTGGCGGATCCAGCCCTCACGCGGTGGATGTTTGGCTACGATGCTTTTGAGGAGGCTCGCAGGGCATGGCGGAAGTTTGAGAGGGGGGAGTTTCCAAGTACCAGGGGAACGTGGAAGTGTTGATCTTGTATACAGTAATCCGATGGTAGTGTTCATATAAATGAACCGGTAATACCCATGATATTTCCGCTAGCTCCAATAGACTCGTAGAAAGCAGAACCAGCTGCCGCCTCCGAGCTGTTCCTGGAATGGGTGCATGCAGGACAGACAGACCAGGTGGATGGCCCATGCACTGCTGCGCCTGCCGCCATAGTCTCAATCGTGGTAAGCGTCTTCAACTGATAGAAGCCCGGCTCGGTATTATGATCTGTGGGCCCATCTCGGTTTAGGTAGACTCGCCCTGGTATAGCGAATTCGTAGTGCAGCCTGACGCCGCTCATCCTGGGCCAAGAATATATGCATGTCAGCTTCGTGGCATCTGACTTCCTGTCTGTCCAGTTTTCTCTTTCTTTTTTAAGAAAACCACCCACTCCCGGGTAGGTCACCATTTCCGCTAATATCTGCGTAAACACTCCTCAATTGTCTCTAGCAATATTACAAGCCATGTCTGTGACTACAACGCAAACACTCCTCCGGTGCCTCAACGTGGTGTACCAACAGCCACCCGAGGATAATGAGCTGCGCAACCAGCTGTCTCAGGCACTTTCCCTTGCCCTGGTGGCAGTGGAAAGCCCTCTGGATACCGTCCACCGTCTCAGTTTTGCGGTATGTGCCTTTTCCAGCTCGGCGGAATCCTCAGCTGACCGGGGGGGGGATAGCCCTTGCAACTAGCCATGACAAAGGTCGCCATTGACCTGAATCTCTTCGAGGTTCTTGTCTCACAGGGGCGGTCGATGAGCGTGCACGAGCTAGCACAGGCAACGGGGGCACACGACGTGCTGTTAGGTCGCATCCTTCGTTATCTGGCCGCATTTAGCCTTGTGGCCGAGACTTCGCGGCGACCCCGGTCACGCAGGGGCTCGCTGTTCCTGGGTTTGCAGCAGGGATCAAACACCAGTGGGTGAAACCCATTCGTCTCTTTACTGCTGAATAAACCACGGACTAACCTTGTCTAGCTTTGACGTCCAGCTACCCGCCTGGGCGGCCCTTCCGGACTTCCTCAGAGAGAGTGAATATCAGAACCCCTCAGACCGGCAGCGTACGGCATTCCAGCGCGCCCATCACACAGACAACACGGTCTTCACCTGGTTCATGACCCACCCAGGGTTTTCCGTGGACTTCAGCGCGTGGATGGCAGCGCAGCGGAACGGCGAGCGGACCTGGCTGGACGTCTTCCCGCTGGACCGGCTTGTTATGAAAACGGCCCCTACCTCAGCGCCCCTGTTCGTGGATATTGGTGGCGGCGTGGGCCATCAATGCGTGGCACTCCTGGAACGGCTCCCCCAGCTGGTTGGGCGCGTCGTGCTCGAGGACCTTGCCCCAGTCGTCGCTCACGCTCTGCCGCACCCCCGAGTTGAGCGTCTGGCCCACGACTTTTGGACGCCGCAGCCGGTAATGGGAGCCACCTTTTACTACCTGCGGAACGTGCTGCACGACTACCCAGACGAGCAGTGTGTAAAGCTGTTGCAGCTCCAGCGCGCTGCTATGGGCCCCGACTCGGTTCTACTGGTGGACGAGTTAATTTGTCCTCCCGCCGGAGCGCCCCGCGCGTTTGTCGACATGGATATCGCGGTGATGGCGTGTTTAGCAGCGCAGGAACGTACACAGGAGCAATGGGAACATCTCTTCCAATCCGCGGGGCTGTATCTGGTTGAAGTCTTGCCTTACGTGGCGCAGTTAGGGCACAGCGTGATGGTGGTAAAACCGTAGTATTAGCTAGGTAGATACTAACTCACCATCTATGTATCTGAAGAGGAGACCAGGCCAGACGGTCATCCTTGCTCATCCAGCCCAGTTGTTTGCTAATTCTTTCATTCAGTTAGCGCTGATATGGGACATGGTACTAATTTAGTGCCTAATGTCCCCGCACCCTGTGAACGGGATGCTAGGGGCAGTTTCCTAGCCTCGCATCGTTGATTTGAAATGATGGAGCCTCGCCTATCTGCCTGTCGACCCGAATTTAGTCAATTGACATTGCCGAGTCTAGATTGCCTAAGAAATCTCCTCCGCCCCTGCACCTCATATCACAAAGCATTAGTGCTGACCGTAGTGCCGTAGAAACTCCAAAGGCCAAGGCCCAAGGTTACATCCGAAAATGCTAGCTTCATAGTCATTTCTTTGTATCAGTCCCAGCTGCGACGGCAGACGAGAAAGGGAAAGAGGCGAATCGGCCGTTATCCAGGACAACAAGGCGTAATGGGGCGGTATAAATGTGTTGAAAAGTGGCTATCGTCCGGCACCAATTCATCAACTCATACAGTTTGCCCTTGAACAATTTCTTGCTCTTCCTCCTCCTCCTCCTCTTCTTGTTACCTGTCATACACAATGGCGGAGATCGTTGCCGACCTGACAGCCACGGTCAACGCGGCCCTGTCCAAGCTCTCTCCCACCGATGATATCCCGGACTCGGCGCGGTTCCAGCTACTCGATGCATTGGAAAAACTCCGTGGAGCTGTCGAACCCCCTGTCCAGTCGCTCCTAAACATCTGCTGGGCGGTAAGAATTCCCCGGATATGATCTGGAGAAACCTTTATCGCATCATCGCTTGCTGACCACAACCGTAGGCTCATCCTCTGGTTGCGGTCCGAACTGCGATTGGGATGGGAATTTTTGATGCGTTCGCCGGTGTTGGCGGTGCCGAGTTAACCATCGACGAGTTAAATGAAAAGACTAAGGGCGACAAGGCCCTGCTAGGTAAGCGTTCTAGTAGTCGGTCAACACCTGGGACCCACGTACTTACGCTCTGCAGTCCGGATCATGCGCCTCCTGAGCGCCCATCGCTTCTTCACCGAAACCGGAGTGGACAAATACCAACCCCAGCCCCTGGCGCTGGGGTTCGCGGGCGGCGCTCCGCCCAGTGAGGTGATCAAAAACTTGTAAGTGGCCCTTAGTGAGTAGTGGTAGCAAGACTAGTTGACATTCGAACCCCCTAGCCACATGATCTTGCGGGCCACGGCGTACGTTCCCGAATTCTTGGAGGCAAGAGAGTACAATAGCCCAGATGACGCCTACGACAGCCCCTTCCAGCGGGCGTACGGCACCGAACTCCACCACTTCGAGTGGCTGGGCAAGCACCCGGACGAGCAGCATGCCTTCAACGTGGTGATGGAAACCAGCAACCGGGCGGTAGAGGGCCAGCAGTGGTACGACTTCTACCCCTGGGAGGAGCGGCTGCTGGCCGGCGGTAATGCAGACCGCGTGCTCCTAGTTGACATTGGCGGTGGCAAAGGGGCATGACCTTGCGCGCTTCAAGGAGAAGAAGAACCCCACCGGCCGCCTAATCGTACAGGACCTCCCCGAAGTTGTCCGGGATATCCAGGAGCCGGCAGCCCAGGGGATCGAGGCCCAGGGATACAACATGTTTGACGCGCAGCCCGTCCGCGGCGCGAAGGCGTACTACATGCGCACGGTGCTGCATGACTGGCCCGACAAGCAGGCCTTGCAGGCCCTACAGCGCATCCGGGAAGCGATGGCCGACGATTCGGTGCTGTTGATCAACGAGAATACCCTGCCCGAGAGTGCCGTCCCTCGGTTCAATACGAGTGTCGATCTCATCATGATGACCATGTTCTCGTCACTGGAGCGAACAGATAAGCAGTGGCAGAGTCTTTTAGAGCGCGCCCAGTTCAAGGTCGTTACGGTCTGGCGAGCGGATAACCAGGGCGTGGGGTCTAATGCTTTGTTTGAGGCTGTTCCTGTTTAGATAGATATTCTGAATAGTGTCTCTCTCCCAATCGCTGTCAGCATGCAATCAACAGGCGAAGTTAACGTGTTAAACGAGATAAACGCATGAATATGACCGCCCATGGGGCTCGGTACTCCCAATCTTCTACGTACATTCATCGCCATCCAACGGAATATACCCACGCAGGCTCCAATAACAGGGCGCAAGTAAGTAATATATAGTATTATTCTAGTTTCACTTATAAGATATTGACTAGATATCCTAGGGATCTAGTCAATATTTACCGAATAAAAGCATATATAAGCCCTTACCTTCGACCCAGAATACACTAATTTCGACCCGCTAAACAATACTAATCTTAAGATTAAATCGTCGTGCGATGTCCAGACGCCATGGCGCGAGGGCGTAGGTTATCGGAGTACCTAAAAGGAACTATAATCCTTTATTCGTGCCGGTACCTTAGGACCCATTCATTAACAAACAAGTAAGAGAGCTTAACCATTAAGCCTGCCCGGTATGAGGGTGCTGTTCATGACCAATCTCCGTGCGTGGAAATCGCCTCCTTGTTTGCCTTCATGTAGTTGACTTGCCAGCAAATACTCGATCTCTGCCGCTATATTTGGCAGCCATGTCGTGCCATGTTACCTCTCTCGGCTTTGGGTAGTGCGAGACTTGCATCTGGGTCAGCAGATGGTCATCCAACGGGTCACAAGCGCCTACTAGCTGCTCTCGTGATAGAGGTCATTAGGTATCCGAATTGAAGAACATTTGAGTCGTATCATCATGAAGACGTCGGCATCGCATTCCCGACAGTATTCGAAGGACTTCCGGATGAGACTGTTTCTTCGGCGAGCCTGTTGCTGGCGCATTGATTTGCGGCTGTTGGAGCGGCGTCTGCGAGTGATGTTCTGTTTTCCTGTCATGGTACATAGACCAGGATTTTTCGACTGGAATCTCCGGTCTCCAGGAGGGGGTGGGCTTAAATACCCCGGGTTGACGTCGACACTGGTCCATAATTTCTCAGAATCGAATTCGAAAGACGCTCACAATAAACCATTCCAGGTTTAAGGGGTGCTATCGGACACAACGAGGTACGTTGAGGTGCGATGGGCGTTGAGATTTGATGATAGCCCTCTTGGGAGTGTGGTGGAGTGTTCGTTTCGGTGGACATGTTGAGGAAAGAAATTGGTTCCTAATCGCGGTACTGTAAAACTTGTGGAATATCATGCGTGTAAAGAGTTCTTGCCCCTTCCAAACTCATGAGGATCTAGGGACCCAGCATCTGTCAGATTTTTAGGCAAAGTGGTTTAGGCATGGTTTGCCTTTCATCTCTCTTATTTCCAAGCCGGTCGGCCGAATCGTCGCACGGGGAGGGTGATAGATGGATTGTGACCAGTTCATGATTGCCCAATCATGCATGCTACTGGTGAGTCGTTCCTAGATGTTTTCCTCGGTTTTTCTCAGTTGCTATCTGGTGCGCCATCTTCAACCCTCTAATCTTCGGCTTCCGGCCCTCTCAGCTGGCGCCTTCGCGTACTTGCGGGCCTCATTCAGCTATAGCACAATAACGTCTTACTGCCACGCTTCCCGTGTGGCCTGGTCTTGACACGGGTTGACTATCGGCCCGAACCGAACCAGATTAGGGCACACCCAACGAACTTAAGCTTCAACTCTTCTGCCTTGAGTCATAATGTTTTCCTACGAGCTGTTACATCGAATGACTCGTCTTGTAGGCCTTCGGTACGATTATATGGAGCTTGGTTGCAGGTACATAATACATGCCACTGGACAACGATAGAATCACAAATACCAAGTTGGAAGAAGAAAGCTCCCGCAGAATTCTCATTGTTGTGAATCGAGCTCGATGAAGTAGACAATAGAGCTTCTTATACGGAATTTATTCCGTATTGAATCAGATTTATTTCCAATCAATCTGATATTCATCTTGTATTTAAGGCCTCATTTTTTCAGTTGTGAATAAAAAATAACCAATCTTCCTCTGAATTACAACAAGTTATGAGCCCGGGAGCAATCTCTCGAGTGATTTCTCTAGTCGCTCAGAGCCATTGAAAATATCCCAAGGCATCTACCTCATTAATAAAGCCCCACCATGGATTCCCCATACAGTTCATCCTCAATCTCATCCTCCGACAGGGTTCTCAATGTTCCCGGATATACTAGCGATGGAAAGCAAATACGTTATGCACGTAACGGGCGCACAGTGGTTCAAGACGGAAATAGAAATCTCAGTCTTTATACAGCTGCAGAGGCTGGAGGCAATAGAGTTCTTAATAATACGCTTAGTCTCGACTCCGTTTAGCTAATTAAAACGGACGGCTAGAAGGAACTAAAAGCCAATTTCCACGCCCTAGAAGATGTCTACATCGTATAGACTGTCCCTGCAGCCTGGGATCCGTACAATATAAGGCTACTAGAGATTATATACTGTATTATCTATTATTAAAAACAACAGTATTATAAAATATAGTGTTAGAAACATCTATAGCTTCGTTAGGGGCTTCGGTACGGATTTTATCTAAAAGTTATACGAAGCTATTGACTTTTAAGCAGTTTAGATCACCTTAAGCGGAGCCGGAATTAGCTTAAAACCGAAATCGAGGCCCGCGAGCTTCCTGGGTGCGCTTTAGATAGCACACTCCCGGCGACTGGCCGCGACCTGGCTGACTACTCCACTTCTTACGCCCAGGACAGGAAGAACCTACGGTCATTGGTTTTTTACCCCGCCTCCTGAAACGGCCGGATTGAACTAGATGCGCCTCTGGTTATTTATTAAGGCAACAAGGAAAGGCTGGGTTTTGGTTACTCTTATTTTCCTGGTATAACATGCGTAAAATCCACTACAAATAGCCCAATCCTATTTAAACAAAATGCCCCAAGAGAACGAACTGATGGAGCCTCTTTCAAGATAAATAAGATAGAACAAGCGTTCAAAAATTCGACTAATACAAGCATAGATTCTACTTTCCTTCAGCAATAACCGCCACGGTATCGGCATACACATTTCAGAGAAGGCCTCCCCCGCCTATGGCCGAGATATCCTCCAGGCGGCTAGGAATAAAATAAATGTACATAAGCTGTATATGTAATCTATGCCCACCCAATCGATTAAGTCGAGTAAGCGCCAGTAGAGAAACTTGGTTGCCTGGAATTTCCCCTGCCACACTTTCAATCCGTGTTTTAAGACATTATGGCGCCCTTGCTCGCTACCCTGATACCCCGCGACTCTCAATTCAATCAGGCTGTAACCTCGAACGAATTCAGGGATCAATGGGTCCAACCAGGCGATGTTTTTAGTGTCCTACTCATTCTAGACGGTAATGTCGTTGCTCGCGCGTTGGCGCAACTCGCAGGTGGTAGACTGACCCCTATCACATTCTCATTTGGTACTACGACTCTAGCTCTACTCCGAAGCTAACTTGTATGCTAACTCGATACACTCAACAGGATGGGTAGCTTATTCCGTCTCTGCGCTTGTCTCTGCCGTTGGCAAAAACAAGCTCATGCCACAGAGCCCAGATTGCAAATGCAAAATCATCAACGGCAAGAGTGGGTACATAAGAGAAAACTCGAGTTGGATTATTGGCAGGGTTGTGCGCAATTTTGATAAATGGAGTGACCCTGCAACTAAGAGGAAGACCAGAGGCCTTCTAGGCGAAAAGTGGACTGAGATTAAAGCCCGAGATCCAGATGGAGAGATGCCAACAAGGGCCGGCCTTGTCGTTACTATCTATAAGCCAAGTGTGAAAAGACCCGCTGGTGTAGCAAAGCGTAATATAATCTACTGGAGCGGTTTTTTTATCTTGTTAGTGCAGCTGGGGATCGCAGCTATACCCTGTAGGCTGTTTGGCGATTAGAGTATTTTGCTTATAACAGCATGCGGAAATGCGCTTACTATCACAACGGGCCTTCTTCCACAGTGGAAGAAAGAAAAGTAGGCATGTCGGACCAAGTCTAAGGATACCTATGTTCTTACGAAAGGCAACGGCGCCCAACATGCCATCGTCATTCTAGGTAATAAATATGGCTTGAACCTTAAGGATCTGGTATCAGGGTAAAGTAATGTTGATTTCTCTGCTGGTATTTGGACTCGAGCTGCTCTCCTTATACTCTCTACTCTCTAGGTACTTCTGCTTATCGCTGCTGCGGATCTTAAAAAGAACACGTAGTTCCTTCTCGCCATTGGTGGTATCGGTATTATTCAGAATATCTTCGTCGCTGATTGGAGCAAGAAACCGGAGAATTTTGGTATCCCTCTCGATTATGTTGATGTCTTCGGTCAGACGAAAGTGATGGATACACTGTTGGAAGTTGAAAGAAACTATAGGGGTGTAGGGAGGAGCATGCTAGAAGAGTTTTTCCCTGGAAAGCTTCGACCTGAGGAAGTTGAGAGATGGAAAGGTGACGGAGAAGCAAGCCCAAGCGATAGGCCTCAAGCTGTAGTAGAAGTGTCAACCGAAAAGCGTGGGAATGAATAATTATGACTGAGCCCGGGAAATACTTTTACTGCGGACACTACATCTGTTTGTGTAATCGATGTCTCGCGCAAATTTCACAATAGCCACGGCCATAGCTTCTAGGTTCACTATCTGGAAAGATCAAGCGTTCCTTCCTACAGTACATGCTCGCAAAGTATGCCCGACTTTTCCACAGTTAGAGTATTTTACTGCCCTCTTCAACTTCTTCTCCCCCTTGACCCTCTTATCGCGTGTCTCCATAAGTGGTTCTGAATTGGATTGTGGGATTAAAAGGATTCCGTCGGAAGGATCATTACCTACTGAGTGAGGGCCCTCATGGCCCAACCTCCTACTCATGTTGGACACGGACCGGTTTATTCAGAACTCAAAAATAAAAATAAAAATAAAAATAAATGACAGACAAAACCATTTAAAGATAGTTACTTCATCGCAGTATGCTGAGTAAGGTGGGCCTAGGCTGCGGTGTAACCGCAACCGCGGCTATAGGATTGATAACTATTACCGTATCTACGGTAATGGTTATAAGATTTAATGGCTAAATCAGTGACTATATTCTTGGCCTATATAAGCCGATAGATACTCTATCTTGGCTGATAAATAGATAAAATTTTGTTCAACAATTTGGGTTTACCAAATGGCTGCCACTTTCGGCCTCAGTCGACGCCTTTTTTGGCCGTCATTTGGTAACATGTGACCTCGATCTCCCTACACGTCCCCGTTCAGCTACTACCACGCACCAGGCAGACCCACTCATAAGCGCCGCAGCACGCCGCAGTAATTCAGTTGTCCCCCACAGGTCCCCTCACTCGTCTTCACGAGTTCACGTCCTGCGAAGGCGCCAAAAATGGCCTTACTGTATCCCATTAAACGGGCCAGGCCACAGGCCAAGTCGCGATGGCGGAACCCTGCCTACCAAGGGCCGTTTCCTCCATATTCTTCGTTCTTTCTTCCGTCTTTCCTGCTCCCTCGACCTTTGGTATATCTCCTTATAGACCAGTCGCTCGTTTATTATTGCCGGCTGCTTGACCGTATTATTATTTTTTAGCCTTAGTCCCTCCCGCATTCCTCCGCATTTCCACCGTCCCTAGGCTTCCCCTAATCCCAACAATGAAGTGCTCTCGGCCCCGGTGAAGTAGAAAGCTGGGAAGTATCTATAGCGAGGAAGATATAACTATAATCACTATTAGCGAGTCTGACGAGCTGGGCGATACTATATATAAGACAGATCTAACGGAGCTGGACGAAGCCCCAAGTATACAAAAACGATTCCGGTCGGATAAAAACTGCTCTACCTTGGAGGTAGGGCTCTCTAGCAAAGGAGAAAAAGGTAAGAAATACGCGAAAACGGTTATACCGGAGCTTGCGGTATCAGATCCAAGTGAATTTTAATAAAGAGTAAATATTTATAGACATTGAGGCGTAACTATCTAGTATAGTGGTTAAGAAAGAGAGTAAGGATAAACTATCTTTAGAGGATACTATATATCTCTTTTAGTTATATCTAATACAGAGTCTTCTTTCCTATCTAATCTCTAACTTATTAGAGAATGAGTGGAATTAGTGCGATATGGGTGCTGTAGCTGTCATGCAGTATTGTGATATACTTAAAGGAGGACCGTTAAGGGGCCGGCTTAAGCGGATTATATCTAAATCCGCTACGTCGACTAGTCCGATAAACCAGTCGTAAGATGCAGGGCAGACCCAAAATGTTATTAACTTATATAAAGTACCTATTTCTGTCGCTGGCAAGCCGTTGCATGCTATTAAGGAATATCTCGAGAATTCCGAGAAGCTAGAGGCTTGCTTTTAATACTTTATAAATAAGACGCTCCCTAACCATATTCGCTTCTAAATATATTATAACGCTGGGTGTGTTACGCGCTATTTTAACGTTATTCATCTTAAAGAAAAGCTACCTAAGTGTAACTAGCGTAAAGTAGCCTTGCTACATTAAATGGCGTTCTAGCGCTATACTTTTAATATGTATTATGTGCGTAGTCGCTGGTGATGTCCGAATCCAACGTAAGAACTTCCGAGATAAGGTTAAGCCGGTTTTGGTCCACTGAAAAGTAGTTAGGCATGGGCTTTTAAACTCTGCATAGTTATGGTTAAGCACTGTCTGACTCGTCAGAGAAGCGCATGCAGATCTGCGGCTAGTCTTACGATCACGGCTCGATGTTCTTTCTTAGTGTTCACCTAGCAGAGAATTCGAGATCTTTGGCGCCGCCACCGCTGCCATATATCTGAAAGACAATCTATTATATCAGCTATATGACATGTCTACCGCACGATTCGGATTCTGGGACCCTATATTTTGCACGGCTCAGATGGTTTACGAACAGACACCGAAAATGAAAACGATCCACTTAGCAGCACTTAACGGGCATATGCATATTGCACAGAGACTAATTGCTTAGATTAGAGAAAATATAGATAAGAGAGATAGTGGTAGATCAATTGCATTAGGGTAGGCCTCAGCCTTACTGAATGGATATTATGAGTGATCCACTTGCCGCGAGTCTCTGGACCCTTGAATCAACACCTAGTGCCTGGAAATCGTCGAAAGTGATCTTTATTCAGCAATGTATAGAACCTCTTCAAAGGTATGTATCTTTTATCAAAATACACCCAAGACCGTTATCTAGGGTTTCTAGCGAAATCTCTGGCGCTCCCCGATTCAGTTAGATTACAAACTTACTTGCCAAAAAGTCTGCAGGGGGGGTAAGACCGATGACTCGTTCAGGACGGTCTACCTTTTCTGACTCTATAATATATGGATAGTTTTCCTCTTTATATGCTGAGATACTGTACAATTCTGTTATTTCAATGCCTTGGGCCCCGAAAATGAGTATCTCTGAGAGAAGCTTGTTGGTTTTTGGATGCTTCCCAAGTAATATATACGTTTGCATTCGCTTTTCAAAGAAGGGGACCGTTTCAACACTAAAATTCAAGGTACGAGCCGTAAACAAGTAGAGAAGAGCTTTTCGCAGATCTAAAATATCTTTGGATCTGATGAGCGCGTAAATTTTATCTCAGGTCTCTCTAAAGGAAATCGCTTTTTTTTCAGATCCACTATTTACAATACGGTAAAGTCTTTTCAATGTATATTAAACAATATAGGCCGTCCGATACACTCGATTGAATAAAATGCTGCCTTCTGCAATATCATCCAGTTCAAGGGACTGAAATGTCCCAATCTGATGAGGTCCCTCAACAATCTCCTGAAAATGAGAGGGCTTGGTAAACAACGCGGTAGCAGTGACGGCTTTAAGGATAAGATCTATACTGTTTCCTGGATATATCTGCCGAATCTGCCAGTAGGGTTCAAACCCATCATCTAGATTGTCGACTTGCACTGGACCGTAATCGAATTGGTCGGAACAAAATAGATTTGTAAATTTGCCGAATGTCCTAGGGGTTGGTATATTACTGGTAGCTTCAAAACTCGACGGTACTTTAACATTAAAGCCGCCCTGCATATCCCGCGTAATCTTTGGCCGCAATAACTTTTGTAATTTCTTGTCTATTTTATGCTTCCTCTCTCTTATCTGATGAGCACAATCTTCGAAAACATTTTGAAATTCCATTCTGGCTAATTCAACTCTTTGAGGAGTCTTGTACCACGTGAATCGTAGAAATATCGCAAGAACAAAATCCCTGGCTTTCTCAGTTTTGCGTTAAGATCCTTATGAGGCACTTAATACCAAGAAAAGGTCCGATTTAGTAATTTGAGAGAGCTCCGTTCTTGAAACACGCTCGTTAAAAAGAAGAGAGCGGATGAATATTGATCGTATAGCTCTCTTTCGGTCTTTTAATGGGTTCTGCTCTGCCCCGTAATGAAGTTCAAGATCTATAAGAGCTGGGTCCTCGTCATCGAGGCCGGCCCAAGACGAAACGAAATCGATAAGTACATTCGTTTCCTTCTGTACCTTAAGTAAGGATCCCACTTCGAAGTAATTCTCTTGTTCAGCTAGCTCGTTTGCTTCGCATGTGACAAAATGAATTGTTCGGGATAGGTATAGCTCTTGAAATGGCTATAGGCGATGCAGCCAGTACTCGCGTAAACTGGACTGGTAAAAGTCTAGGACGTGATTTGCCAATACCTCAATCTTCACTTGAGGGTTATTTCCTTGGATAGGGTACGCGCAGAAAAAAAGCTTACGGCAGCAGTCTCTAAATCCTTGGCCTTCCCTGATAATGAGTGTAACATCGGCATTACTATATATCTCAGGTATATTTGTAATAACTGCCCTTCTGGGCTCTTCATCTGTCTGGTCAATAGAGAGAATGTCCATCCAGAATGACATGTCCCCCACAATTTGTGGAAGTCTATCTGCGATGAATCTCGCCTTTTGTGGAGATGCCAGAACCTTTTCGGAAATGCCAGGAATATCGGACCAATCTGCTTGACACCACATATGAGATATAGCACAATATTTTGTTTCAGCCAAATTATAGTCTTTTGGTTCAAGAATGAGCTCCCTATCAGCATCGAAGTGACACAGAGTGAGAACGGTCATAGTAAAAAAAAGAATGCTAAGTAATGGGAACAGCCGTGGCTGTAACTACAAAAAAGAGATTTCAATGTGAAAATTACGGCAAATAGTGCAAAATATAATGTATCAAAATGTATCAAAGTTATTAGTGTCTGTCTTATAGTCTTTTCAATTAAAGAGAAAGAGAGAGAAAATAAGAAAAAACTGAATAACTGATTGACAGATAACCCAGCCTTATTTAATTTTCTAGTTGTGACCTACTCCGGAGTATTATGCGTACTGGGCAGAAACAAACATGCGTTGGTGACGTAGACCAATAGTGTTAGCTGCGGGGCAGCCTAGTGAGGATAGCAGATTGAGATCGTCTACATGAGGATTCTAGTGGCAAGGTATCGAGACAAGAATATAGTCTGATAATGTTCAGAGCCAATTGGTATTTCTCGGACTTTTTCCAATAAGACCGGACGGGTAAGCATCATACCAGGTCACATTTCAAAATACATTTGCTTAGGGGTGGGTGAACGAACTGGCCAGGAAATTTTCTAGTGTAAGATGTGGAGTGTGAAACTGTGATCAGGCCGTACTTATTGGCTACGGCCTGCGTTGAAGGTCGATAATTGTGTCGATTCCTATATATGCAAAGCAATCCCTGTATAGTCGACGTTTCAATTTCTTATGTCGCTAATATTTCCAATTTGAACAAAAGACGGGCTTTTCTACAGTTCTTTCAGTAGCCTTTGGAAGTCGGCATCTTGGAGATTCATGAAGATATTCATTCCCCATAGCGTTCGGGAACAGCGTATACAGAAGAGCGGCAGCGCCTTCTTAAATAGAATAAATCTACCGACAGTCTCACGCCTGGCTCGACGCTTCCACAAATAAATATTATTGTTCTTCTATCACAGTCATCCCAATCCATGGACATTTCCTCCTGGACGCCTAGTAAACAAATTCACCTCGCATCCCACGGCCATAACTTATCCGCCTTCTCAACCGTTATATTCTCATCCCCCCTCTCCTCCGCCTCCCTAGCCGTCTCCATCCACTGCTCATACGCAGCCCGATGGGCCTCCCGCGCAGCCTCCCATGCCTCATTCGGAACCCACCCATCAGAATTCGTATCCAAGGACTTCATAAGCCAGACCTTCAACCTCTGCACCGTCTCGAAGTCCTCATAGTCCCTGGAATGCCGAGCCAGCTCTTCCTCCGTCGGTACATACGGACACGAGCCCTGTAATCCGAGCTCTTGCCATTGACCGGAAAGCTCAATCAACTCCTGCCGAACAGCCGCAGCACTATCTCTCCATGAGGTGTGTGCGTAATGGAAAAGTCGGAATAAGGTCGGGTCTTGGAGTCTGGCGGGTCGGAGCTTTGGGACGAGGCCTTTCATACATACGTCGTATGTTTGGTGGCAGATTGAGGCGTCTTTGCGTTCTTTCGCTCGCTGTGCTTCGGATTTCTCATCTTCTAGTGTGTCCTCGTCTTCTGAGTTAGGGGGAGCTGCAAAGTCTGGCGTCTCGTTTTCGTATATGAATGCCGGCTCGATGCTTGCCGTTTGCCAGTCTATGAGACCGGTGATGACCGTTGGGTCGTCTGCCGAGACGTAGATGTTCCTCTTGTGAAAGTCGGGGTGCAGGAGAGTAGGGCTAGCTGCGTCTTGGATACGTTTGTCATCTAGTAACCTTTCGAGAACATCATTGCTCGTTTGAAGTAATTGTTGATGTTCATGAACCTGTCCTTGGTAGGAGAGAACACCTTCGTTAACGGACTTCTCTCGTGGGATCCGAGCACGTCCAGTGTCTATTAAGCCAGAGCTAAAATTTCTGAGGTCGTTCCCTTAATTCCAATGCTTTCCGTTAGTCAGTCATCCTCGAAGCACAGAGAGCACTGTATTTAAATGAAAAGAATACAAGGAAAAAAGAAGGTAAAAGATAGGAAAGTGGTACATGGGACACGTTAGGGGCGTAGGAAAAAAATTCACACTTACATGGACCGCAATTTGGACTGGAGCCGCCATACAGCTCAAGTTCACCAGGGTTGCAATTCCAGTAAACAGGGCCGCAATGAGGCCCGACACAGTACCCTTCTTCAAAAGGGACTTTTTTTTCCGATGGCAGCGGCGCATCCGAGAAGTATAGACTGCCATATGCTGGAAAGTCCAGAGCTGCCATCTTTCTAATCGCTAGCGAAAGCGCCTTGGTGCACAACATATGCTGTTCCGAGTTCATTGTAGCCCATCTCTGGTGCAATTGCTCCCCCGCAACATGTTCTTGCACGATGTACTCGTTGCCGACTGGGTTTGAGGAACTGTCGTTCCACTCGAGGACGTTCGGAATCGCAAGGTTGAGTTTAGACCGCACTAGGGGCAAGGTAGTTAGTCATGTGCCATATAATATATTCAAAGCCAGTTCAGAATCGTACGATATGTCATTGTCGCCACCTCAGAATTGGTTACCAGCCCAGGTGGCCCAGCAATGGGAGTGGGCAACCTTGCGACGATACGAATTCCAGTGTCCATTCTGAATATGAACACTCTGTTGAATCCACCCTCCTTCTTTTCACACTCGATGATTTTTGTGGCTCCTGGGCATAGGCTAATAGCTCTTTCACACAAGGCCGAGAAATCAAACCGAATGTAGCGGGAATTGCGCTCGAGCTCGTCGCGATTGAGCCATCTTCCACTGGTGTATCTGTAAGGATCCGGCCCTGGAAAGACAGAGTCAGCAACATATACGCCATTCAACTAGCAATATGAAGACAGAAGACGCCCACACTTAGCTGACTCGGGCGCTTTCGAGCCCGTCCCGGCGGCAGACCCGCCGACAGGAGATCTCGTAATTGCGCTAGGCTTGCTGCCCATGTCGGATAGCTGTCTTTGCTGGGACCTGGGTACGACGAATCGTTGTAGGATGGATGACCGAGTTCCGATGCATGTCAAGATTCTAGGATTCATCACAGCCGGACATATATTACTTAAATATCAGGGCATGATTGGAGGTGAACGCAGAGCAACGTCGGAGGAACGACGAGCGGAAGCTTCCCCCTTGCAGTCGGGTGTGGGGTGGGCGCGTCTTGGTTACCGCCTTCCACTTTTCACTTAGATGTGGATTCTTGCCGCCCACTTAACGGGAGTATCCCTTCATACTTCTTGGCATCACAACATAAGACATCAATCAAAGCACCAGAGCCAATCCTCCGTATGGATCCTGTTTGTTTGTGATTTAAATAGATTTGAAGGCGCATCATGAAAATACAGTCATTGCGGCAGATTCTATTGATTGGGCCTGAGCGGTTCTGGTCGTCGCATACTTACGCAGGACAACGAACTTGATCTTATAATAGCCGCCGTACACTGAATGCTACGGTGGTCAGGCCCCCTCTTGATATGGAGGGGTCGTCAATAAATACCGGTCGCGGTTCATTCACCTGTGAGTCTGAATCAAAACCTAGTCCACTTCCCAACCTCGAACTCCAATATATATATATGAATTCCTTGACAACTTCGTTTCAACACTGCCAAAGCCTCGAAAAGAATTCATTCTACTACATCTCCCCTTGCCGCAAAGGTACGGCAAACTCCTATCAATATTCTCCTTGATCTGACTTTGGACAGTTCCCACCTGAAGAATGGCTTCTCAGCTCAAAGAATTCTTCTTGAAAGTCAAGAGGAACTATGACGTCGCCAAAAAATTCAAGGCCACGTTCACTGCCGGCAGTCGCATCCTTCCGTCACAGACCACCAAGAATGACGCCGAGTACCAGTTGCGCATCGACGCTGGCGAACTGGTCGAAAACCGATACCGCAATATCGTCTTGCAAGTCAACTCCCAGGCCAAAAGTACGGGCTTGCGCTCGTGGCTGAAGAAACAACCCCGGGGAACTCATGCAAAGCTGGCGACCGCTCAATTCGACACGCTCGCCGAAGACCTCGACGCTGAAACCGAGAGGGTTGTTGATGAGTTGCACGCACAGGCAAAGGAGAATTTGTAAACCTGGATTGCTTGAATCTACGCGGTTGACTGAATACCAATTTCTCGACGTATGGCGGCAATAGGAGAATACGCAGAATGGAAAGGATTGACAGGACCACTTTTTGACACTTTGCCATGTATCCCAACAGACCCTTGAACAGCAGGGAGTAAATGGATGTAACCAAATGGCTGATCCTGGATTTGGAGTCCAATAGGTGCATACCAAGAAGACATATATTCGAAGTAGAAGAATGGTATTATTATGCCAATCATCAAGATTACGAGTCTTCTATTTGACACTGGTCTCCTACCCCTGCCATCCCTTCACGCGGCTTATCGCGGGTGCCCGCTAATATTTTCGATCTTATTTATGCACACCCGAGTGCACTATAACCATTCAAGCTCACCAGCTACGAACAGCTGGTTTTCCATTAATGACGTTGTCGCTATCTATAATAGATGGCGCGGATCCCGAATTAGACTAAAACCCAAGGGTGAGTGGTTCATCACAAAGCACTGGCAAACCTTCTGCTTATGGGACACAATTGGTACCAACGAGCCACCCACGATACTCTTTTCGGGCCCGACGTGCTCCGCAATCTTAGCTGTTTAACTTGGAAGGAGCCACTTTCGAACATAGGTCCGACGTCTTTGTGGCCCTTCTAATCGACAAAATTTGCTACAATAACTATATGTAATGTTATTGCTATTGTGTCAGACTAGACGAGGTCGCTTTTGCTTACGTGTATCTGCTCCGCACGAGATCTTCCTATATAGCTTCATCCGCTTATTTATCAGTGGACGGTCCAACACCGAACAATGGAAGTCAATGATCAGAGCTCGGTGTAGTTCATCGTTCTATAGAAAATTCTCCAGCCGAAGGCCCTGATGTGATACACCCAAGGAGCGAATCTCCTTTATAGATTTCGAGATGGAGCTAGAGACGTCAGGGCTTGTTGCTTCAATTTTACTGACCGGCTTTCCTGCGCACGCCATAAGGAGCATGTGTCGAATCTCTCCGGCTCCATGCAAGAAAAAAAAATTTAGCCAAATCATTCTCTACGAGAAACACTGGAACCACAAAGCCCTGCACCGAGGCGCGGACATATTGGTACCGCTCAACCTACGTCTCCTGTCAGCAGCAAGGAGGTCAAGTTGTAGAGATATGCGAAATGCCGATTGGCCCGGTCTTTCCGAGCTGTTCACAATGTGAGAAAGATGCCGGATCGGCCTAATCAATTAAAGAAGAAGAACGGATTAAAGAGAGCAGGAACAGAGACCTCCACCTATCAAGCTGACCTAGCCGAAACACCGCTGCAAATGTTGAATTGTCCCAATCTCTCCATCTCCATTTACAATGGACCAGCTCATTTCTTATGGACCCGAAACTAACAAAAGTAGAGACTGGAATATGAGAGAATACTGAAGAATTTGGATCGTAAGGACACAACTACCGTACACTCACCCTCAATCACAAAGTCGCACTAAAGAAAGTAAGAACAGCAATCAAAACCGCCACTATTCCTGAAGTGTAGCTTCCAGCGGTCAACCCTGTGTTCAAGCTTCTTCCAATAGCAGCTGCAAAAACAGTAACAAGAATGCTAATCATGCCAGCGAAACCAATAAGAATGAGAAGCTTCTTCTTATGCCAGCCATCAACAAGCAATAGTGCCGGAGTGCTTTCACCGTATCTGTCAGCCGCATCTAGAAAATGTGTCGTCTTCAAGTCACTAATGCCCGTGAGTGTGGGCCTTTGGCTGCATGATTCATAATAATTACCTGTATTTAGTAACCAGCCCTGAATCTTTGAGAAACCTAAGAGAATCGGTTTTCCCTCTTGAATTCCAATAAAAATCCAGCATCGCCTCTCTGCACACGAGCGCCCGTTTGTATAATCGAACTTCGTGGTAACGTTCCTGCGAGCAATGGAATGTGGGAAAATCATCAGGGCCATACATTTTTATGTTTGGACACAATGAGCCAAAAGTGCAAGCTTGCAACTTGCCGTTTTCGTAAAATCCAGCATCGCATTCACCATCTGGACAGTGTTCTTCAAGATATCTGTCCACCTCCGCTACCTTTGAGGCGACATTAACTGGTAAGACCATAACCTCAATTTCCTTGTTACTTTTGAGGCCCAGAAAGTGCATCTATGGTACACGTCAGTCTAGAATTCTCCAACGGCAATAACACAACGGACATTGACTATATGTAGCCTGGTTGGAGATCGGAGCGAAATGCGTTTCCACCATCCACACCTATATCTCAGGCTGTAGACTTCAATATCTCCAGCTTCCAGTGATATTGCTATGTCTCGAGCAATATACTTCCCTCCCTTGTTATAGCACAACCAAATACACTCACTATACCCATTGTGGATTGCATCGTCACACACGCTTTCTATTATTGAAGGCTTAGCATTACTAGCCGCCTTTAAAAGGACATGATCATCGCCAAGCTCTTCAACTCCTACAGAACCTGATCTTTTATTAGCCTTGTCTATTAAGGAGTTGTGGAGTGGCTTACTGCTGGTGGCAGCCATTTCCAAACAAGAATCAGAGACTGTATGGATGTAATCAAGACCGCAACACACGGTAAAACAAAGTCCAAGCAGGATGCTAGTCTTTGTCGTGATATTTATGTCTAAGTCAGTCAGATTTGTCTTGTTCAGCTGATCGTCAAGGCCAGAGATTCTGAAGCCTGATAAAACCGGACTATAATACCCTGTTTGGATGACTGCCAGTGAACGGATACATGTCTTGATGACTCAAGAACACAAGGCTGTCTGCCACAAACTTTAGGTGTAAATCTGCTGAATGCGCAGGAGAACAGAATGACATAACCCGATATCGAGGATTTTTGTAATTTATGAGGCTGAATCGTGTGATGGTTCGTCTGCCGCATCACAGCACTGCCACAGTGCGAGGTTATTCCTAACAAATCATTGTCAAGATACTTCCTTTTCAGGCGCCAATGGCCGCCCCATATTATCTAATCTCAACCTAGACGACACTAGCCAGCTCATATATGCAGCTTACCCCTCAATGCCCTGCGTGTTAGGGTGAGTCTAGTCCTGTTTGTTGGCTTAGTCAGACCGGCTGAGGGCAAAGCGAAACCTTAACGCCGCAGTTGGTCCTGCCAGGTCTCATTGACTCGTTAGAGAGACAGTGGGCCACCACTGCGGTACATCCCACAGCAGCTTCTATTTTGGTGGTCTTTGCTTTGATATCTGACGCTGCTGAACTTCTAGACACGGTCGGTATTCCGCTTATTCCGTCGCTTTTTCAGGAAGAGAACTTTAAAATGGGGCAAAATGGTACCGGGATGCGTTCATTTTGTTTCCAAAGAGTGGAATAATATTTAAGTTCCGTCGAGTAGGAGATAGGGCAGAAGGGAGATGGTGATTTGACTCTGTAATCACAAGGAAGGGGCTTTGCGCACTGTGATGAGATATAATTAGCTCGGAGGTCGGGAACAACGTTAATCCGTCCGAGGCCCATATATTGCGGGGACCACGATCCTCTTCAACACCTAAGCACTCAAGTATCTCTGTACTCTAGGCTACGTTTTTAGATAGAGTATTATCACTTCATTCATTTGCATTCTCCTTATGACTTAGGCCTCGTACAGCTCGGACCGATCGAACTCCTCCAATCCCCTGAGCAAACCCACTTCAAGTGTCAGGGTTCGACGACGAGTAAAGATGGACAAGTTCAAAAGCAACAACAAAAAAGCGAGGAAGGCTCTCCGCCTATTTATTAACATCTTCTGAATCAGCTCAAAAGCCCCCTGCTGACCCCATTAAAACCTTTCTGGTTCTGATTGTTGGCGACCACTGGCGACCACTGACGACCATTGACGATCACCGGCGACGTTGGCGACTACCGGCTACCGTATATAAACAGAACACCCCTATCATTGGCACCCGATCTAAAAATCGTTTCAGAAAAATATTTGAGTTAAGGGCTCTTCGACAATTAACTGTACGGACTCAGGTGGCTTAAGTACGGCTGAGCGGACGGGAAGCCCTGTTCTCCACACCCTGTGGTCGTATGTACTTAACACGGAGAAGTTGTGGGCTATATAGATATGGAATTATTTATGCATCCGTCTTGATAGCCTCGCTCCTCCCCACGATTAGACTCGCCAGATCTTCTAAACTTGGACTACTCGAGATGTCCAGTGCCGACACATTCGACTGGATCGCTCTCAAGATCCACTGTCTCAATTCCACCGCTAGTAATGAATCAACCCCCTGCAGAGCCAACGAACGCTGTGTATCAATCTCTCCGGCGGGAATATCCAACGCGCGGCCGAGTTTCTGAGTAAGTCCGTCAATAACCACTGACGGAGCATCGCTGGGATCCGTCTTCATAAAGACGGCATGCCAATGTCCTGCACTTGTTGTAACTCCGACTGTAGGATCCACGGTGAGGGCTGCGTCAAACTGATCCGTAGGGTCTTGTGGTAGCGCACGGAAGAGAGCGCGCTCGGTCATCCAAACGGGGACGTCGACATGTCGTGCGCGCAGCTGAGCAGGTGACACGAGTCCCACGAGGACCTGTTCGCTTTCTGCTAACTTGTCAGTCTGTATCACGTTTGGAGGCTGGCAACACTGTTCCAGAATAGAGTGGAATTCTTTCTCCGAAATATCCTCCATCACTGGGACGTTCTCCTGGTGGCGAGAGTATTGCGCGTTTTCGGCGACCACGCCGACCTCGCCCATACGACCTAAGTCGACGGCGGCGGCACGCTGACCGATTGACCGACGGTAGCTAGCGAATGCATCTTGGAAAGTGTTTCCGGCTGCGTAGTTTGCCTGGGAAACAGTGCCCACGACGCCGGCGAGCGAGGATAACATGATGAAGAAGTCGAGGCCGGATGGAAGGACAGCGTGAAGGTTCTCGGTGCTTTGGATCTTCGAACGGATGGTCGTTTCCCATTGCTTGAAGGCGAGCATTTCAAAGATAGCATCCTGCGAGAAGCTATTAGCGGTCGTTCTATCAAGGGACCGGTTGTGGCCGGTGATGGATGTGACGATGGGTGTATTACCTGCAAAACCATCGTTGCCTGCAAGCAATCCCTTATCGGAGGCATATCCCGGCATTGATCGAGCGCGGCTGACAAGGCACCTGCGTCAGCTACATCGCACTTCGGCGCTCGTACTGAAACGCCCTGCGAGGCTAGCTTCCCTATCAGCCGCAGAGCGGCATCGGTACGAGGTCCAGATCTGGACAGCAGAATCAAGTTCTTAGCTCCCACTGATGCCATCCATTGTGCTGCGCTCCGTCCAAGACCACCTAATCCACCGGCAATTATGTATGTTGCGTCTGATGGGAAGGTGTATGACGGAACATGAGGAAGAGATACCTGCATGTGTTAGTAACTCTAGCTCTGTGGAGGGAACAAAGGATCGACCTACCGGCACAATGTGATGGGGCTCCATGTCAATAACCAATTTTCCTGTGTGCTTGCCACTTTGCATGACTCGTAGTGCCTCCTCCAGCGATGACAGAGGAAACTGCTGCAGCGGCCATGGCGCATGCAATGTCCCAGCTTGTAGCATATCCATGACCGGAGGTAGGGACTTCTGAATCAGGGCTGGTCGGTCGCGACACATGTGGTCGACTGCGACCAAGAAGAAGGAGACATTCTTAGCGAAATTAACCATGGGAAGTTTCGAGTTCCCATCAACATCCGCCTTTCCGAGTTCCACGAAACGGCCGTACGGCGCGATGCATTTCCAAGACGCAATGAGACCGTCCCCGGACAGTGAGTTCAGTATAACGTCAACACCTCTGTTATTGGTCATACGTTGAATGTGTCGAGAAAATGTGGAGTCACGACTGTATAGCACATGATCCTCGGGGATATTGCATGAACACAATGTATGTTGACATCTTCAGTTTTCATACCCATGCTAGAAGAATCGAGTCTGAACCTTGTCAGCATACATCTAGAGTATGGTAAGTTGTCTACCCACAATCTGACAACTTGACCTTCCGGATCACGAATATTTTCGTGTACATGTGCACGAAGAATATAATCGACGCAACAATCCAGAAGAGCAAAAGTACGGAACGACCAGCGGTCAACAAGTTGGGTGGGTCTTTCAGGTTCGACTGTTGGCCAGGTTGGGGAGAGCCAGACGGCATCTCGAGAAGTTGTTCCGGAGACATGTTGGATGCCATGCCTGCAAGTGATCAGGACATTAAGAAAAAAATCATGGGTACGGATTCATGCGGACGATATAATGATGCGAAGTTGACCCTCGCTGAAGATATGAACGGCTTCGCCCCCCAATCCGGGGGCCAGAAATGTATAGCAGGTTGATCGCGCGGGCTACATGCACCTCAGATATTAATTAATCCAGTAAATCTTGGAATTGCCTGATTCAGCAGGACTTCCCCGGTTTAACCCTTGTAGTAAAGATCGACGCCATCCGTCTTGAATCCCTAGATTCTCATGCAAGCCAGGTCACGGTGGAGCAGCTACCAAAATCTGACCACGGGGGCTAACCTAGCGCGAAGTCGCTCTTTGTTGCTCCTTCAGGATCATCTAACCGAGAAAGATAGATATCGAGGTCGTATCCATCGCAATATTTGAGACGTTGTGTTGAATTCAACCCACTCCAAAATAAGCAAAATACGACCCCTCGCTAGCAGACAAGATGGGCGACGGCGAAGGCAATACCAATGTCGAGCACACGGCCAAGTCTGAGCCTGCTGAGGTGGCAGTCGACGTTGAATCGTCCCAAACTGATTCAGATCCTCCAGCTCAGTACCTCACGAGCCTTCGACTGCATCTCGTTACAGCGGCGTGAGCTTGCCCTCCTCGTGTTTTCTTGTGATTCCTGCTAACTGGCCGGGCTGTGCATGTGTCTTTTCCTCACGAATCTCGAGATTCCCATAGTGGTAACTTCAATCGTCAGCATCACGAGCGATATTGGGGGACAAGACAAAGTGTACTGGATCATAGCCTCCTATATGATCGGCTACGTTGGTAAGTCATCTCGGTTATTCCTGACACAGAAAATGCACCGGAGAACTGACGCAAGGGGGGGAAAGGGGTGTTGGTGATTTCTGCAAAATTCAGCGATATCTTTGGTCGCAAATCATGTCTCTTGGCTGCAGTGTTGATCTTCATCGTGTTCTCGGGGGCGTGCGGCGGCTCCCAGACCATCGAACAATTGTACGTCAACTTTACACCTCCCCACCAGGAGGGGCTGTTGAACAGGGTATTCAGGCTGACATGCATCAGGATCGTCTTTCGGGCATTCCAAGGTGTGGGAGGGGCCGGCAATTATTCCCTCTGCGCGGCTGTCGTTCTCGAACTCGTGCCTCCAGAGAAATACGCCTCGTATACCAGCGGCATGTCAGTGGTCTGTGCCATCTCGCTACTGCTAGGACCCATCTTCGGAGGTGCTATCTCGGAATCTGCCTGGCGATGGGTCTTTCTCCTAAAGTGAGTTCGATCTTCTCCATATTGCCTTTGCTTTCTCTTAGCTAAACGCATTGCCAAGTGTTCCTCCCGCCGCTCTGGCCGGTCTTGTGCTGATATTCACCTTGCCCAACCGCTTCCCTCGACACAACCAACCAAAGAATGCGACTCATTTCTCGATCCGCCAATCATTAACCGATACGTTCCGGAAGGTCGACCTTCTGGGGTCCTGCTTACTGCTGATCGCGACCGTATGTCTGGTCGCGCCCTTAGAAGAAGCCAACCGTGAGTTCGCCTGGCGGTCAGCTTTCACTATCGTTATGTTGGTGATCTCCGGTCTAGCATGGATCATCTTTCTCCTGTGGGAGCGACGGGTGACCCAATCATCGGGCCCTACGGAGCCCGTGTTCCCCTGGCGGTTTGTGCAGAATCGCGTGTGGATGGGAATGCTACTGTATGATCGATCTCCACCCCCATTCCCTCCATGAATGCTGACAAGCAGCAGGAACTCCATCTGTCTCGGAGGAACCTGGTTCGTAGCCATTTTCCAACTGCCGCAAAGGTTTCAATTCGTCAACGGCCTGTCACCCCTGCAGGCGGGCATTCGATTTATTCCCTTCACCGTGGCTGCTCCGGTGGGGTCTGTGCTAGCGCCTGTTGTGGCAAAGATCTTCAAGATCCCACTGGTGTATCTGGTGCTCGTGGCCTCGCTGATTCAGATGGTAGCTTATGCGTTGTTGGGGACTCTCTCCGAGTCCGTACATATGGCCGCTGCGCAATACGGATATCAGGTCCTCGCTGGGTTTGGGTGCGGCATTAACATCACACTGTTGATTTTGATGACACCATTTACCGTCGAGGAGCGAGATAAGGGTAAGTCTTCTCCGTTCACCACAGAGCTGAGATGCTGACATGCTTACCAGCCGTGGCAATGGGTGCTGTTGCCCAATTTCGCGTCATGGGGGGCGCTATCTGTCTTGCTATTGTCACTGCCGCGTCGCAGGGGTATCTACAGTCTCATCTTTCGAATTTACTAGACCCCCAGCAGGTACATGACATACTGAACTCGACAGATGCACTGGGTGAATTCTCAGCAGTCACACAGGAGGCAATCCGCAAGACCTATTCAGGGAGGTACAATCTCCAGATGAAAATTTTAATCGAGCTTGCTGGTGGCCAGGTTTTGTCCACGACGTTGATGTGGAAGAAAAAGCAGCTTACGGTATGAATTGCTCGACGACTTGTGTTTAGATCGTTAGTGGTTTCGGGGATAGTTGAGATGTGCTATCCACAATTTATTTTTTCAGCATCTTTTGTTAGTGACGTGAATGGACCTGCTATCTATCAGAAATAACTAGGGCTCGGCACGAATAACGAATATATTCGTATTCGTTACGAATATTCGCAATTTTGGTCACGTGTTAAGGACGAGATTTCACTCTATGTTTTGTGCATCGCGAACAATAATCCGTAGAGGCGTATATTATTAGACCCCGTTAAATCAGAGCTGCAGCTTCTTGGGAAATACGAGCAAAACGCTCTAGGAATTTTCATTTACTATTCTCTAAACTATATATATCCCTTAACAGTATCACTTTCCGTATCGTCTTACCTTTCATAGAATGCCGACGTACCCCTAACAGATCCCTACTACGGCTAAACAATCGTTCTACTGCGACTTCAGCTGCTAGGATAGCAAGATAATCCCTGGCTGCGGCTGCCATCCGCGGGTACTCATCCTTGTGCGTCCCCTACCAGGCAAATAACCAATTTTTATCTTTTGTTATAGATTTATCAACCGTTACTACACTTTCCTCGAAGTAGCGGTCAATATCTGAACGTTAAATCACTTGTGATTGCAGTTTTTGCAGAATACGAGCCTCTAGGATTTGCCGCTTGTTGTCCTGATTAAGTTTAGATCTTGATTGCTCCAGTGACAGTTTTGATAGGAATTGCTCATGCAAAGTATCCTTAATGGATTGAATCACTTTTGGTGCTGTCACTGGCCTAAGCTCCTTATCCAACAAGAGGGTTTTGAAACGTGGATCAAGGACAAGAGCTATATTATAAGCATCTTGGGCGTCCATCAGTTTATAATATTTCTTGTATTTTTTCATTCCCGCGGAGATAGCAGACGTAATTTTAGAACTAAACCCCAAAAAGTTACCTTGTGCAGAAGCAGCATCTTCGAGCATATCGTTCAGTTCGTAATAGATAGAAATAGCTAGGCTGATCTTAAATTGTCGCCAGGAAACCAGTTGAGTGAACTTATCGAACTTAGAGAGGATCATTTTGAGCTGTTTGTAACTGTAACCAGTCGTCAGCCGAAAAGGGCGGAAACTGGTTCTGATACTCTATCTACTTCCGGATCTGTATTTTGGCTTGCAAGGCTCCCTGGACTATACGGTATGTAGAGTTCCAGCGGGTTTCTATATCGTACTCGATAAACTTATCATTCAAATCATTTGCTTGGTAAGTCACTTTCTATTGCTATCGTTGTTGAGGTATTCTCAAGATCTAGAAAGTTATAATTTGAATCCGGGCTAACGCGGATTGCTGTCCGATTTTCTTATTTCCCTGCAAGAGATTATAGGTTTCAATAGTATATTTGTGATCTCTACAATTTATCCCTGAAAGGATGTCGCGAACAATAAGGTTAAAGACATGTGTAAAGTACCGAATATAGCTGTCAATACCTTAGAATCAGAGACGTCCTTTATCAGATACTGTAGCTTCTCTTCAATATAAAGCTCGATAAGCATCTTCTGCAGAGTTTCTGCCATATTTTCCTCACTATGGGATTCAGCAAGCTCGCTGAACTCTAGCACTCGCTCTTGATATTTAAAGTCGGTAGACACCCAGTGACTGATAACTCCCAAAATAGCTTTGTGGTTCTTGCTTGTCCAGATATCTAATGAAAGCGCAATTGTAGAATATGTCTGTGCTAGTTCGTCAATTAACTGCATCCGATAACGATAAAAATCTGCGTCGATACGTCGGACAACCGTTCGAGAAGAGAATGGAAAGGGAGCATCTGGTAAGTCCTTAAATATCTGTTAAAACGCAGGAGACTAAATTGCTGTAAATGCTATATTATCTGTTACAACCTATCGAAGTATATTCTGTTTTAATAGAGCTCTAGTATCACGCTCGGCTCGAGACTGAAATATTGATACAATTAAAAGCTGTTTCGTCTCACTGGAACCCTCAATGGCTCCTCTGGATCGTACTTCTCAAAAATGTTGTGTTTGGCTAGGTAAGTCTTCATGTTGCTTGTCGACATTGCCCTCGCCGAATCTGTAGTTTTCCAACTACAATGAATACATTAAATCTCTCGATCCTTAAGCAGTTACTAGCTTCGTTTAGATCGCTATAGCTTGCCTGGAAGAGGACTGACTCGAAATTGATTCCAAAGCCATTGATTCAGTGGCTTGATGCGAGATTTGCTGTGTGATTTGTATGGCCGTATCGCGTCTGTAAGGCTTCTAGAGCCCCCTAGTAGAACAGATTCTGAAGGAGTAGGTAGATTGAGATGCAGCTGACTGACAGAATCTTCTAGATCAATTGATTCTAAACGATCCAGTGGCGGGTTCAGTCGGGATTCCTTTCTGATATAATCTTTAATATCGTCTTCATCACTTCTGCCATTCAAGAGGTAATAATCTATTCTCTAAGACCGTTGAGGGCGTAGTGGACATTCGATAGATAAGCTACCGGAAGCATCATTGGTTGAAACCTGCAATTCAGCATCAGACATTCTGAGGTCCAAAACTGTCATAGAAAATGGGAATTTGAAATGAATAGGTCAGATTCGGACGCATCTTGAATAAACAAACGCACGTGATACGCCTTCTCTTATTGGGTAGTAATTCATATTGGGAGTAGGGCAATATTCGTACGAATATTGGGCCTGCGAATACGAATATTCTTGGAGATCTGTGGATTACGAATGCGAATGCGAATAGCTCGAAATATTACGAACATGTATTCGTGCCGACCCCTAGAAATAACAAGAAGACCCAATAAAAAAGTAGTAAAAACACAAAGCACAAACATTCCCTAAGTGACTACTTCTTATAATCACTCACCATCAGCCCTTTCTCTGGATACAATTTTCCCACCACTCATATAGACGATTTGAGGCTTCCTTTTCTTCTTCGCTTCCTTTTCTTCTTCGCTTCTTTCTCTGTCTGCGCTTTACCCCCGCTGCGCTCCCCCAGCCTCGGGGAAAAGGGGTATTTTAGTTGTGTACGCGTTTCCGGGCG